ACTTTGTATACAACAGCTAAAATAATATTAAACAGTGAAACCCTTGATTGGATTTATTGTTATTATTTAATACTACAAAATAGTATATTATGCATTCAGTGCCGGTTTAACAGGGGTTTTTTGGGGACTATAGCACCGGGCGGTAAATATTTTTGGGGCGGTACCGCGTACCGCCCTAATTTTTAAAAAAAATACTTAATCGTTAGAATTTAGAAAAAAAAAAATTGCAATACTGCGTCGGCGGCTACAACGGATACAAATGAGAAAAATGTTGTTAGAGTTGAAGCAGCTTCTCCATCAGAAAAACTTGATTTATTGCATGGAAACGGAATAACTTTAACTTTTTGGATAGACGTTTTGCAAAGGGTTAATGAAATGCAGTCCAAAAACAAAATATGGATTTAAGCACAAATGCTCATCTTTTGTCATTTTTAGTTGAGAACTTTGATTTTTTACGTGATCATTTTGATCATTACGAGGAAATAAACAGGAAACAAAAATTATGCTCAGAAGCGGATAATCATAAGAAAATTACAATTTGAAGAAAATAATTCAGAGGCAAATTTAAGCAAAAAAGAAACAATGCGAAAAATATGTTTTATTTTAATAATCCTAAATCATTTGTCGATATGATAGCTAGAAATCTGGCACAAACAAATTTGAATTTTTGTTTAATCTAAAAGCATAAATCTTCGTGGAGGATTTGGATGAGTTTTTTCCTCAAAAATGTGTCCAACTCAAGAAACTGGTAACTTCCCTTTCGGAAATAAAAATATAAACTTCATTGGAATTAGTATAAGTTTTATACGAAAATAAATTAATATCTTCATTTCCGAATATTAATATTTGTCTGCGAATTTTTTTTATAATGGTTTCAAATGCAAGTGGTGATCGATCTTTCTCTACTCTAAAAAGGGTATACCCTTTATAAAGAACTACCTAAGAAATACAATTCCCCAAGAAAGATTTAACTCCTTAGCAATTTTGTCCATTTATCAAGACCTGCTAGATGAAATAAATGTAAAGTGTTATAAAACAATTTGCTACTATAAAGACTTGAAAACAACCTTTTAATTATTAGTATTAGGATTTCTTAATATTTATTTAAATCAAAGAATAATGTTTTATTTATTTATAACTTTTGATTAGTTTTTATTAGTTTAATGAAACAAAATATTAAACTTTTATTTATTAGTTTTTCTTAGTACTTAGTATTGTTTATATAAACCAAAGAATGTTTTTATTTTTAGTTAGTGCTTTTCATTAGTTTATATAATTTTTTTATAAAGGCTCATTTTATATTTTATAGGATACTAAGTTTACTGTTAGATACCAGCCTAACCAACCTAATCTTCCACTTGACGTGAGAAAGTAAGACTAAATTTAAAAATGTTTTTAAAAAAGTAATATTTTAAAGCATTGGGCGTTGTGTTTGTGCCAGAACCGGGCGGCGAACTAACTTAAACCGGCACTGTATGCATTAAGTTTGATAAACGCCATTTTAGTCTCGAATTTAAATAGAGCTTGCGAGCGACTGCTTAATTAAATAAGTGTATAGAAAAGTTTATAAACGAGTTGCTAGGGGAAATACTTATTATTATATAAAAATGATTTAAATTAAATATTTATATAGAGCGACATCTGTACAAAAAAATAGTAACCGTCAGAATGGGAATCTGTATTACCGGCGGAAATCGTTTAAATCCGAAATGGAAGCAGTTTTTACATTGAAAGTAAAGATAATGTTTATTGGCAGCCGGCGAAATCAAAATGTCCGTACACAAACGTACATACCTATAAACTTTTTAAATATTGGCGTTGATAAACTATTTAATACTTTTGTATTTGTGTATTAAGATAATACAATAATTTTTACATTAAGTAGGTATAACTTTACAAGAATTGCACTTTATTTTAACGATTGTATGACATTTGAGTCAATGATTTGACAACTGTCAATTAACTTAAAGTTAAGTTCAGCCCGTGACTAAAAACCTGTTGCTAACTTCAGCCCGGGACTTAAGCGCCATAATGCCATATGGATATATAGATTGTCAATGTGTATTTTAAAATATAACTTGATGTCATGAAAACATCCCAAGCAACAATTTAAGTATTTGTTACGTATATGGGACTATTGAAGTGTTTTGCGACAGTCGCCGGTCTCTTTATATTACTCTTTCATTACTAAGTTACGACTAAAGTGGGGAACAATTATTGAGTTCCAAAAAGGTAACAAATATGTCACTAGCTATAAACCCTACTACTATTTGGAACGTAGCTGCTACGTTACTAGAACGTTCCAATATCGTTGCTAGAGCGTTATAATTACTTTTTTCTACTCCTATTACGGAATTTGACCATTGTAATATCACTTTTATCTATGGAATGACATATATTCCGTAAAGTGTTACAGAATGAAATATTCTATCATCGGATGACAGAATAAACACTCGTGGTATCATCTCTGTTTTTAATATCTAACAAATTTTAGACCTATCCAACCTCACTTTCTTCCAATTAAATTATTTTTTATGGTATTTTTTGGAAACGTAGAAAAAGTATAGTCTGACACGTTTGGAATTTCATATTTTGCTCTCGTGAAACCGTCAAACTCGCCTTCGGCTCGTGTGACAAACTCTTCACTCGAGCGGAATATATATATATATATATATATATATATATATATATATATATATATATATATGCTGTATTCCAAACTTGTTACAGAATAAACTATTATTTATTTGTTTTTACTTCTATATTAACTGTCTTTGTCAAACTTATATTAGATTATAGTATCCCTCCTTTTTTAAATGGCTTTTCAATGTCGTCGTTTATTAAATATGGTAGTTGGTGGTAGTTTATAACTTCCAGAATAACAATATAATGTTTAATTAGCAGGTAAATTTATAAACCCTTTAAATTTTACTGTTGAACTTATGAATTTAGTTTTTGTAAAATAAATGCGCTTCATCAACATTTAAGTATACACAAATTATTTATTTAATAATGTTTATAAATAAAAAAATCTTAATATGTATTATTAATTTTTTATTTAATTATTAATACCGTCTATTACCAACAAAATTACTATTTATTAAAAAGTAAACAACCATTTACAAACAATTAAAATAATTTATTATTTACATTACCACGTGGTACTGTACAGTAAAAAATGGCCGAAAAGAAGCATTTTTGTTTAAAGTTTCGCTACTTTAAAGTTTTTTTCCACCTTAATTTACTTTACGGTAGTTTTGGTTAGTACCATAAATGTTCCAAATACTAAAATAATAACTTTTAAGTTATTAACTTTGTCCCTGATAGCACAGTTTATTCTAAGAATGTTTTTTAAACCTTATAGTGAGAATATTCTTAGGATCATGCTATATTACTTCTAGTCATGTTCTAAGAATGTTTTTTAAACCTTCCAGTGAGAATATTCTTAGGATCATGCTATATATCTTCTAGGCATGTTCTAAGAATGTTTTTTAAACCTTCCAGTAAGAATATTCTTAGGATCATCCTATATTTCTTCTAAAGAACATGCTTAAAAGAAATATAGCATAATCCTAAGAATATTCTCACTGGCCTCTAGGCAGGTTCTTAGAAGGTGCAAAGTTTAGTGGTAAAAATTAATCCACTCTAAACATATGCTTAGAATGTTGAGAAAGTAATTAGTATTAAATACTAAGTAAAAAACAACCCAAAATATTTTTTATAGTTATTTGTCAATTTAAAACAATATTCGATAACAAAAATACTTTTACTATAGGTATTTAATAAATACTATTTATATATGTTAAAAATAAATATTTATTAATTTGTATACCGATTTTTTATTTCTGAATTAACATTTTTATGTATAGGTAATAATCCTAACTATCTTTAACTTCAATCTAATCTGACTTATCCCACAAAATTTTCCAATTTTACTTTTTATGAAATAATGTCATACAACTTATGGTTCAGAGGTCAAATTGTTTATTTTATTTTTAAATAAATTTATATTAATATGTCGCAAATTTTTTTAAGGGGACGACAAATACATTTCACTGTCATATTATGACAGTGAGGCGTATTTGTCGCCTCCTGAAGAATTTTACGAATGTAGAATCCAACATATTAGAACGTGGGTATCTGACATATTTGGAAATATTCTCAAAAGCTTCCTAGAAGCTCCATAAGAAACCTTCTAAGAACATTTCAAAAACGTATTCTTAAAATGTTCTTAGATTGCTTTTTAGGAAGATTTTAAGAAGCTTCTAAGAATCTACTTGCATCATTAAAAGGGTATCTATTGAATGTTTTAAAAGTCCCTAAGAACATTCTTATAACATATAACATATAACATTCTTATTGCTATAGCAATAAGGGAAGGTTCTAAGAATATTCCATTATTCCGAGTCGTATCTTCTTAGAAGATTCTTAGAATCAAATTTTGCTATCAGGGGTAGTTTTTAACTCATGTTCCCGTTTTGAGATTTTAACTTGCAAGGGGACTACAAAGTAAAAATAATTATAATGTAATCTTCCGAAAGTAACTGCTACAAATTAAATTTACTTGAAAGGTTTTTTACTTATAACACTCTTTTTAAAGTTGCTAAGGAAAGAATGATGTTTCTGTTACAAAATATTCCTATTTAAAAGTTACAATTACTTAAGTAACTTTAATTTTTACTTAAGTAACTTTAATTTTTACTTAAAATTTTAAGTAAAAATTAAAGTAGCTGTTTATTATACTTAACTAATTTAAAGTTATCACCACTTTGGTAATGGTTTTTGGAACCAAAAATGCTGTTTGGGCGGACTGCTGAAGTTCGGATAGTTTAGTATTTTTTAATTCGAAAATCCGGACACAATTGAATGAACCTAGGTAAAATTCTGTACAAAATTCTGTAATTCCACTAAACTGTCCGGATGTCTGAAGCTATACTGTAATTATGTAAATACTTGAATACAAAAATAAACCATTTCAAAACATGTATTCCTATTTTCAGAGGGAATGCATATCAGTTCACATCGGCCAAGCCGGAGTCCAAATTGGAAATGCCTGCTGGGAGTTGTATTGTTTGGAGCATGGAATTCAACCCGACGGCCAATTGCCATCAGATAAAACCGTTGGTGGTGGAGACGACTCCTATAACACCTTTTTCTCGGAAACTGGAGCTGGGAAGCACGTGCCCAGGGCAGTTTTCGTCGACTTGGAACCTACAGTCGTAGGTACGTTACTACAATTATCCTGCATTTGCACGCGGTTTCATAAATTGTTATTTTGCAGTATAGTTCAGGAAACAAACATTGTAGAAGGAAAACTCGATGGTAGTCGGGTTTTATTTTTTTTATGTAGAGTCAGGGGTGCTGATAATGAATCAAGAATATTCCCCAAAAAGTTCCTTCCGCGTCCCTTAATTTCCCCGAAAGGGGAGTTTTTTTCTTTTTGGCTCATAACTCGCTAACCGTGCATTTTTTCAGAATTTGACCTCTAATACTTTTGATTATGTACTAAATAAGGCACACGTTAAACCCCATTGCGCACCTATATGATGTGCCCTTTTGCTATGCGCAGTGTGCAAAATTGAGCGTTGCTTTCAAAATCACTTTTTTGTTTTTTTATATTATAGCCTAATTTTAAAATTAATTGATCCCAAACCTTACGGTAATCAATCATAACCGAATGGACGATTTTTTGAGGTAAGTACTACACTTTTCCAAAGTTACTGCTTTTCAATGTACAGGGGTTTATTTTTTCAAAACTTTAATTTTTGTGGGGCACTTGCAATGAAAATAATTTAAAAAAAACTACGGATTCGTTACGAGGATAAGTGTACCTAAAAATCTAGGGTAGAACAAACTGGCTCATTAAAGCCGTTTGGGAAATAAAAAATGGGTTTAAAAAAAAAACCCTCTGTACATTAAAAAGTAGTTACTTTTGAAAAAAGTCTAGTACCTCAAAAAATCGTCCATTCGGTTATGTTTGATTACCGTAAGGTTTGGGATCGATTACTTTTAAAATAGGGCTATAATAAAAAAAACAAACAATTCTACAATCTTTGTTTCCTGGACTAGTACATTCTATTGTAAACAAAGAACCATTTAAATGATTCTTTAAATTTAATTTCCCCAAAAAGTTAAATTTGAAAACATTTTTCCCCAATATTAATTTTTTATATTAAAAAGACATGCACTTACCTACCTCACGCAACATACATTAAAAAGTCATATTTAAAGGCGTGGAGCAGGAAAAGGGACTCGCCCTTAATTAGGAAAAATTAACTTGAAAGTCACGAAGTGGAAACCTATTTTTATTTAAATGTGGTTGTGTGTATTACAAAGAAAACCTAAACAGGACAGATTTTGTGAAATCAAACGATTAAAATTTCTTAATGGTGTTCTTGTTATTACATTTCAAGCATCACTAACTACACCCGCGATATAATAGTATATTATGTATCAAGTTTTATAAACGCCATTTTAGTTTTATTAAGCACGAGCGAAGCTTGCAAGCGAGTGTTTAATAAAAACGAGTGTCTAGATAAGTTTATAAAACGAGTTGCATACTATAGGACGACCACAAAGAAGAATTTAAATCCAATTTTATTTGTTTAACATTTGACATCTGTCAAATGTCAACGGAATTAACCTCACTTTTCTCTAATTTATAATAAAGCTAACTTCAGCCCGTGACTAAAATGCCCAAAAGCCACTATTGCTAACTTCAGCCCGTGACTAAAACGCCATAAAGTCACAGTTTGTCAATGTAGGAGTAGATAGAAGATTTTATAGTTTGTTTCTTTTTTCACAATAACTTCTGTGTTTTTTTACTATGATTCATAAAATTATTATATTATTAGTACGAAACTTTAAAGTTTTCACCCGCGATAATAAAATCGTTCCACAGTAAAAAAACTGTGATATATGTATAAAATAACATCTTTGATACCGTTTAAAAAAATTATAGTTTTGAAAGGAAGGATCCCACTCGTTCGATAAAACTTTATCTGTTGATATACCAAAAGGAAAAATTCTCATTTGGATACAGAGTTGCAAATAATGCATTATTTTTTTAATGCATGAAGGTTTATTATTAAAATAATGAGTAATTTGTTTAATTTTCATTATGCATTACTTCTTTTTTAATGAAAATTAATTACTCATTACATTTTTTCCCATGAGTAATGTATTCTTTTTTTCATTACTCATTTTTAATTTGTAATGAGTATTTTGAAAATTGTATAAAATTATAATTACAATTTTTTATGTTAATGAGTAATCTACACACTTTACATTAATAATTTTTGAAATTTTTAATGAGAAATGAATAATTATCGAATTATTTACTCATTTTTAGTGAGCTAGGATATTTTTATTGCACGACACATTTTTTCAATTTTTGTTTTGAATTGTTTTTTTACCAGTAACAGACGTTTAAAATTAACTATTCGTTCGTACCATAGCGGATTTAATACTTTTTTGAGTTTAGGTCGCCTTCTTACCTAATTATCATAATCCCACTATCAACCCCGTCTTAAAATTTCTTGAATGGGTAGAAGTTTAACGTAAAAAATTTGCAAGGAAATTGAAGAATACAAACAGTTTGAAAATTAAAATTTTAAAACTCAAAATATTCGCAAGAAACTAAGTATGCTTCGGGTAATTTTGTTACATAAAAATTTTAAGAAATAAAAATTTCAATTCGGTACAATATTAAAGAAATTAGCAGCAAAAAACCAAAAAACGCAATTATTTTGAAAATTTCATAACGAGTAATCAAAAAAATATCAAACTTTACCAGAAAGGGATTTTTAATGGGTACCTACTAGGGTTTTAGAGTGTCGAAAAAAAAAAACCGGAAAAATTGGGGAAAAAACAGTTTTTTTTCAGCATTGAAAAAATTGCCTTTTTTAGAAAAATTGATTTTTTTCTTGAAAAATATACACATTTGAAAAAAGTAGCAGTCAACAACTAAACATTATTTTAAATAAAAAAAATCCTTTATTACAAAAAAAGAATAAAACTAAACATAAAAAATTTAAGAAAATAAACGTACCTAAGCGTGAAATATACTGTCTGTTGGGTTTTTTTTTTGCAAAAAGGAGTCCATTAAAAATATCTAACCACAAAGTAATGTATGATTTATAAAGTTAAATTACAAAATTATTATTTTATAAATCGAAGTGTTAAATAAAAGTTATGTTAATATTGCACCGAATATGTTTTTTTGCGGCCCGGTAGAATATTTTTACTGCAGTAATTCATGAATTAAAATAAAAGGAATAATTATTATAATCATAATATTATATGATTATAATCAGCGTCAGAAATTCACTTTTTCTCGATATCAGTGGATACTATCCGTAAAAATTTGTAAATTTTCAAAAAAATTGACTTTTGCATTATTTCGTATTACCTACCCTTTGAATAGAATTTTAGGAAATTAAAAAGTCAATTTTTCTGAAAATTTCTCAATTTTTTCGTTTTTTTTTTCGGAAAAAACGGATTTTTTCCGCCGGCTCATTTTTTCCGTAAATTTTAAAACCTACATAAAAATATCGAAATATAAAACAAATTGAAAATCAACATTTTTCAAACTGTCAGACTTGGTGTAAAATGCCCCATATAAAAAATCACCCCATCATCCCAACCCCTGATCATTTTTCACTGATGTAATGGAAAATGTCTTTCGTTACACATTTTTTTTATGTGTAATGTAAGGTCTCTCATTACTCATTTTTTATTTTCAATGAGTAATGTATTGTTCGAAATTGCTCATTTCTCAATTTTTTCGTTTTTTTTTCGGAAAAACGGATTTTTTCCGCCGGCTAATTTTTTCCGTAAATTTTAAAACCTACATAAAAATATCGAAATATAAAACAAATTGAAAATCAACATTTTTCAAACTGTCAGACTTGGTGTAAAATGCCCCATATAAAAAATCACCCCATCATCCCAACCCCTGATCATTTTTCACTGATGTAATGGAAAATGTCTTTCGTTACACATTTTTTTTATGTATAATGTAAGGTCTCTCATTACTCATTTTTTATTTTTAATGAGTAATGTATTGTTCGACATTGCTCATTAATGTTTGAATGTGTAATAAAAACATTTCTCGAGAAATGATCATTCCAATTTTTTTTAATGAATGTATTTAAACTACATTACCATTAAGGACTATTGCATTCTTTTTTACATTAACATTTTTGCAACTCTGTTTGGATATAATATTAAATTGTATTAATCAACTATACAGGGTGTCCTTGAAAAAGCATATTATGTTAAACTTCGTTATTGATAACAAATGTTCTTTTTATTTTAAAAAGGGTACCTATTAGAAAATTATATAAATATATTTACATATATTTAAAAATTTAAATTTAATTTTTAAATAGATACGCCATTTTTCTGACATACTATTAATATACAAAATTGTATTAAAATAATGTTTTTCTAGGTTATAGGTCACTTTTATTCTTAATTGTTAAAAATATCCTACATCAAAGACTAAAAAACGTATTAATTTGTTGGGCTAACAACGTTGGCTATCAAAAGAAAAATATTTACTGCCATGTTTCAGCCATTTTTTTCACTTTAGTATACCGATTCTTTGAGTAATTTTAGGACAAAAAGTCCGCAAATGCTTTGTTTACAAGATCCAGGGTGTTAAACCTTGACGAATATTGTTGCCACAAAAATGTACTCCACTGACTTTTTGTAATTTTTATATATTTATTTTTTGTTTTAAGCAACTAAAAATACATTTTTTTTGTCTCTTGACTTTTGTTCGTATTTTCCTTAGTTTTCTAGGAAAAAAATAAAATCTTATTTGTATATCCCACAGACCATCGCATATCTTGTGTGGTCAAGGGATGCAATTAAGTGGATTTTTCTCTCTCGAAATCTAAGCAGGATACGAACAAAATTCAAGAAACAAAAAAGTTGTATTTTTAGTTGATTAATCCGAAAAAAACGTAAAGTCAGTGGCGTACATTTTTTTGTCAAATGGTGCCGCTCGCGACGCCACTGCATGGAAGTTAATGAAGATAGAGCTTAATTAAACTCTTGACACAAATAAATAACACTGCCAAATTACAACAAAATTGGGTAAAGGATATTTTAGATACTTACAAAAACCAATTTAAAAAAAAGTTTCTTTTGTGATTGGATAAGTAATAATTTCATTTCCGTAAAAAAAAATAATTTGTGTTGATAACCATTTTCTCCCTATATAAAATATTATATCTATATATATAAAACCAATTTAAAAAAAGTTTCTTTTGTGATTGGATAAGTAATAATTTCATTTCCGTAAAAAAAAATAATTTGTGTTGATAACCATTTTCTCCCTATATAAAATATTATATCTACTTCTACATTGGCGTTTTAGTCACGGGCTGAAGTTAACAACAGTGGCTTTTGGGCATTTTAGTCGGAAAGCTTTATTATAAATTGCGAAAGAGTGAGGTAAATTCAGATTCAGATGTCAAATATTAATGAATTAAAATTGGCTTTAAAATCTTATTTCTGTTCGTCGTAGATAAAGTATAGTATGCAACTCGTTTTATAAACTTCTGTAGACACTCGTGTAAACTATGTTAATTTAAATAAAGGAAATTAGACTATGATTTAAAATAAGCTTTAATTACTATTTAGAATAAAACAATCAAACAAAAACTAAAGTCTAGTGTATCTAACGAAAGGTTCTAATTGAAATGCCCTGCTTTTCTTAAAAACGTCTATTCGACACTTGCCGACGTCGCCCGCCTCTCCGCCAGACATAAACAAACAAAATAACTTCGGAGGGCCATAAATTGTGGTCCTAATCGACGTGTTGACAACGTCTTGCAAACAAGGGATGCATTCATATGGCTACACTCGTTTTTATTAAACACTCGCTCGTGCCTAATAAAATGGCGTTTATAAAACTTGATACATAATATACTATTAAATGAAGACCCCAAACATTTAATTCCAACAAAATTGCGTGACCGCCAATCAAGTTTAATATATTTCAAAGTTAATTTCTGTCTTCTGTAAACATAAGTAGATTAATATTTGTTCTACTTCAGCACACCGTTTTAGGGGTAGTTTAACAACCTTTACCTTAGTTTTTTTTTTATTTCTTTGCCTTTTAGTTTTTAAGTATTTTGTATACCTAACGACCGTTATTTACCGAAATTTTAATAACATAATGTTAAAACTCGATGTTAGGACACGCAACTTATTTATCAAAATGGCTACATCAAATTTTATTAAAAATTTCCTGTGTGCATGCACAAAGTAAAGGCAAAGTATTACATGGTTTATGTCGAATTATTCAGTCAAGAATAATAAAATATCCTTTATAAATATTGTACAAAAAGTCCTATAAAACTGTTGACATTTTTATGTTTTTTTTATGATTTTCTGTCATCAAAGCTTTTGATTTTATTACCTACTATATTATTTTTTAATAATAGTAAATTATGATGATTATTATTATTAAAATAAATATCATCTATCAAATGCTCTCTAAAAATGAATTAGTCAAAAATGACTAATTACTACAGTTATTAGTGGCTGCTTTTTCACTTATACCATCCCAGATAACAACCGTGAGGGGCATCAAAACGCACATCGCCTTCACGTCATGCGGAATCATGCATGACGGTAAAAAACGCTGCAATATGATATTAATTTTATGATTAATGGGAATACACGCCCGTGATTTGTATATGAGGGTACGAACTTTTCACTTTTGCTAAATAGTTATCGCAAAATTGTATATGTAATACTAGATCTACACTACATCTAAAATTTTCCAAAAATTGTTGATTTTACTTCATATTATAACTAACATTTTCAAAAAATTTACTTACACTATATGGTTAATTTGTGAAAAGACTGGATTTGTAAAGACTAAATTTGTAGACTATATTTGTATAAAAATATACATAATTTTATTTGGAATTCCAAATTTGAATTGACCTTAATATCAACGAGTTAACACGATGATCTTAAGATCACGTTTATAAATTAATTTATCATCAAATTATTTATGAATTTGTAAAAAGATACGTAATATTAATTAAAATTAGATATCTTTCTATAAATGTAGACAATTGTCACAAAAACTAAAATAAATGACTTAAAAAAAAGATCTTTTGGATTATTACTTTTTGACCAAAATTTCGCAATAAATAAAAACAGCTGGGTTTTGGACTGTTTTCAGGTAATAACTGAAGACAATTACTAATCGAAACGTAAGAAAAAACAATCGAATTAAGGCAATGCAAGTCCAAAATTCACCTGTTTCCCAACCATCACATGTGCTGACTATATGAACATAAATTGATGACGCAAATGATGCATATATGTGGCATACGTGCGGATTAAGAATCACGTTGTGACTGCAATATGCCTCAATTATGAACCTCATAATGTTATCTGGGATGGTACACCATGGGATACCATGGTATCCCCGACATAATAGCCAATTCTTATGTAAAATTGTCCGGATATGTCGTCAAAAGTTATAAAAATTACGTCTCAATTTTTCCAGAAATTTTAAAACCAACAACAGAAATATTATTATTTATTTCCGTCGTCAGGGCCTGACAGTCAGGCGGGTTATAATCAAAAAAACAATCTTATGCAAAATAAGTAGATAAAATAATTGAATCGGTGAGAAAAAGAAAAGTACAAGTCCAAAAGTTAAAATTTTGACAAAATATTTCAAAAAATCAGTTTTATAGATTTAAATGCATTTTTGTTAAAATATTTTAACAATTTTATAAAATATAATATTCATATTCTGTAAAATAATTTATATCTTCTTACAAAAATGTATTTTGAACTTTAAAATTGATTTTAAAAAATGACTCTTCAAAATTATATTTTTGGACTTGTACTGTTCTTATTCTCACCGATTCAATTATACAAACTTATTTATACAAGTATCCTTGTATGTTTATTTGACCATTTTTTTTTTCAATCATTTAATAATTCTGTACTAACTTACATTAAAATTATCGAAATTGTGACATTTTGTCAGGTTTGACGTTTGACATATGTTATATTATAGGTTATGTACTTTAATTTATTGTACAGTGACCTGTAAGTTTACATTTTTTTGCTAATTTCGAGCTAATCGCGATAGATGGAACCACTCTTCCTATGAAAAAAGACTATGTTAAGTTTGACTTTATAAATTAGCTTTAAAGTTTTAAAATGTACAACCTCGCAACCGAAACTTTTTGCATCGAAGTTGTTGGGGTACAAATGTCACAAAAGTTTTGGAGGCCTTCTTGGTGCGTAGGCCCGGGGCTTACCATCCCCCCCTTAATCCGTATGGTAATTATTATTATCTAATTGGGTCATTTTCAAGAAACACCCGCTTTCAGGAAAATGAAGACCAAAATTTTTTTTTGCTTAAATTGACTTTTGGTTAGATATTTACTTACCTTTAAGACAGGCAGTGCACTTTTTAATTTTTTTTACGTTTTTTTCAGAAAAATGTGTTAAGCTAGCTTTATATATCTCCACTGTGTTACCAATTGGAAATCCAAAATTTAATTTTTAACAAAGTTATTGGAATTCAAACTTACGGACAGCGGAAGGCGGGTATTTTTTGAAAACGACCCAATTATATTTTAAAACATCGTGAAGATGACATTTTATTTATAAAATTCTTAGCTTTCAGAAAAAAAAATAAAATTTAAAATATTTGCATTTGGGTGAATATATTGAGATGTCCCCCAAGTGAAAATGATTATTTCTTATTTTTGGTTGTTTCACTGTTAGTCTAGAATGGGGTTTTTGGGAAGTCACTAGGTCTAGTAATAACATAACATAAGTGATTCTGCACTAATGCAAGAATTTTAAGAAATCATACATTTTGAATATTAGAGCTTCACTGAAGATAGCTTCACGGAGGTTAGGATTTCGTATGTTTTCCCTTTGTATATTTGAAATAAGTTATTGTGTCTTTTGACACCTACATATTTTGTAAAAACACAATTGTACATACATAAAATATTTATAAATATTTTTAAAAAGCAAATTAATGAACTTAAACTATTGAATTATAAAACAGCAACACTCTCATCTGCATATAAATTCTAACTGACCTTCAGGAATCACAGGCATCTATTATGTCGTAAACAGAGGTTTTTACTTATTTAAAATGATTAATGCGCCATCCGTGGCATAAAATTTAAAGCAAAAACAGATTCACGGAGGATAGAATCAATTTTTGTAACACGTACATAAATGGTTATAAAAATTATTTCTTTTAATTTTTAATAATATTTTATATTTTGTTCGATTGCTTTGGATGTGTTTAATTTACTTAGTGAACTAATATTTTTAGTAGGTATGCTTTTACTACCTCAGATATATTATCAATAGATTTGTAGGAACGCTTAAAAAACTCACGCCCAGACGATTTTAGAAGATGTTTGCAGTTGTTTGCAAAAAGACAGGATACCTTAAAATATATAACATAAAATAGCTGGTCTATCTTTAACCGTTTTAAACTACCTACTTATAAGTATAAGTTTAAGTGTACTTAAATTAATTTTAGACGAAGTCCGAACGGGCACATACCGCCAGCTCTTCCATCCAGAACAGTTGATCACCGGAAAGGAGGATGCAGCCAACAATTACGCCCGTGGTCATTACACCATCGGCAAAGAGATTGTTGACGTTGTTTTGGACCGCATCCGCAAGCTAGCCGATCAGTGCACCGGTCTGCAGGTGGGTGTTTCAATATTTTTAAAAAATCGAAAACTAATTAAAAATTACCTATACAGGGTGAGTTTTAAGTTGACGCGTTCCTTTTAACAGCGTGTAGAAATCAGATAAACAAATAAATATTTTAAGTAACTTTTTTTATCAAAACTCAAAAATAAGAGAGTTATAGGCCTTCCAAGTTTGATTAAATTTTGAGCCGGTCCTGGCTATTGTTAACAAAAAACATAACCATAAAAATAAAAATAACAAAATAAACAATGCAAAATGTCATCTATGACAACAAACATAACCATTTAAATCAAAATGACATTTAGCAATGTAAAATGTCAGTTTTTTGTGCCTTAATTATTATTAAAAATTGTTCATAATTATAGCAATAATGAATTAGTGGAAATGAGACTAATTTATGGAGAGTGTCGTCAAAATGCAAATGCTGCAACTTAAGTAGGTAAATAATGACATTTTTTATTGCAAAATGTTAATTTGATTTAAATGGTTATGTTTGTTGTCAAATATGACATTTTGCAGTGTTTATTTTGATATTTTTATGGTTATGTTTTTCGTTAACAAAAGCGAGGACCGGCTTAAAATTTAATTAAACTTTGATGGGCTATAACTTTTTTATTTTTGAGTTTTGATAAAAAAGTTACTTAAAATATTTATTTGTCTAGCTGATTTCTACACACTGTTAAAAGGAACGCGTCAACTTAAAACTCACCCTGTATACAGGGTGTTTCACATTCGCGTCAAATAAAACATCCGATATATTTTTAAATTCTATATAAAATTCTGAGTAAAATAACTATACCATGTCCTATACCTAAAGTGAATAGTTTTCGAGTTATTAATTTTTTTTCGTTAAAATTTGCCAAATGCGCGTCAATCATAAACCCAGACTGCAATGAAGGTTCGAAAATATTCCAGGAATATTCCCTATCGCCTAGGAATAATCCGCTTCATTCTAGGAATATTCATTGGGAATATTCCTAGAATGATCCTCTAAAACTTCCAAGCATCATCTAAGAATATTCCCAGTGAATATTCATTAGTTTAGTTGCAATACCTCTCACCGTTGCTTACGCACGCTTGATAACTATATAAGGTAAGTGCGGGTAATAAGGCCCACCTAACGCATTATATTAAAAAAACAAAGAAAACGTGCACATTTTTTATTTTTTTTTATTTCATAAACATATATTAACTTTAAACTATATAGGTACTGTAACATTTATAAACTCAAATAAAATAAACAAAAAGAAAAATTCTTAGGTTTTTAAAAAACTTGTTAATGGGCCTTATTTCATGCTCAACAGATAATAAAGCCCATCCATTCAGGGTGCACATTTGGGACAAATAAACACATCTTCATCCTCAGGCGTCAGTCCGCCACATTCTTCAGGAACGCAGGTGAGGCACATGGCACACTGACGCATATCAGCCTTAAAATCCAGTTCACAAAGCTTGCAGAACCAATCTTCCTCGGGGTTGGCGTCTGCGCTTTCTGTCGAGGTCGATGGTTCTACAGTGGCCTTCGTTTGACTGATCTTCGCTTTCTTCTTGCATTTTGTTGCCGAGCCGCTGGCCTTTTGGGGTTTCTTCCCAGTTTCATTATTTGGTGGGCCTTATTGCCTGCTTTGTAATGATCCTTGTTTTAAGGTTATAACTCAGACATGCATAGTACAAAACCAATCATTTTCTAGGAAAACATTGGTAATATGTGTATTGATACATACCTGTAATGGCGCAGCAATTGAATAAACGCTTTTTAGGCACAGCTCTAGGAAAATACCACAATTTTTATAATTTCACGAAAGAAACTTGTTGTCGAAACACTTGTTGTATTTACTTTCAGCAAACGACATCTTATTAAGGCGGAACTCTATCGAATATCAAATATTACCTAGTAAAATCATAAGATGGCAGCCCCAGTATTATAATTTAAAAAATGAAGGTAAAATGGCTGCCGGGCCTTATAACCTGCTGGGCCTTATTACCCGCACTTACCTTATACCGATAGGTTAATAATATTAGTTGGAGATGTGCGTCTGTGATGGCACAGCCAAACAATGATTAGAGTGGGACTGATCTACTCAGTAACTCAATAATGGCTATACTTAAGTTAAGTTCCTGGGTATAAGAGGCAATAAGGGCTGGGAATAATCCCCAAATTATATCAAGGAATATTCCCCTAATAATCCTTGAGTCTTCTGCAGGCAGATATATGGAATATTCTTTTTATGATGCCTGGGTTAACCAAAAAGCGGACATTTGATTATGCCAGGAATATTCCTGGGAATATTCTGGGACGATTGGAATATTCCTGGGAATATTCCTGACATGTGCAGGGAATGTGATTTTGCGGTCTGGGAATAGCCTTTAACTTTTTTGTTATTAGTTTTGCGTAAATGGCGGTGGAATTTTGGGAATCTTAAAACATTGTTTAAAAGATTCCATGTCAATTCTTTAACATTTTTCAACAAATTACCTGAGAAACCCCAGAGCAAATTAGGCTAACTTGTAACTAGTAAATTAAAAAACCTTTCGATTGATTTAACTATGCCCTATACTTAAAGTTAATAATTTAAGAGATATTTAACAATTCAAAAATGTTAAATATTATTTTGTATCAAGAAACCTAGGTTGGACGGGTGAGTTGACTGTATCTATGATTACCACGTAATCTGTCTAGAGATGCGACTTGACTTTTTTCAAATTTTAGTTTTTTTCAAGATTAGTACCATTTGCCTAATTTTTTATGTTTCCAGTCCAGTTCATGGACTAATATTAGCCACTAAGTGACATTTAGTAAATTTAAATAGAGTCTCGCGCTATGCACGCGCCACCACCACCGAATTGACCAATAAGGGCCGCGCTTGTTTTGATTTGGTCCTAAAAAAAGTAACTACCTATAATATTCAGTGATTCAGTGCTTGATTATTCAAAAAGCTACCAAATCACTTTTTTTCATGATTTTTCAAATTCATGTAGAGTATGGAATTTTTTTTCAAAAAAACAATAGCAAATTCTTTTAGAACATTTGAATAGGTCAATGCAGAAACTGAATATGTCCACTTTTTAGGGCTATTGAGTTAAACATGGATTTACTATAAGTAAAGGGAGCCCGATCGAATGGCGTAGAAATTTCACATGTCACGGTAATCTAGAATATACAAAGGCGTTAATATAGTAGAGAAACTGAATATATCCAGAACATATGTCCACTTTCTGTTCAGTTTTTCTTATTTATCTCAAAACTAGATAGGTAGGACATATTCAGTTTCTGCATTGACGTATTCATTTATTCATTGGTGGTTAAGTCAGAACATTCCGTGGACAAAAAAAGAAAGCCAAAAAAATTTCGATTTTTTTATTGCGGTATTCGTTAGGATTGAGCGTTGCACGATTTTGATCTAAAAATCTTAAAACTAGAAACTTTAAGCTTCAAATTGCTTTTTTTACGGCTCCATTTTTAACAAAGATACAGCTATTCGAAAAAGAGCAACAAATTTGGAATTTTTTTTGTCCTTTAATTTTTTCTATTAGTATAGAAGTTTTACTTTGCTATTGGTTTCTTATGTGGAAACTACCAAATAATAAGAAATCAGATTTTTTAGTCTCGGTCAAAATTTTCAATAATGAAAAATGTAATAATATTACAGTAATACATATTTTCTATATTTCACTTTATTATTAATATACATTTTACTCAAAATTTCATTTTGAAAAATTACTTCATTTTTAAGATCGATGTTATTTATTGACAGAATATGCTTTATTGTAGCGGATTAAAAAAAACAAAAAAAACTGTTTTTTTTTTCTAGGTTTTTTTTTCATGTTTTTTTTTCACATCTGAAAAAAACCGTTTTTTACATCTCTAAATCTGTCATTGTTCAAAATTTAATAGCGTCAATTTTTCGGGTTGTCATAAACAATTTGTTGATTAACCAAGTTTTTTTAAACAAAATTACTGATAAAAAATAGCAGTCAGTGAAGAAGAGCAACGTCTAATGTAGAAGTAAGAATTAAGAAATTCTTGAATGTAAATGATGGACACTTTTAACATTTAGTAATAAAAATTGTTAATTAAATTGTTACAGATATGCATTCTTTTTTATAAAATAAATGTTATATTTTATTGTCTCCAATGAGCTAGTCCTTGATCTAGTTGACATCCTACAGCTTTATTTTTTAGTTTTTTTCAAAATTAGCAAATACTGTTTGTTTTAAATTTTTAAAATGTTTTTTATAAGTCACTGAAACTGAAAAATTACGCCATTAAATTTTGAAACCCCCGTCCCAGATTTCTTGATGCAAAATAATATTTAAAATTTTGGAAATTGTTTAATATCTCTAAAATTATTAACTTTAGGTATACCGGGTGTATCTGAGAATAGGCGCATCCCTGTAACTTTTTTATTTATAAAGATAGACACATGAAATTTAGCATGGTTAATTAGGATATAAAATGCCACTTATAAGAGTACAAACTGAATTTTTTGAACTTCCGGTTTCGCCGGAAATGATATCAACTTTCGATTTTTAAATGGAACGCCCTATATATTTTTACAAATTTAGAATCCTGAGTAAATTCTGAGTCTAACAGCATCCTCAAATTGACCTTTCGTCTGTTTATGATTGACTCGCATTTTAACAAAAACTCGAAAACTATTCGCTTTGGTAGGTATAGGACATGATATAGTAATTTTACATAGAATTTTAAACAGAATTTAAAAATCGAAAATATATGGAGTGTTCTATTTAAAATACTTTTGCTTAAGCCGGAAGTGGCATTTTGTTTAAATTATTTTAGAAAAATAGAATTTAATGGATTATAAACGCTTTTAAAATTTCAAATCGATGTCTTTTTTCGTTTCCCAGAAACTTATAATGAACCACGAATGTGAAACACCCTGTATTCTTAACTATGAACATAAAAAAGTTCTAAAAGCTTAGAGCGTTAGTTAACATAACTAATATTTTATCTTAAGATCTTACAACCATTTTAATTAAATCACAAGATCGTGGAATTCAATAAAAACTTATTAGGTACTTTTGCTAAAAAAGTTAATAACTACACGATTCATTAGCAGAGCAACCAGGTGGTTTAAATTAATTACATAATGTTTTATAGTTGCATGCAATTAGATGCAAATATTAAAAACGATGATTTAGGAGCCATTCCATGCCAAATCAACACACTTTAAAAAGAAATTTTTCCTCACCATTTCAGATTTTCCTAAAATTTGGTATACTTATACTATGTACTAAGACTAAGAAAAATACCAATTTTTAAATTTTTATCTCACACCGTTTCCGATATATGGCTATGTAAAGTTTTTAAAAACTCGCGAAAAAAGTGTGAACGTTTATTTTTTAAATTGCGCTTGAAGCTGTCTTAATTTAGTTAGAAAGCTGGGAGAGGTGTCATTTTGCAGCATTTTAAATGCTCTTTCAAATGACATACGACTGCCAAGGGTATTAATGAAAAGATTTTGTTCAAAATCCATATATATATTTTGATTTAATTTTTTTTTTAAAAGTACATAATTTAAAATTCTCAAAATATTTGTATAAATACTTGGTAGTGTTCTGAATCATATAATAAAATATTAATGTGGGGTCTTAATGGGTTCATTGTTAAAAAAAATATTTCTGATGCTGGTTTTTCACTTTTAACTAATTTTGACATTATTCAACGTTTATCAGGCTTAAGCCTGACAATTGTATTTTTTTTTTATAATATCGGCTGTCATCATTCCCGACTTGTGTAATTTAATTACTGTGATACGCTTGTTTTGGCGATTCATATTGAACTAAATTTTAAACAAAACAACATAAAATGAATATTTTCAAAAATATAAGGGTTCTAAGAACCCTAATAATATCGGCTGCCTACATTCCCGACTTTTTTAATTCAATTACTGTGATACGCTTTTTTTTGGCGATTCATATTCAACTAAATTTTAAACAGAACAACATAAAATGAATATTTTCAGAATTAAAAGGGTTCTAGGAACCTGCTCGAGCAAACAATTTCCGCGAAAACCTTATTGATAAATTTTAAACTCGCTTAAAAAAAATTCAGGGAACTTTTATCGGACCCTGTATATATTCGTAGTTTATTTAAAAATAAAACTATAAATGAGGTGTGTTTAAAGTGATTTTGGTGTCAACATGGAGCCTACTATTGTAATAGTGCAGTGTTATAATCCGAAAAAAACTGAGAAAAGTCCCAGCATGGATGACTGGATTATTTCCACAAATGCCTATTGGCTCCATGATTTGTCATACCCGCAGGAAAGATGTAACGAAACTGTCAAAATTAGTTAAGTGAAAAACCAGCATCACAAATATTTTTTTTAACATGAACCCGTTAAGACCCCACATTTATATTTTACTATATGGTTTAAAACAGTACTAAGTATTTATACAAATATTTTGAGAATTTTAAATTATGTACTTTTTGAAAAAAAATTGAATCAAAATATATATATGGATTTTGAACAAAATCTTTTCATTAATACCCTTGGCGTTCGTATGTCATTTGAAAGAGCATTTAAAATGCTGCAAAATGACACCTCTCCCAGCGTTCTAGCTGAATTAGGACAGCTTCCAGAGCAATTTAAAAAATACACGTTCACACTTTTTTCGCGAGTTTTTAAAAACTTTACATAGCCATATATCGGAAATGGTGTGAGATAAAAATTTAAAAATTGGTATTTTTCTTAGTCTTAGTACATAGTATAAGTATATCAAATTTTAAGAAAATCTGAGGTGGTGTGGTAAAATGGGTGTGTTGAGTTGACATGGACTGACCCTTAGATAAAATTAACTATTTTTATTATTTAATTAATATACCAAGCAAATTGATTGCATAGATCGCTAACTTTGTTATTATACGAAAATTATTTAAAGATTGCCAAGGATACGAAAATGATTTTTTTTAACCCAACTGGCAAGAGTTATAAATTCTTTACAAAAAAATAGACCAATTAAAAAATAGGGAAGACTTTTTTAAGAAGTTTTTAATTGTCAAAAACAATTTTTTTTTTAAATAATAAGTATAACATTTATTTATTCAGTGCCAATTTTTACCTAATTTAAAAATATTTATAGGTGATTCTACAAAAGTTGGGCAACTTTTGACCTCATTTTGTTTATATAGTTTTCGGAGAAAATTAAACAGTATTTTGTTATGAGAACATAGATAATATAATAAATATCCTACTGTTCCAGACCGGGCCAGTCACAGTTTCTAAATATCTGTGTTTTCAAAATTTGAATGCAAGGGAAGTGACGAGTATACCAGGGTACTAATTAAATACATAATTTATTGGAAAATATAAGATTTATTGCAACTTTGAGCATATTATCCATTAAATATCTTAAAATCAAATAATACCACACATCAGTGGCGGCTGGTGGATTTTGGGTATACCGATATCTCAATTATTAGATATGGGAGTCCAGGCCCGGATTGGGCCGGGGGGCTAGGGGGCAAAGCCCCCAGGGCCGCTGCCCGGATGGGCCGCCAAGGCCGTAATATAATATAATATGAATGCTTTATAAAATTAAAAGGGATAAACTTCTCCAGAAGAAGTTTTCTCATCTATGAATTATCCTTAGGTTTTGATAACTTTTACCATAGATCATAAAAGTTTCTGTAAATTTATTTTATGATTTATTTCCAAATAAAGGCACAGTAAACAGTTTACTGTTTTTGAGATGACTTTTTAAAGTATGTAATTTCGGTAAAAGATGGCGCTACAGCCCTCTAGCTACAAACGCGCGTGTGTAAAACCTACAATTTTTGTGTTTTATTTTGCTTAAATATTGAATGTGCAAATCTTGATGTGTACTAAAGGTACAACTATTTATAAAATATACTTTTTTAAATATTCACTACAATTTAGTACAACTGGTAATAAAAACCAAGTGGCCCCCTACAGACAAAATTACGTATCATTAAAAGTTGATATTTTAAGCAGAGACAATACTTTTAAGTAAAGTTATTTATAATATCGACATGGATCTTGGTAAATAAAAAGAGCAAATCTATATTGAAGGAAGATGAATCCCAACATCTCGCTGTAGCTATTTGTGAAACATGCAAAAATTGCGTTGTGTGTTGTTTTCAAGTTTTGCTCCAATATAAATTACATACAATGTCTTACAATAATTTATATAACGCTTATAAATACGTTTTAACTTTGTCATGTACCCAGGTTTCCTGTGAAAGAACTTTTTCAAAGTTAAAATTTGTACAGAATAGACTAAGGAGTTGTCTTACACAAGAACACTTACTACTTATGTCCGTTGAAAAAGAAATTCTTGTAGATATAAATACTGATGTGATTATAGATAATATTGCCACCAAAAGCGAATCTTTAAAAAAATTATTAATTCTTTAAAACTTAATAAAAAACATTCATTTCTTTCAAATTTTTTTATTGTTACAAAAAAATTGATGTGGTTTAAGGGCCGGTTTATAATCAAAGCCCGGGCCGAAAAATTATCCCAATCCGGGCCTGTGGGAGTCCCATAATGGGACCCACACCAAATTTATATGGGTTTATAATGACATTAAATAAACAAGTTCTGCGCAAGCAGAATTTAAATTGAAGTTTGCGAAAAAAGATAACCGAAACATCGAACATGGAACTGACGACACGGTACTGATGAATGGGATACAAATTTGAGATTATAATTCGGAATTAATTTATTTTACTGATATTTTTTATTAGTGGATGCTACTTATCATTAAATCACATATAGCCTTATATAAATTACAATGAAATATATATACGTAAGAAAATAACTACTCACCACAGTACTGAAATTTTGACTGGAACTATACGTGCATTCACCACAACTTCACCGCTTGCATTTTTTAAAAGGTGACTGTCGTGCAAAGGGCGGGCTCTGTAGGTAATTTTTTAGTTAGTTAGAGTTAAAACGAGGACTTGACGTTTAAAATTCAATATTTCGCAGAAATTTTGAATTTTAACATTGGGCACAGAACTGACGGGTAAAAGTGAGTATAAAGATTATCAATTTTTAAAAAATTGCTATTATTCGAATCTATGATAAAATATGAAAAATACATTATTTAATGTTTTATAGTTTGTAGTGAAATTGAAAAATTTAAGATAAATTGAATATATTTTAAAATAAAACCACCAAAATATTTGATTCAGGAGTTGTGACACACCAAGGTACTGATGTTTTGAATATTTATTATTTTTTCTACAAACGTGCTTTTGAAAAAATACATTAAAATTGGGTGGACAAGTTAAAAAAACCTGGATCTTTTGTAATAAACTAAAATATTTACAAAAATACTCTATTGACTGATGACATCAAGTTGTCCAACTTTTGTAAATCACCCATATATAATATTTATATATTATATAAATGATTTATATATTATATAAATGATTCAACCTGCGCAGTAAACGACACTGTTTTGGAAAAAAAATAACAAAAAAATTAAACTAAAATAATGATTTTTTCGAAAAACTTGAACATTTTACAGGGGATTTTATTTTTCCGGATAAAAATGCATTTCTTATTTTAGGGATTTTTAGTCTTTCATTCGTTTGGTGGCGGTACTGGTTCGGGTTTTACCAGTTTGTTAATGGAGAGACTCAGCGTGGACTATGGAAAGAAATCTAAACTGGAATTTTCCATTTATCCAGCCCCACAGGTAAATATTTAAAAATTAGTTTTATTGTCCAACAAAATTTTAATATTATTAAAATAATTTTCAAAATATTCATAAATATAAAATAAATAAGATCTTTTAAATCCTTCCTTTCTCCATAATATTATTGTAATAAATGTTTAAATTTATTTTTTGTAAGTGGTAATAATATTGTTAATTATACCTATATTTAATTGTCATTAACTTTTTAAAGTATGTTTTAATATTTTTTATTGTTAAAATGAGTTTATAATCCAAAAAATATTTTTTACAAAATACATAATAATTATTTTTATCTGAAATCGGCAGTAAAGTAGTCAACCATCGGCAATAAAGTAAAATAAATCGGCAGTAAAGTAGAACTTTACTGCCGATTTAATACGAGTATTGTATGCAACCCATTATACATTTTAAGATGTGTCTACTACAGCAACTAAATAATTTTTAAAAAAAAGCACCGTCGCGTCGCGGACATAGAAATATATCATAACAGTCGCAACAAACAGTATACCTACTTGGACATTTGATTTCATCATCAATTTTAATTATTGGTATTATTAAATGTGATTTCGGATAAAATTTAATATGCACCTCGGCATTAAAGTCATTTTTTATCACTCACGTGGTTATTTGCCTCGGCTTTCGCAAATAATTTCCAAATTCGTCATAAAAAATACGACTTTACTGCCTTGATACATAAATAACTATTATAGCAAATATATTTTAAAAAATAGTTTCTTAGTTTTAATTTTAGGATTTTAACTATTGCGTTTATAATTTAATTTACTTTTATTACTTTTACTTCAAACAGTATTTTAATTTTAATTTTTAGGTCTCTACAGCTGTTGTAGAACCTTACAATTCCATTTTAACTACCCATACCACCTTGGAACACTCTGATTGTGCATTTATGGTAGATAATGAAGCCATCTATGATATCTGTCGTAGAAACCTGGACATTGAACGACCAAGCTACACCAACCTTAACAGACTTATTGGACAGGTGGGTGCAAAGTTTAAAAAAAAAAACATAAAATGTGTTTTTATTTATCTTTACTTCCAAAGTTTTTCCTAACATGCTAACATGATATTTTTTCACTTTTAGATTGTCTCGTCAATAACTGCGTCTCTTCGCTTTGATGGAGCTTTGAACGTCGACCTGACCGAATTCCAGACCAACTTGGTGCCTTACCCAAGGATTCATTTCCCATTGGCCACTTACGCGCCCGTCATTTCGGCGGAGAAGGCCTACCACGAACAGCTGACAGTCTCGGAAATAACGAACGCTTGCTTCGAGCCGGCCAATCAGATGGTCAAGTGCGATCCTCGGCATGGGAAGTACATGGCTTGCTGTATGTTGTACAGGTAAGAATGTTATTTTTGTCAAATATTTTTTGATGGCCTAGTTCAGGACTTTTAACTTTTTTTGAGGAATTTTTCCAGGTTTTTTATAGTTTTATCAATCAATGGTTTTATATAATAAGCATTCAGAGCTGCAACAAGTCAGTTTTAAAAAGACTTAAATCTTATAAGTCTTAAGTCAATTCTAAAATCAAAATGATTTAAATCTTAAGTCAATTCTAAGATAAAGTTCAAATGATTTAAGTAATGATTTGAATTAAATCATTTTCTTTCAAGTCAAGTCATTTTCGCAAATTCTTAAATCAATATAAAGTGATTTAAGTCATCTTATGACTTAATTCCTTTAGTAAGTCGTTTTTATGACTTAAGTCTATATTTTTTATTTAAATCGTGATCTAAGAGTTAAGTCAATAAAATGACTTGAATCAAAAATTGTGATTTAAATCAAAATAATTACAATACAACGATTTTTTAAATGTTAATAATAATTTTATGGTATTAATGATACTGATATTATTAATCTATTGTAGATACAGATGATAATAAACCACTATGTTAAGAATTTAAAACGATTTATTTTCAGAACACTTACAAACAAAATAAAAACTTAAAACACATTTTTTGAGTATATATTAGACAATAAAAATAAAAACTTAAACCACCTTTTTTAGTAGAGTAGACATACAGGGAGGCTACTTTTTTATATACATAAATGGGTAACTTCTAAACGGTAATAGATTCAAACTCTGTTAAAATAGATAAAAGTTGAAGCATTTTTCTTAAAATCGCTGTATTTCAAAAACTGATAACTTGATGCTTTGTTAACTTTTGTTAGCTGGTTCAACATCCAACTAGAAAAAAAAATTCCTCCCTTAAGGGAGTAGTGATGGGAAATTCCAAACTCTCGATTCACGACCGCTCAGATTGTTTTCACTTTGCACTAATAATCACAAATTAGACATAACTACGCACGAACATGACGAATGTTGGCAAACAAAATAACAAAATTAAAAATCCCCACTTTTTTAATTCATTTTAGACAGGACATTTTTTAATGTAGCCGTCAAACGGTTCCAAAAAGCTAACTTTACGTTTTTTTATCCTCTAGCGGTAAAAATTGTAGGTAGGAAATTAAAGGAGTTTTTGATCTGCTGCCGCGTGAACCCCTGGCAGTTCAAAAGAAAATGCCGCTGTTAAAAATTTATAAAAAATATATAAAAAATCTGACTTAAATATTTTCTAAAAGACTTAAATCTTTTTTTGACTTAAATCGTTTCTATCTGACTTAAATCGTATGTACTGATTTATAAATGACTTAAGTTTTTTCTATTTTGAAAAAAATATTTAAGTCACAAATCATTTTGAAAATTACTTAAATTTTAAGTCTTAAGTCAGTTTTAGAGAAATGACTTATTACCAAATGACTTAAGTCATTAAAACGATTTAAATCAAAAAAACGATTTAAGTTTTCTGAAAGCTTGCAGCTCTGTAAGCATTCCATACCAAATCGAACACTGAATCTTTTTCTACGTAGAAGGGTACTCTAACAAAAAACATTTTTCAGAATTTTTTCAAATTTTCTTTTGTTTGTTTGTTTCTTTTTGTTAATGTGCGATTTTTTCATGTTATTTTTGTCAAATATTTTTTGATGGCCTAGTTCAGGATTTTTTGAGGAATTTTTCCAGGTTTTTTATAGTTTTATCAATCAATGGTTTTATATTACATATAAGCATTCCATACCAAATCGAATACTGAATCTTTTTCTACGTAGAAGGGTACTCCAAATCGAAATCGAATTTTATGTATTTTTACTTATTGGGACGTTTTTTATTTTTAAATGTACTTTTCAGAAAAATATAGGAAACAATTATTTGGTCCGATCTTTAAAGTTTAATTTTTGAAACTTGTCGATGTTTGTAATTTTTATTTTTTTATTAGAAACGCACATTCTCTGCAAATTCGAGTTTTTTAGTTGGACTGACCCAAAGTAAGAACATTTCGGAATCCCCCTAAACTAGGGATTTAGTACTACCCCCATTTAATTGGGGTTCATAAATGGGGTTTGGTTGGTTAGTTCGCTGCTTGAAACTTCCTTGATGGTCTGTTCGTTTGCGTCCGTGTCTGAACATTACTGTGCTGAAAGTTCGGGCACTGCAGTCCGCAGTTGTTTGCCCCACTGTGCGAAACCATTTTTTCAGCCTAGGGTCGACCACCATCGATAGATACTTTTCGCTAGTCGGAAATGTGACTAACGATAGCTATCAATAGTTTTTTTTTATTTATATCGAATCATGCGAAATTTATCTGTAAAGTAAAGTAAGTAGATAAAAATAATTTCTCCCACTATGCGTAAGCCTTGGCTTTATTTCAGTAAAGACTTTTGTGTTATGTTGGAATGTTTATTGTTGTTGTCTAGGTGACTGCACTTGACTTTTTGTTTATGTTAAGGTCTATTGCGTATCACGGCTGTTTGTTTAGCTTTGGTACTTGTGTATGTTTTGTACCGATTTATATTACGAATAATTATTTGTTTAAATGCGTTAAAGACGCTTAATCTCTTCGAAAAAATGCAAGGTTAGTAGAGGCTTAGTAGAGAATGCAAGTTAAATTATGCTAATTAAAGCTATTAAACTTATCTTTTGATGTTTTTATTACTTCCTAACTCTTTATAAACATCGCTTCTGATTAGAAGCGATCGCTTGCGCGTCTGCATTTTAAGTCGTACTGTTGTTTTCTATTTTTTTTTTTAATTGAAAAAAAAATAAATGCTTATTACTCATAATACCAATCTGGGGATTTTTGACGATATGTTTTTTTTTTAAATTGAAACAAAAATTAAGTGCTTATTACTCATAATACCGCTCAGGGGATTTTTGAGGATAGAGAGAACCTTAAAGTTTGAAGAAAAGAAATAATAAAATTGCAAATAATAAAATTTGAAAAAAATAAGAGATGGTTCCGAATAATTTTTTTATATATAATATAACTAGCACTTAAAAATTGCATTGTTATACCGGACAAAAAAAGCTCTATTGAAACGTGTAAAGAAATAATTTCATTTATTGTATTTATAGTTATTGTATATAAAATTATGGAATATAAAAAATAGAGTTTTCTACGTAAAAAGGTACTCTTGTTAAACATGGATAAAATGCCCCATTTTCAAATAAAAATAAAAGTAAAATAAAAAAAATATCAAAAAAATTCTTTTTTTTTTTAATTTAACAAATTTAACCAGATATATTAAGAAAAAAATTACATGTGTATCTCAACAAAGTGTAAACGTACGCTGTCTTTTTCTAGAGTGGTCAATTTTAATCATAATCCATAGTCGGTGAAATGTACAAATCGCGAAGTCTGCAGCATATGCAGTCAGCTAAAGCAACGTTTACACTTTGTGAATTAAAAATTATCGACTTGCATTTAAATTTCAAGTTATAAATTTTGTGTTAAAAATGTATTTAAATTTGTTAAAATAAAAGTTGTTGGTTTAAATTTGTAAAGAGTCATTTAAAAGAAAGTCGATAAATTTTTAATCCTAAAATTACCACTTCAAAATTTAAAACTAACATTTAAATGTAATGTGAGAGTTTTTGTGTAAAAAATGTGTCGACTATCATTTATAAATATAACTACAAATTTAAAGCAATAATTTTATGGAATAAAATATAAAAACTACAATTTTTAAAAACCAATATTTTAAATATAAACTTTTACATTTGCATTTTATATTTAAAATATTTTTTGATTATCAATTATTTTGAGATTAAAAAAATGTAACTATTTTGTTAGAAAATGTTTTATATGTGTTTTTATTTAAAATTTCTTGACACTATTTTTAATTACTAAAAAAATTTAACTTAACTAGGGTATTTCCATTGTAACGGGTGCGACACTAAAACTGCGTTTTTTCACGATAATAAAGTATTTGTTCATATGTATATCAAGATGCGTTAATATAAAAAAATAGTACAAAAAATTGGGTATTTAACTCAAACAAAATGTCAATAAAACTTGTATAAATATGATATAATGAATAGCGTAACGGGTGAGAAAATCGTCAAATGCGACCAAGTTGGCTTCTAAAGTTGATACTGTAAAATTTTGGATGAAAGCATATAGGGTAGAAGCACCTGTTTTGGCCACCGACCCCGTTGTGGCCAATTCGTTCGATTTTTTTTAAATATTAAGGGAACTGTTTACAAATATCCCTGAATCTAATTTCCCGCCGAATCCTTGGGTTATTGTTTTTGCTTTAGTGCATTCACTTTATTATGTTGGTATCATTGTAAATAAATGGAGGTTGTGTAAAAGGTGTTGTAATGTGTTGACATCCAATCTTTAGCAAAAACGTTAAGAAACGCAGGTAAGTTTTTTGATCAAAACATTTAATAGAATAGGAGCTTTAATATGATTGATGATTTTTTAAATTTTATAATGTTTAACAATGACAATAAAATAATGCTTATAAAGTTTAACCAACCGGTTTTGGGTAAAAAGCGGTGGCCAAAACAGGTCATAATAAAATGGCCATTTCTCCAGTTTTGGCCACTGCCTTGGCTAAAAACGGGGTAACGTTTTCCATTTTTGGCCACCATGGCCAAAAGTTATTTTATGGCCACTACTTTTGATCACCAGGCTGTTTTTAGGTACCTAGGTCCTAGCTACAATAAAGGCTTAAAGACTTTTTGAATCAGATTATAGTACCTACTTAGCTTTCCAATCAGTACTTTTTGCTGCAGTTTTAAAATGGATACGACAAAGAAAATAAATTTAGCAAAGCAAAAAACAAGGTTATTCTTTCAATACTATCCGGATCAACTAAAAAATGCCTTAGTGACTATTTGAAACGGCCGGTGGCTAAATCTAGCAAAACATTCGGCGTTCCTAGAACAACCTTACGAAATAAAATAGTCAGCCGGTCACTCGAAAAATAAACAGACGACTGGGGTGCCAAGTGTTCTGACCTCTGATAAGTGGCAGAAGCTAAGGAGAAGGAAAAGGAAGCCTTGGAGGCAGAAAAACAAGAGAGAAAAAGGAAAAAATAGAAAAGAAGATGCAGCGAAAAAAGAAGAAAAAAGCAGACAAACCAAAAAAGACTAAGTCAAAGACTACAAAAGCCAAACCCACTGACAAACCCGTTTCCGCAAATGGAGGCATACTCAGATGAAGATTCAAACAAGGAATATACGGAAACTAAAATAGAAAAATATAAAACCAAAACAGAGATTCATAAGGACACAATCGTCAGTGACACACCCGTTTCCGCAAATGGAGGCACATCCTCAGATGAAGATTCAAATACGTAAAATACGGCAACTAAAACTGAAGTATATAAAACCAAAGAAAAGATTTACAAAGGCACATTTGTCATTGTAAATAACGAGAAAAGTTACTTTCCTGAGATGGTTATAAAAAAATGGGTGTATGGTTTCTTCTAAGACTAAGGCTACATTTATTGGAAATGGCCAGAAAGGAAAAACGAGTTGCTGTATAAATATGAGGATGTAATTGAAATGATATGAGGATGTAAAGAACCTGTTCAGAAAAACACGAGGGAGCATATTTAGTGGACAAAATGAAAAAATATAAAGATTAGTTACCAAACTAAATGGGCGCACTGAAATATATAACTATAACACTGAAATATATAACGCTCTGAAATTTAGAACTCTATATTTTTTTTAAATGTATTTTTTAGAATGTATTTGTTTTTTAGAATGTATTTTTTATATTTTTTTAACTTTTTTATTACTAAAAATAATAAAAACTGAATAAAAATCGCTTTATTTTATTGGTGGCCAAAACTGGGTCGTCCTATGGCCAAAAATGGTGTTTTCCTGGCCAAAACCGGTGAAATGCGACTTTTTCAATATAAATTTATTTTTGGGCTACATACGTGCTTTCTCTTTTTATTCTATGTAGATATACTAAATTAACGATAGAGACGGAAACAGTTAAAATAGTTCGTCCAAAGCTAGACTCTATAAACGAATATTGGCAGCGCAGTAAACTCAAAATTTCTCTTAAAGTGGCCAAAACAGGTGCCTCTACCCTATTAATAATTTTTTTGTGCAAAACTTGAATAGGAACCTTAAACAAGCACGTATTTTAAAGGCACAAAAATTGCATACTTTATTTTCTAAAATTTTCTCAAAATGTAACGGGTGCGACATTTGAACATTTTATCGAGTATTGAAACTCTTCCGTATTTATTATTCTCAATGTTAGCTTCTTAGCATCACAATGAACGAATATTTTAAGGTTACAAATTACGTCGCAATCAAACTATTTGATTTCAGATATAGTTGTTATTTTGTTGAATAACACATCTCATTTTTTGTCAAGGTGGGGTAAGGTTTCGTGGAAATACCCTTTCCCAATTTAATCTAAAAAATTGTATTAAATATTTATTTAAGATTTACAAAATTCTGCCTAAATGAATTATAAATTATTGTTATTAAAAATTATGGTTAGAAATGTTTACAAAAATTGATAGGAAATAATATTGTTTAATACAGAATTGAACTGTTAGTTAGAGAAATGAGCTGAGTTACAATTTTTTTTATTTGAAAAAAAAATTGAAAACAAAAAAACGCCTCTCTGAAATTTTTTAGAGAATTTGCAGAAAATGTCAAAGTTCCTAATAAAAAGAGAAAATAATTAAAAATGATTTTCGTTTTCCGAAAATTGGTTTGAATAATTTATTTCTATATTTTTCTGAAAAAAAAAACATTTGGAAAAAAGTCCCGATAAGACAACTTTTGAAAAAGTTATAGGTAAAATAAAGAGCCAGATTTTTGAAAAATTCAAAACTTTTTTTGGGTTGAGTAAAAAAAGTTAAAAAAAACTCTATACAATGTTTTAGATAGGGAAGAAAAGATTAAAAAGTTTCAGCCAAATTGAAAGTGGTTGATTACATTTTTATCTACTTTTTAGATATACCCCTAAACCAAACCAATAGATGACTATCTTAAAGAGTATAGAGCCATATACTTAAGTATATGTATAGAGCCAAATGAAGCGCCCTCTCTGAACTTGGCTAAAAATTAAATTACGTGTTTACAGGCAACTGTTGTCAACATAGCTTTTAATTGGTGGAAAATCAACGTATTTGATTGGTTACTTCAATGGCGCTATATTTAAAATCTAACTTGTGGCTAGATTTTAAATGTAATTAGTAACGAAAACAATAACTTTGTTTTCTTCCATGTATTTAAGGTACTCCTGTGGTTATGCTGTTTAGTAATTCTCAACTTTTATAAACTAAAGAAATTCGCAGATTTATGGAAAAGCAATGAGGAAAACAAATGTATGTAAATGTAAAACAAGTGTATTTAGTATTCATTTGTAAAATCTGTGATTTTTTTAATTTGTAAAACTCGTATCATTATCATACTTATTCCTAAAAGTACCATTTCATATATGGTAAGAAACATTGTTTTTGTTATTTATGATAGTGTACCAAAAGTAACTCTCTCATTAATCATTATTTTAAAATTGAAGAATAGGTACTGTTAAATCCATAAATTTTATTAAACAACACATGCCTACCATCTGAAAGATTCGTTCAAAGTGTCGTTTATAAATTATTATTATAATACAAACCTTAGAAACAATACACAATAAAAACACACAAATACACAAAATCTTACAAAAATGCCATAACTACGGATATAATTGAACGTCAAAAACGTCAAAAAATTATAAAATCCGCGCCCTCTCTTGGCTTGGCTAAATATTATAATACTGTCCCGACATCCGACATAAGATACTTATCTATTGGTTTGGTCTAGGGATATACCCCTGATAGCACTGTACAGTTTATTCTAAGAATGTTTTTTAAACCTTCCAGTGGGAATATTCTTAGGATCATGCTATATTTCTTCTAGTCATGTTCTAAGAATGTTTTTTAAACCTTCCAGTGAAAATATTCTTGGATCATGCTAAATTTCTTCTAGTCATGTTCTAAGAATGTTTTTTAAACCTTCCAGTGATAATATTCTTAGGATTATGATATATTTCTTCTAAAGAACATGCTTAAAAAAATATAGCATAATCCTAAGAATATTCTCACTGGCCTATAGGCAGGTTCTTAGAAGGTGCAAAGTTTAGTGGTAAAAATTAATCCACTCTAAACATATGCTTAAAATGTTGAGAAAGTAATTGCTATAGAAAGTTCATTTAGGAACATTCCTGGAACATTCTGTTAAGCATATTCAGTTCAGTTAGGTACCTATATAATAGTAAAATATACCATAATCTACGTATAAAGGTACCTATACTTAGTATTAAATATTAAGTAAAAAACACAACCCAAAATATTTTTTATAGTTATTTTTTAAATTAAAACAATATTTGATAACAAAAATACTTTTACTATAGGTATCTAAATTATCCGGCATTTACATAAAATCTTCTATCCAACTTAAATACAATGAAAAATGTTTTTTTATGAAGAATTATTTGGTTTTTTCTTTTATGAAGAATTATTTTATAAGGAAATATTTTGTTTTTTTATATTTTATTTTTGTTAAAAATAAATATTTATTAATTTGTATACCGATTTTTTATATCTGAATTAACATTTTTATGTAATACATAATATGTATAATAATCCTAACTATCTTCAACTTCAATCTAATCTGACTTATCCCACAAAATTTTCCAATTTTACTATTTATGAAATAATGTCATACAACTTATGGTTTAAAGGTCAAATTGTTTATTTAATATTTTTAAATAAATATATATTAATATGTCGCAAAATTTTTTAAGGGGACGACAAATACATTTCACTGTCATATTATAAGAATTTAAGAATTTTACGAATGTAGAATCCAACATATTAGAACGTGGGTACATACCGTATCTGACATATTTGGAAATATTCTCAAAAGCTTCCTAGAAGGTCCATAAGAAACCTTCTAAGAACATTCCAAAAACGTATTCTTAAAATGTTCTTAGAATGCTTTTTAGGAAGGTTTTAAGAAGCTTCTAAGAATCTAATTGCATCATTAAAAGGGTATCTATTGAATGTTTTAAAAGTCCCTAAGAACATTCTTAGCAATAAGGGAAGGTTCTAAGAATATTCCATTATTCCGGGTCATATCTTCTTAGAAGATTCTTAGAATCAAATTTTGCTATCAGGGACCTAGCAGTTTTTGAGTTTTATGTTTTTTGTTCAGAGGAGACGTGGTTCCAAAAGACGTGAACGCCGCCATCGCCTGCATCAAAACCAAACGCTCCATCCAGTTCGTGGACTGGTGCCCCACAGGCTTCAAAGTGGGCATCAACTACCAACCGCCCACCGTGGTCCCGGGCGGCGACCTGGCCAAGGTGCAACGCGCCGTCTGCATGCTGTCCAACACCACGGCCATAGCGGAGGCCTGGGCCCGCTTGGACCACAAGTTCGACCTGATGTACGCCAAGAGGGCCTTCGTTCATTGGTACGTCGGCGAGGGTATGGAGGAGGGGGAGTTCTCCGAGGCCAGGGAGGATTTGGCTGCTCTCGAGAAGGATTACGAAGAGGTGGCTGTGGATTCTATCGAAGGGGACGCCGATGAAGGGGACGAGTACTAGATTTCGATCGATTTTTTTTACACCAGAACTGCTTTCATCTACAATTCCGTTTTTATACTACTAATTTATTAATATTTATTTACGTTTAATTGTACGCTTCCTTATGTAATAATTATACCTTGTATGTGCACTGATTTTATAAATTTTTCCAAGTAGGTAATTGAGTTTTTATTACACTAGGTATAGCTTGAAATCTAATTGAACGATTTGGCCAAACAAGCCCTTAAATTGAAGGTATTTGAGCCCTCTAAAACTTTCTTCTACATACTTTTGAGTGGCGGCTGGTGGATTTTCCCAGATAGCACCATTCGTCCAATGGACGTCCGTTTAAGATCCATTTTAAGTACATTGGTCCACGGACTAAAAATGGATGTACTATGTACGTCCATATATTTACATCCTTTGTACGATTTTAATGGACGTCCATATAGTGTCCATTTTACGTCCATAATTATTATTACAGAAATGCAAGTTAAAACGTATTGTTGGCTGCATAACAACAGTTATGATCAATCTCACTGACATTCAAGCAAGCGCGTGCTATAAAGGACTTAAGCTATCAATGAAATGTTAAACACTTGTAGTATTGCAAATGTAATGTTCCTGAGTCGAATACAAGGATTTCCTGCAATGTTCAACATTGAATGTTGTAACTTTTAACAACTTTTAGAATATTTATATTCCAAGTGGGTTTGTTACTGAGCCCAGCGTTACCAGATTCTGTCAAAAAAAGACCGTACGTTTCGTTCGAATTTACCTTAATTAAAAAAATGACTCAATGGACAATATTAAATAACGTCAACTTGACATAATTGCATTTATTTGCATTGTTTCATTGTGTCATTTTGTAATTAAGGTAAATTCGAACGAAACGTACGGTCCTTTTTTGACAGAATCTGGTAACACTGACTGAGCCAGACAAAAGGCATTTCAGTCATGTTGTAGAAAATTTTCTGCAACATCGCAATAGACCTATCCCATAAAACGGACTTTTGGATAGCGCGTGCGTGAAAAGGCACGTCGTCTTTTTTTAATTATATAAAAGAGAAAGAGATACCACTCTTCTTCAGGCACGCGCTATCCAAAAGTCTGTTTTATGGGATAGGTCTATGAAAATACAGTCGCAAAAAACAGTTAAAGTAAGCAAAAAAGCAGGTCCTGGATGCTGGAGGAATGGTTCAAACACCTTATAGACGTCCAAAGTTGTGACATCTGGACTCTAAACCAGTGTTCCCAACTGCAGGGAATTTTCCCTTTTTAGGGAATTTTGGTACCAAAAAGGGAAAAGGGAATTTTTTAGTAAAAATTGTTAAAATTAGGGAATTTTTCATATTAATTATTAAAAAGCCCACGTTATAGATTACACTTTTTTTTTCGGTCACTTATTTAATAAAGTGACCCAAAATAAAAAGAAGTTTGAAAACGCAGTCCAAATGTTGTGGCTAGAAGAAGAAGAAGAACCAAATATATGTCAACTGCGAGCTTTAATTAAATTAAATCAATTTTATTTCATGTTTACCTTTATATAGTAGTTACTACTCTGTATATTAAAATACAATTTATTAGGCTAGCTCAGTCGATAAGCGCATAATAGAAATATTTAAAGATAAAACACAAAATGATTTTTTTTTCAGTTAGGTTGCTTTTGCAGTATACGCCTCAGATGTTGTTTTGACGTTTGTTTTTTATTTTATTTTATTTTTAGATCATATTTTTTTGTTACAAATTTATTTTAAAAATTGTATTTTTGATATGAAGTCATTTTTCTTGGCAACATTGAAAGCAGGGAATTTTTGCACGAAATAGGGAATTTTTGCCATGCAACAAGGGAATTATTACTCTGAAAGGTTGGGAACACTGCTCTAAACGGATGTCCATGGGACGTCCATAGAAAAAAAATGGACATCGTATGTACATACAGACGTCCACGAGCATACGTCCATTGGACGTCCATAGTATACCTTTGTGCTATCTGGGAAACAACTTGTATTGTCACGCCAAAGTAAAGGACCATCTGAGCCTATATACTCTTCATGTAAGTCAACAGAGGCGAGATTTAAGAACATCACGTGATCCACACCGCCTTTGCCGCGATCGGTACACACTATGCAACCAGGAATACTTTAGAAGTATTTTGTACATACCTTCTTTGTACATACTATGCACGTACTGAGGACGACTGAACCTTACATTTTATGTACATAATATATAGTACGTACTTAATACATATTTTTTTGGTCTTAAGACGTAAGTACGTAAATATAACCAAAAATATACATTTTTAAAACGTACTGTGTTGTTTGGGCACTAGTAGTAATGCAAATGTAATCTTCCTGAGTCCGAATACAAGGATCATAGATGACAAGGATTTCCTACAATGTTCAACATTGAATGTTGTAACTTTTAACAACTTTTAGAATATTTATATTCCTAGTGGGATTGTTACTGAGCCAGACAAAAGGCATTTCAGTCATGTTGTAGAAAATTTTCTGCAACATCGCAATGAAAATACAGTCGCAAAAAACAGTTAAAGTAAGCAAAAAAGCAGGTCCTGGATGCTGGAGGAATGGTTCAAACACCTTATAGACGTCCATCGGTGGACGACTTATGGATGTCCAAAGTTGTGACATCTGGACTCTAAACGGATGTCCATGGGACGTCCATAGAAAAAAAATGGACATCCTATGTACATACAGATGTCCACGAGCATACCTCCATTGGACGTCCATAGTATACCTTTGTGCTATCTGGGCGCGGGCTATTCGACGTAGCCAAATAATACCGTCACGTCAAATAATACCGTTTTCGGCGTTTTCAAGTTGCACGGACGGTAATTAAATGAAAGTAATTATAAAAAGTAGGTGAACACAAACAATTATTTGGTAATATCCAAAATACTTTATAAACAATTTTGCAGTCACTTTTTACCAAACGGGAAATTTCCCAGTCTCCCGCCTGTCCCATCCGTCCCTGATAAAATAATACATCGAAATCGAGTACTAAACCAGTTTTTTAGTTTTTACTTGCGTGCGCGATTTAGCTGTGCAATTGAACAAAATTTATCTTTTGTGAAAAAAATACTTTTTTATTTAAAAATGATGTTCGTAGATATGCTTTAAATGTATTGTTGGCAATTCTTGAATTCACACAATACACCACCAGATGGCGTGCGCGTTGCAAAAACCCGATACTTCTTTACCGTATTTTAAAAATACTATTTTTTGTACATTTTATCCAATTTAAAAATCTGTATTTATTTCTGGCATATCATACTCATACTGGCATAGCACTTATACACAACAAAAAACTGAATCTTGTTAAATTTGTTACTTAATTACTAATAAATAATTAGTCACAGTACATTGCATAATTAACAAATAATAACACAAAAAACAAGCAGTCAGTTTATGGACGAACTATATATAGATATATATATAACTATATATAAATATACCCAACCATAATTTGATTACAATTCCAAAACTGAACAACCAGTATTTTAAATAAAGGCTAAATGACCCTGACTCCGTATTTTTCGGGGTTGTGGTATTTAAGTATTCCTGAACAACTTCGTCCGGTTCCTCGTCCTCCACGAAGACTTCATCTGGTTCTTCTTTGGAGGCCCAGTACTCCTCGTCCGTAGGTCCTCCTATGGGCCAGATCGATTCATAAGATGATTGTGTAGCCACAGGCCAGAGTGCTCCGCACAAGTTTGGATATATTTCTTTAGTTTTGGTTGTTTGAGGTGCGCGGGGAGGACATTGTGAGGCTGGCTCTGCCTTTTCCACTATGTGCCACTCGCGATTTGGCCCGGTGTTGGACCATTTGTAGTGCGAGCGTTCACTTTCGGGAAGCACGCACAATAATATATACTCCACCCTGTAACCTGGATTAAACGCCCTAGTGTTAAAGGAACACCCGATTTTATTGTTATTTGTTTGGAGGTAGATGCATTTATATTGATTCGGCGGGCACCTTTGTTTCATTGATTTCTCCAAATCTATCTTTCTAAAAAATTCCTTGGAATCGTACTTTTTCAGGTTTTTCTCAAATAAATTTATTTTGGATGGGTTTGACCAAGTTTTTAATTTCAAACAAATGTTCTTCTGGCGGCTTGCAATCTGGTTGTTCAAACACTGCGCCAAATACTCCAGCTCCAAATTGTAGTTGACAACTTCCATGTTAGGCACCGAATTGTTTGCCGCTTTTTCACTTCTGAATTCGTTCATTGCGTCCACTATCATCTGGCGCCTTTCTTCGTTCATGGATTCCATATGACAATTATAATCGGGCCGACACCGATTATTGCAAAGAAAATTTTCTCCATTCGTGCAGTTTATCAAGCAATATTCGGCAGGTATGGGTTTAAATGTATATTCGGAAAGGCTAAATTCCAATATACATATTAAAAGAAAAATTTTGAAATATGAAAGAACTTTAAACATCTTAACAACCTAGATTTATAGGATTTAAATAACCATTTTGTTGTCATGGGGAGTTGGACAGCAACCATAGACAATATATACCTACATATACTGTCAGTGTCAGATACCTAACCTTAATTTTATGTCGTGTCCAAAAATTCAAAATAAAGGCAAGTGGATTGTGGGCAAGTGATAGAACATATTTCTCTCGATATTGCAGCTCTACTAGTGGTGCTAGTTGGTCTTGAGATAATGAAGCTTTATGATTAGACTTTATGAGCGACTTTAACGTAAAGCATTAAATTTAAGGCTTAAGCCTTTTTGAAATTATAACCGTTTGATCTTAACATTGATTTAATACTGTTAACAAATAATGCTTTTTTAGGACAACTTGCCCCTAAGAAACGCCTATAGTCCAATAAGCTTTATGAAGGTTTATCAGATGCCTATTGGTTTTAATGGTGCTCGGAAAGTTGGCTTAAATGCATCTGTTAAAGCCGACTCATAGGAGCATTTGGTCTTAGGACTAATTTTTCTCCATATAAGAAATTCTTACTAAGAATGTTACAGAACCAAACGTCTTTAATAAAACCAATTTGCTTTCCAATTTGCAAATTTGCATGAGTGTAAACCATTGTGTTGCTATTATTTCTTTCTTAAAACGGTTTTGTCTTGATAATCGCCAAGAAAATAAGCCATGTCGCCGCCATGCACGAGGAGTGTTTTAGAGCGGTGGTTAAAAGTTAAAAAAAAGTGGAAATTTGTATAGAAAAACAAAGTTGGCTCTTCTGTGTTGTTGGCAAAACATCTGATGGCGATACTTTTGATGAAACGAAAACCCGCCTCGAAAATTAAAATCACAAATAGTAGACAAAAACAAACGATAAGCACGAGGTGCGCGTGCACTATACGGTCGCGACCGTGTTCAACGCGCCGTGTTGCTTTGAATAAAAAACCTTTTTTTATTCAAAGCCATAGAATGTTCAAAGCCGTGTTGCGATCCCGGAATTGAGGGGCGGTCGGGGTTGACAATAAAACGTTGTCAAGTTTCAGATAGGCACCCATGAAATCGGACAAGGGATTATAATAATCCATTGTTCCATGACATACCGTAAACACGGGCGGCTTTGCACCCCGCGGGTGACTTTAACCCTTTTATGAAAAATCTTGTCGCCCTCGATAAAATTAACAATTATAATTTGTAACCTGTCAATTGAGCGAATTTATTAAGTTTATATTACAGGAAAATCAGTGTTTTAAAGAAATAAATGGGATTTATTACACTTTAAAATTGTATATATTGCATCAGTGCAAAACTCTTAAAAATACACGCGTTACAATTTATATATTATGCACAATCCTTTGGAATGACGATCCTTGGCTAACTATACAGGTCGATTTTTTATTTTTTTATCGGTAATCCCTTGCAATCGCTATATGTCTCTGCTAGCATGTCTAATAAAAATACAAATAAAAAAAAATATTGAGCCCGCAACCAGGGGGTAACTTGCACACCCAGTTTTTAATTTTTATTTTTGAAACTCAGCCCTATGTAATATTATAACATAATTATTATGAAAGAGCAACTCAAGACTCAAATTTTAATATAAAATATTTAATGTTTACTCGAATGTTTATGATTGTTAAAACCACAAAATTTTAAGCGGTCCGGAGTTCGCTGGAAGATTCGGGAAGGCACGTAGGCACTGAATATATAAGGAACAGCGCAGCATGGAAAGTCAGTCAAGCTTTTGTTCTCGCGACGAAATAAATTAAATAAAATAAATAGCTAGCTAGAGTCTAGACTCTTGTACAGTAATGATATATAAATAATATAATATAGTTAGTAGTTAAGTGTTTAGTTAGTTTTATAGTTTCTTAGTGTTTTAAGTATAATTTATAAAATAAATCGTTTAGTTCGTTAATAAACCAGTGCGTGTTTTAATTCACACTGCGAACAGTAAAAACGTTACAATATTATATTTTTGTAAGCGACAAGTTAACAGGCGCATCTTTGCGTACGAAATATTTAATTAAATGCCGTTCACTTAACAAAAAAATATTGAAAATGTCTTTAAACATTCTTAATTTAAACTTTCTTCTTACTTTTTTTCCGTTATTACATTTTTAACCAAAACTGTTTATTTTTACATTGAACCACTCCTGTGACTAGAAACCCAATACTTTTTGTCCCTATTAATATTGCGCTATCAAAAATTGGCATTAAAAAAAAAGAAAAAATAAGTAGCCAAAAAAATAATGGCGGGTTTTTGAAAATTTTATTGGTAATTGCATTTATTTTTTACCATTCTCACAAATTTTCATTAATTTTTTATAATTAGTTTACAATTAATTAATTTTTAAATTAAATGCTACAGATTTTTTTAATCATACATTGTGAATAAGCAAATTAAGTTAAAAAAAATGTTGTGGTCACTTTCTACTTCTTAGTAGATAATTAATTAATATTTATTTTTTATTTTTTGACGTCGAAATATGAGGCGCCGTTTGTGCCATAATTATGATTTGTAAAATATATAATAATTTCTAAAATAAATATATATTTTATCTAAAATATATATATTTTAGCTTATTTTATAACATATATATTAGTTTTACTAAAATATAATAATATTTTTACAAAATAATATATATTTGGACGGTTGAACTAATAATATAATTTTAATACTAATAATATAAACTCAGCTTACAAGACGTAACGCCAGGAGGCGCTGGCTGCTTTATTTAACTTGGCAACGCAGCCTGTGTGTAATTGCATGTTGGAGTTACTGTGGTGTAAATTAAATAAAACTAGAAGGTACATTAAAAATAATAATACCTCTGGTACGTAATAAAGCACTTGGGTATAAGTTTAAATTAAAATCTAACAGATTAATAGGTCATTTAAAATTTCACCGCAGTAATGGAACCAAATCGACGACATAGTTTTGCGTAGCCCAGAATTAAGGAATAAAAAATTATTGTTTAAAAAGAGAGTCACGACAATAAACATCCAGTTAAACATATAAAAAATAACAAAAAGCCAAAGTGCGGCAAAAAGTTAAATAAAGCTGCCAGCGCCTCCTAGCGTTACGTCTTGTAAGCTTAGTTTATATTATTAGTATTGAGTTTATATTATTAGTATTACTGTTTTAAATATATATTATTTAGTTAAAATATTATATATTTTAGTAAAACTAATATATATCTTAGAAAATGAGTTAAAATATATATAATTCAAACAAATTATTTATATTAAAAAAAAAATATTTATATTTTTACAAATAATTCTATATTTTATAAATCATAATTATGGCACAAACGGCGCCTCATATCGAAAATCATAGACTCATTTTTCTCTCTCATTTCTACTGTATACCTTGTATTTGAAGTCATCAAAATTTAAAATTTAAGCAAAAATAATTTTAGTTTACTCTCAAATAATATACAAATTTTAATTAATATAAATATTATTTAATTATAAAACCAATAATCTTGACATTTTGCTAAGGTTTTAAATTTGTACCACTTTAATTTAATATATCTCTTAAAATATTAATTTTACGAGTATAATTTATACAGGGTGTCCCAAAAATAGTATGCAAGACAAAAATAAAAAGAAAACTTCCCATTAACATAGGTCAGCAAATAGCTCCTATTTTTTAATTGGCTTTTCTGTTTAATGAAATAAAATAAACCCAACAAGACTAAATGAAGGATGAGTTACTATAGTGCGTGTGTTTTTTGGCGTCCCCCCACCTGTATCCTATATTTAGTCTTCTTGAATAAACCATTGAATAAAAATGTAAATGCCAATTCACTAACATATTTTGACAACTCGTAGATTTATGGTGGACAATTTGTGGACCACAAAATGTGGTACAGTTTAAATTATAACAAATTAAATTTTCTATCATCTTCATTTTTCTCTTTTTTATTTTGTAAATATTTATGAAAAAAACATTATTAAATGTAAAAAAAGTTTATTTAATACAAAACAGAAACTTTATATCATTATACATAACATAAAAATAAAAAAATGCTTACTTAAAATTGTAAAATTAAAAACTTAACTTTGCAATCATTTTTCTCACATCATCGATATTGTCGATGCTCTTGAAAATCTTGCTGAATAACGTGCGATTTTTGTTCTCCATTTCCAACGATTTGGCAACGTCGCGGCCTTTCGCGACAATGTCATGATTCAGTCCTGCCAATCTGGCAGCGTTGAAACCGTAGGATTTCGGACAACGGCCCTCTGCAATTTTGTAAAGGAATGTCACGGATTCTTGGGTGGGATCTTCGTCATTTTCTACCATGCATGCCTAAAATAAAGGTATTAAGGGTCCGAAATATTGGCGTTTTCTGTGCGAAGGAACAGAAGAAACTTTAGTATACAGATCTACCCAAGAACAAACACTCCCTTACTAATTTATTAGACTAATAAATTGGCCAGGGAATGTAGTTTTTTTCCCAAGTAGCACAATTGGTTAAATAACTAGCATTTTAAGTAAATTAACCAAAATATAAGTAAAATAAAGTTTTTTTAAACTTGGTTATTTTTTAGTTCATAGTAACCTTAAAATGTTAATAATTAATAATGGTTGAATTAGTTGAATTCAACCATTAACATTTTAAGGTTACCATGAACTAAAAAATAACCATTTAAATTTACCAACAGGTTGCTATAACCTTAAGGTAAATTCAAAGGTTATTTTTTAGTACAATTTAATTAATAAAAGAAACCTTTTGGTAATATTACCAACTAGTTAATATTTGGTTTATTTAAAGTCAATTTGAAGTCTTGAGATAACCTAAATTTACCCATTAGCAGTGGCGGCTCGTGGCAGTAAAATTTGTGAGTTCTGCCAGTGGGGTTTAAAAAAATTACCCATCAAACCCAGGTTCATAACATTGTTTAAGTGGTTTTTCGATGTTTCATGACGTTTAATTTTTTCGCTTAGGTGCACTAAGTCGGTTACACCAACTATGGTCCAAGTTTTTTCTCCACCAAACAAAAGGCACGGAAAACAAAAAAGGGAATTATTTTTATTGCATCCGCATATCCTGTCGTTTCTGGCATAAATGTCTCTTGTAAAAATCCTTTTATACGATTTTCCCCGGCTTGAACCACACTTTTCTATTGAAATATCGGGCAACGGCCGTCCATCCTCTTTTAGTTTTAATTTTTTTTCAAACGTATAAAGGGAGAATTTTTTAACATTAATTAAATCATACACCACATTCATTCTTACAAAAGAATACAACAACAAACACAAAAATACACGGAATTAACAGTCTTCTAGTTAAAATAACAAACGTGAACGCGAAGCGAGAAACAAACGACTGGGAAGTAGGAACTGTATGTTAATGCCGCTCCGGTTTGGCTTAAATTTCGCTATCTTAACCCAGGACCAAGAGCGGCGCGGAGCAAAATTACGGTATTGAAATGGGAGCCAGAACTCGAAAGTGGTCCAGCTTTGTTGTATTGTAAACGTTAGAGACCTTTACCGGTCGTTTGTATGACTGTAGTGGCCAAGTACGGCGACACGGCGAATGTTTATAATAAAAACTTTTTTATGCAGCCATGCGTTTGAAATATTTATACACTGTCGCACTTAAATATTAAATAATTAAAATATTAGTCAAGTAATAGACAATTTTGGGAGTTCTGCAGGTCTGCAGCCCTTATGCACTAGCCGCCCCTGCCCATTAGGTTATTTCAAGAGTTTAAATTGACTATACATAAATCAAATATTTAACTTCTTAATATAACTTATAAGTTAAAAAGCAGGTTATTTAAGAAGTTACATAACGTTATATTAACTTTTTAAAATGGTTAAGACTAGTTATATATATTTTGGTTTAGTTTAACTTTTAATATAACTTTTTGGTAAATTAACAACACCTTTGGTTAATTTGGATATATTATTTTAACCAACAAGTGATATTTTACCAAATATATTTTAACTCGCTGGTAATTTAACGCAAATTAATAAACTGGTTGAAAAAGTGATAGTTTTGCAGTTTACATTGTTACCTGCATAGAAAAATTAGTCTCAATACAGTTTTGTGTGATAATCGAACCTAAAAGAAATAATTTTACAAAATATAGACGTTCTTCCACTTACTATAGTTAACACAGTTGTAAATAAATATTTATCTGCAAATCTTAAAACCGTTCTCTTACATTTAATTTATCTGGTAAGCATCACATAACATATGCGTTTTATAAAAAAGCAGAGCTGCTACTAAAATCAGAACGTAAGATTGGCGGGAATATTTTTTAGGTTAGTTATTTTAAAAATAACAAGTTTGTTTAATTTAACTAAAGTCGTTTTTTCGCGTAAATACTATGTAATACTACGGTTAAATAAGTCATGACGTCACAGTTAATTCATATAACCATGGTTAGGTTTCTAACATTTGACATTTGTTTACTTGTTCATAACCTATAATTTTTGAAATGTGTTTTTACCTATTTATATTTAATTTCTATGCTTTTACCGGTGTAAATAAATTTCTTTGCCTCTTCTTATACCTAGTAGGTATATTCTTTTTCTATAGGTACTAGTTTTTTCAATACACGTTATCTAATTCTCCTACATGTTTAATACAAAATAAGGAAGAATATAAAACAAACCTGCATATAATTCCTTCACTTGTGGAGATTCCACAATATGGAGCACCCTAGGGTGCTCCATATTGTGGAATAGCTATCATTTATTGTGGAATAGCTATCATTTATTTTTACTGACAACACCCCGTTTACCATTTTAATACAAAATTTAAATTGTACCCACTTAAAATATTTTAAAGTTCAAATGTAAACAACTTTTTGACAGATCGAAACAGAGAAAAATATATATTAAAAAGAGAAAAACTATTAACCACATTGAATAACTAGCTCAGCGATATAGTTTTATGGTCTGGTATTTGTGACGTCATAGTTAGGATTTTTGAACGCACTCTAAACGCCAAAATGCCTTAACTATTAACCAAGGTTAAGTTTAATAACCATAGTATTTCATGGTATTTACGCGAAAAAACGACTTAATTTTAGTAATTATTAACTATAATGTGTTACATTAACCAAAAGTAGTTAAATTAAACACAATAAAATAACCAAATGGTTTAAATAAACTTTCAGGTTAATTTGTATTGGTTACTTACACAGTACGACAAAATTTAATTTTTTTCCCTCCCATAGAAAACTCCTATAGATTTTAAAAAAAGGCCTAAAAAAATGATGACCCGTGTCTCTTATTTTTAAGTGCGATCCAATAAAATGTATCTCTTTATGAAAAATTTATTCACTGTATAAATGGAAAACCATTAAAATTATTTATTTATTTTAAAATTATTTTAATTATATACAGGGTGTTACACATTTACGAAATACGGGTGTTTCACGTTCGTGGTCCATTGAAAGTTTCTGAGGAACGGCAAGAGATATCGATTTGAATTTTTTAAAGCGTTTATAATCCAATTAAGCCCATTTTCCTAAAATATTTTAAACAAAATCCCACTTTCGGTTTGACCGGAAGTGACATCAACTTTGTTATTTTAAATAGAACACCCCATATATTTTTACATAATTCTACGTAAAATTACTGTACCATGTCCTATACTTTAAGTGAATAGTTTTCGAGGTATTAATTTTTTTCGTTAAAATTTGACAAATGCGCGTCAATCAAAAATAGCCTACAACTTTTTTGCTATTAGGTTTGCGGAAATGGGGGTGGAATTTTTGTAAACTTAAAACATTGTTTAAAAGATTCCATGTCAATTCTTACACATTTTTTAACAAATTACCCAAGAAAACCCAAAGCAAATTACACCCTGTACGTTTTTACATAATCAAATAGTAAATTAAAAAACATTTTGATTAATGTAATTATTCTCTTTAACACTTTCGCTGCTGACTGGTATGGGCAATCGACCCCCAGAAACTGAAATAGTTTGGGAAATATTAAACAGTTTGAAAACAAGAAAAGTTTAAAACACATTTATTTTATAAAAAAAACTCAGGGCTAGGACGTCTTAAGACGTCGTCAGCCACCTGCTAAAAAAATTTATCCAGAGGCGGAAGACGTCTATGTCTAAAGGATTACTAAAGGATAATAAGCGATATTTTAGTGGACGTCAAAAGGCGCCGTTCGCCTCCCACTTAAGAAGCGGTGGCCGTCTTTAGACGCCGTCAGCAGCGAACGTGTTAAATAAATTTAATAATTTTAGAGATATTTAACAATTTATAATATTAGACCCAGAATAGTCTAGAAGAGCAACGTCTAATGTAGAAGTAAGAATTAAGAAATGCTTGAATGTAAATTAAAAATTTAGTAATAAATTAGTAATAAAAATTGTTGGTTTATTAAATTGTTACAGTTACGCATTCTTTTTGTTATTAAAATATTTCATAAAATACATTTTATATTTTATTGTCTCCAATGAGCTAGTGCTTTATCTAGTTGACATTCTACACGTTTTTTTTTTAACATTTGGATTGCTAATATTTTTAAAAATTCACTGACTGCTTTTTTATCAGTAATTTTGTTTACAAAACACTTAATTAGTTAACAATTTGTTTATAAGGACCTGAAAAATTGACATTAAATTTTGAACAATGATAGATTACATGGTAACCACAGATACCGTTAACTCACCCATCTCAGATATCTTGATACAAAATGATATTTAAAGTTTTAGAAATTGTTAAATTTCTCTGAAATTATTACCTTTAGGTATAGGGAATAGTTACAAGTTTTAAGTTAGCCCAATTTGCCCTGGGGTTTCTCGGGTAATTTGTTGAAAAATGCTAAAGAATTGACATGGAATATTTTAAACAATGTTTTAAGATTTCAAACATTTTACCCCTATATCCGTAAACCTAATAGCAAACATCTAGAAAACTATTCTTTTACTTAACTAAACTTTTAGTCAGAATTTTATTATAATAACAAAGTTGATGTCACTTTCGGTCAAATCGATATTTTTTTCCGTTTCCCTAAAACTTCCAATGGCCAACGAATGTGAAACACCCTGTATATCAAGTAGTTTTTTTAGGTTGTGATACCACTAAAGATTCTAAAGCAATCGTCAAACTAAAAGATCAAGATTTGTTTCCAACATATATTTAATATAATATAAATCCAAATTTGTTGATTTATTAAAAAAAAACGAAAATTAAAACCAGAAATATTTTTTTTAATTTAATAAAAGTTCAAATTATTTTTTGAGTATAATTTTTGTATTATGTAAAACAATACAATATTAAAAGAACACAAATTATTTATAAAATACAATAAGAATGTCTGTTTAAAAAATTTAAATGACGTGATTTTGTGAAACGGTGAGACAAGGGTACGTTTTTTAACATTTATTCTTAAAATCTGGTTTTTTTTTTGGGAGAAAAATCGTGTTGAACTGTGTTATATACCAGTAAGTAAAAGCATCCCAAAATCGCCATATTGTTTGCTGTCAATTCTAACAAAAGGAAATGCCATAAATTTTAATAATTTGTTTTATTCCAAAAATAAGGTAATTTAAACAAACCAATAATAAAAAATAAAATAATTTTATGTTTAAAAGTATTTTAAATCAATTTCAAACAAAATAAAGAAAAATAGGCATACAAATATTGTGTACAAGTATTATGTACTACTTCATCAGAAAAACCAGTGATTTTACCCTTCTATCAAACTACCAAATATTACCTTCTTTTAAACCAAAAGGTACGTTAACCAAGAAGTTAAATTTAATTAACAACGTTAATTTTACCATAATTAAATTCCCCACTTATTACAAAATAACGTTAGTTTAAGGTTAATTTAACGTTGTGGTGCAATATTACTTAAATGAATTAACCAGGCATAACGTAAATTTAAAGTTAATTTAACCAGCTGTGCTACTTGCTGATAAAAACAAACTTACCATATGACCTAGCTGAATATCCTCGTTGCCGATGAACCTGTCAACCAGCGAATGGTAATGCGTGGCAAACATGGTTCTGCACTTGATACTGGTTATTTTTTTTAAATATGCGGTGGCAATGGCGTTGCCGTCCGTGGGTGCTGGTGCCGCGGGCCGAGCTCGTCCAACAGGACGAGGGAATTTTGTGTGGCGTGTTGCAAGATTGCCGATGCTTCGGACAATTCCACGAAGAACGTGATTGGCCCTGTATGATGTCGTCGTGGGCGCCTAGACGCGTGAAAATCCGGTCTATGAGGTTTAGTTCGCATAGGGAGGCCGGAACGCAACTTCCCTGAAAAGGAAATCTTCTTTTCAAGTCATACTTCTTGACGCGCGAAAACGGAAAAATTGGAAAATTTTCCGAAAAATTGACCTTTGCAATTTTTAAATTTTATTTAAAGGGTAATACGAACAAAACGCAAAATTTCCAAATTTTTACAGAAGATATCCGTACTCTGATATCGAGAAAAAAGTAAATTTCAGACGCTGATTATAATCATAATATTTATTATTAGGCGTAATAATTATTCCTTTTATTTTAATTTAGTACGAATATTCTACCGGGCCGCAAAAAAACATTTAGTGATGTATTAACATACAAACTTTAGATTTATTTGACACAAAATTATAATGTTGTAATTTAACTTTATAAATCATTAATTATTTTCTAATTGGATATTTTAAATGGACATTTTAATTTAATTCAATATTTAGATATATTTTTTTTTGTAATAAAGAATTTTATTTTATTAGAAAAAAAGTGAGTTGTTGATTGCTACTTTTTTCAAATATGTATATTCTCTAAAAAAATTCAATTTTTCCCAAAAAGGACAATTTTTCCGTTTTCCCCAATTTTTCCGTTTTTTTTCCGACACTAAAACGCTACTATAGCGGCAAATTATGTTGAAAATACAATGTTCTTATAGCTTGGCCTCTCAGCAGAAAAAAATTGTTTTCATGATTTTTAAATAAAGTGATTTGATTTACTTACCCAAGAATATTTTTTCTTATCTCAGCAGAAAAAAATTGTTTTCTTGATTTTTAAATAAAGTGTTTTGATTTACTTACCCAAGAATTTTTTTTTTAAATTTGTATGACTAACTTTTTTATTATTATTATTTCACTTTTAATAAAAAATTATGTGGTGAAAGAGTGATCAATTTAAGTCACCACCTTTGCAATGCATTGTTTTTTACTGTGTAACCACCCATTTTTTAAAGAATGAATAAAAAAAACTATTGTTTTATGTAAAATTTAGTATGGTCACAAAGTACTATAGAGTTTTACTACACTGCCCGTCAAAATTAACGCATAACAATTAAAAAAAACGTTCGAAAAATAACTTTAAGGGATAAATAAAAAATATGCTGTAAAAGACCGTATTTTCGTTAGTATACCCTGAAAATTTTGTACAAATCAAACGAACAGTAACGAAGATACAGCGCTTCAAAGTCGGTAAAAATGACCCCTTTTTTATTATTTTGCTGAAAAGTGGTCATTTTTGACGACTTTGAAGCGATGTATTTTCGTAACTGTTCGTTTGATTTGTACAAAATTTTCAGGGTATACTAACAAAAAACAACATATTTTTTATTTACTTAAAAATAAATTTCCCTATAAAGTTTTTTTTTCGATAATTTTTTATTATTAAATTAAAGGGCTTTAAGGATATTTTCTCGAAAAACCCTTGAACACGTAAACTTAGATATAAGTTGAAGTATTTTTATACAAAATTTTATAAAGATTGGTAAAGGCGTTTTAGAGTTGTATTTTTTTTACTTGTTATGCGTTAATTTTGACGCGCAGTGTATTTTGTGCTTCAAAAACACTTTTTTTCTGGTTTATAGACAACTAAAGATTAATTTTTTCCAAACTTTTAGTTTCTTTTAATCTTTCTAGAAAAACGGTTTTTCCCGAAAATATATTTTTTTGGACATTTTAAATCCATAATTGTGACATTATTTTGGATTAAAGGCCTATTTGGACAGAGGCGAATCATCATATTTACCATCTTGACACTGACTTGAAAAATTTATAAATAATTATAACATACACTCACCATTTGGGCCATAACGGAAATTAGTGCAGCCTGCCTCATCAAAGTGGATTTACCGCCCATGTTGGGCCCTGTTAAAATCAAAATTTTTGCGAAATTTTCCACACCCATTTGCAAATCATTCGGAACAAAATTATCTACATTCATCACGCAAGGATGTCTGCCATTCTCGATGATAATTTGTTGCTAAAATATAAAATAAATAATAATAAAAAATACGAGAGTTAATATTGTTTGTTTACGTTGTTGTCATCTTTGATTTTGGGCATACAAATGTCCTGTGAAAATGAACGTGCATACTCGGCCAAAGAGCATAACACGTCCAAAATGGTGAGGCATTGTATGACTTTGTCCCATTCGTCGTATCTCTGACTGAATTTTTCGAAAATTCTGCGGTTCAAATCCAGAATTATTTTGGCCTTTTCGGCTTCTGCTTTGAGCATATCTGCCAAAAATTGCTAAAAATCAATGTAATTGTATTGTTGCAGAAACATTAAATTATACTAAAAAAACTAAAATTAATCTTGATAAAATTTAAATAAATAAAAACATACAATCAAAATTGTTATTATAGTTTTTTTAAATAAAGATTTTTTTACAAACATTTAAAAATAATAATTATAATAAGGGTCAAAATTTATTTACGGGCCAATTTTGAAAAATAAAAGTTAAAAAATAAAAGTCGGTGTAGTTTAAAAGACCTCAATTTTTTTAGTTGGTACAGGTTTCTTCTACCAAATTTTGTATGTGTCCGCACTGGATATGTAGGTTTCTGAATTTCCGGCATCTTTTTTAAGCAACATAACCGCCGTTTTTAACGCCGGTCACACGTTCAAATCATAGATTATTTGTAAAACGTAATAACGAAATAAAAAAATATTTATATTTATTATGAACGCATATATTGATGTAAATAAATAAATAAATAATAGTATATTAAAGTACAAGTTGCAGAAGGACACATATTCTCGCACGAATTCGAAATTTGGCCTCGAGCGACGAAGGAGCGAGTGGACGAACGAATGAGTGCCAGAATAGCCTTCTGCAACGTGTGATTTATACTATTTTCTCGATTTTAACTTTTATTTAGGTTTTTTTAATTGTTTTGTGGTCGTTGTTAGTTAGGGGATTTTTCTCGCAAAATGGCAGTTGGCAACACAAAATGACAATATTTGTTATCCTGCACAAGTACAACCTGAACTGCACTTTTTTACATTAAACTTAAAATTTTGCATTAAAATGCATTGTTGGAGCAAACTTAATATTACAAAACAATAATAAAGGCTTCATTTTCAATAAAAGTAATGAATTTGAGGTTATTAATCAGTTTGACATTTTGGGGGTACCAATACTTAAAAACTAAATGTTACCAAAAATCGTTTAAGAATGAGCTTCATTCTTCAACGATTTTGCGTGCGAGAATATGACATTCTTACATAAAAATCGAGAATAGTATATTAAAGAACTAATGTCATAAGATGTCATTTTGTCGCACGCGGACAATTTATAAAACGAGCGACGAAGGAGCGAGTTTTATAATGGACAAGTGCGACAAAAGGTCTTATGACATGAGTTCTTTATGCTATTTTATCTATTTTGCAAACATTTCATAAAACAAATTAATTTTATACCTTATATTTAATTTGGTTGAATTTTACTTTACATAGTTGGTATCTCAGTTTGAAGTTTGAAAGGTCATTAACCTTTCAAACATTATCACATTCTTTCGCTATGGCGTCGTTAATTTACAATAAGTATTTACAATAAGCGGCTGTTAAAAAAGAAAAAAGGATTTTCTTTGGTGTTAAACAAAATTTATTGCACGAAAAGTCTCGTAAGTACTAGAAAACAAATCATAAAAATATTATAACCTATAGGTATTCAAAATTGTATTTTACCAGTAGCCAACCTATAAAATCAAAATTTTGGGTGGAATAAAGTACCTCATTAAAGAACCAAAAGCGGTGTTATAATGAAGTCATTATGAAACCAAAATAGATAAAATACTTTTATATAGCAATTAATAAGAAATTTGAAGAATATTAAAAATAGGCCATGTGACCGTTGTTACGACACAAAAACATACGCATGAACTAATTTTTTCATAATTTGAGGAAAAATTAAGTAAATATAATGAAAACTTACCTATTTAATGCAAAATCAATAGCAGCAAAGTTTTCGTAACACAAAATTTAACGAAGACTGATATTAGCGCCTTTGGCGGCAAAAATGTGAGCGTATATGGACCGGCGTTACGCACAATCTGGGGGACACAGCTTTAAGGCACTACCGAAACTTTGATATTGTAAAGAGGAGTATAAGAAAAATTGTTTAAAAAATTACGTAGCTGTTTCTATATCGTAAATTATTTAAATATTTATTTTCAACTTTGGACAGTAAAATGCAACAGATTTAACATAATAAACAGACGACAGGGACATGTGACTGGCGTTACATTTTGTCATTTTAAACTTCGTTACTTTTAATTTTTTTTATACAAAAGCTACTGTACTTTGTTTTTTACTGGAAAATATGTGCCTTTACACAGGAATGGTATGTGTAACCAGGTAATGCTTGAAAAATTTTTTTTTTCCAGGGACTGAAATTGACCTGTAAGTAAATTTTGACCCAAATTTTTTTTTTCCAGGGACTGAAATTGACCTGTACTTAAAACAAATTCCAAATACCTAAAAAGAATTAAAACGTTTAGAATATCGTAGAAATACATTGAAAACAATAGAAATAATCCAAAAAAACATGTAATATTATTTTAAGGTTTCTGTAATAGTATATTATGTATCAAGTTTGATAAACGCCATTTTATAGACGAATTTAATTTAGGCACGAGCGAGCTTGCGAGCGAGTGCTTAAATTAATGAGTGTATAGAAAAGTTTATAAACGATGTGCATACTATACTTTTTCTACGACAAATACTATGAAATAATAGGGGAATCTGTGTGTCACCGTCAAATGTCACATTTAGTTATTTTATAAATCGAAATGTATTTCTTGGAAATTGACAGTTTTTCACAGTGAAAGTAAAGAAAATGTTTTATGAGCACTTTACAGTGGAGTCCGTGCCCGAATTTAAGTTATAGTTTACTGCCGGCGAAATTAAAAGGTCAGTACAATGTTTATATAAACTTTTTAAATATTGGCGTTGAGAAACTATTTAATACTTTTGTATTTTTGTATTGGGATAATAAAATAATTTTCACATTTAGTATTATTTTACAAGAAAGGCACTTTATTTTAACGATTTTATGACATTTGACAACTGTCAACTAAGTTAAAACTAACTTCAGCCCGTGACTAAAGCACCATAAAGCCACAACTTGTCAATGTGTATTTAAAAGGTCACTAATTAGTGTCGTGGAAACATGTACGATAAAGGGCGTTTTAAAGGTGGTAGTAGAAAAAACTATTTTTTCCGCGTTTAAAACGCCCATAATCGTACATGTTTCAATGCCACTAAGTGATCTTTAAAGACGCATTGACTAGTTGTGGCTTTATGACATTTTAATCACGGGCTGAAGTTAGCAACAGGTTTTTAGTCACGGGCTGAAGTTAGTTGACAGTTGTAAAATGTCATACAATCGTTAAAATAATGTGCCTTTCTTGTAAAATGTAAAAACGATTATCTTAGTACAAAAATACAAAAAATATTAAATATTTTCTTAACGCCAATATTTGAAAAGATTATACAGGGTGTCCCATAACTAATGGACAATACAGCAACTGTAGAAATAGGAGGTCAAAATAGGTCGATTAACACAAATATGTCTTAGTAAAATATTAATAACAAACGAGATACAGGGCGATAAATGTGAGATTGGGTGAATTAATACTTACTCTTTCGACATGTGTCATTAGCGCCCTCTAGGAGTAGCATACAAAATTATGACAAATTATGACAAATTCCTCGTCCTTTAAAACTGTTGTGTACACATTTTAAGTTTGACACATTGAATAGTTTTCCAAAAATAACAAATTTTCAAAAATCAGATCTCACATTTATCGCCCTGTATCTCGTTTATTATTAACATTTAACTAAGACATATTTGTGTTAATCGACCTTTTTTGACCTCCTATTTCTACAGTTGCTGTATTGTCCATTAGTTATGGGACACCCTGTATAAACGATTGTAGGTATAGTCAAAGATAATCTTTGGGTATACTGTACTGACCTTTTGAGTTTGCCGTAGTAGTATAGTTAACTATATTTAACTGATGAGCGTTAAAAATTTTGGTAATTATGAAAAACTGCTTCTATATCGATTGTTAGTCTATTTTCAAGGGATACCTTTTGATTTACACAGAAAAATTTGAGATTTTAACGCCGGTAGATTCCCAAGTTAGAAATTTTGACGGGAATTCCAATAAATAGTGTCACTTTTTGTAACATTTCCTGTGTAAGAATGTTTAATACTTTGTTATAATATTTTGCAATTATAGTAACAAAAAATCAAATGATAAAATATTTTCTTAAAATTTTTAAAATAAAAAAACGGGCAATTTTAGTGGTGAAAACGTCAAAAATGTTTATTGGGATATTTAATTTCAATCATTTATTAGATAATATTAAGTATTTGTTGTAGAAAAAGTATACCATGCAACACGTTTATAAACTTTTCTAGACACTCATTTAATTAAACAATAGCTCGCAAGCTCTCTTGTGCCTAATTAAAATTTTAGAATAAAATGGGGTTTATCAAACTTGATACGTAATGCACTATTATCTGAGCGTGCGAAGTTATTACTTTTTCATAACCATGCGGAAAGTAAATGCATGCAGAAAGTAGCAACTTTCCGCACGCTTATGGAAAAATTACTTTTTCTACAAATAAAAAATTACAGCAAGGAAGAGAAAAAAATATTGTACACGCGTAAAGTGTATTTTTGCACTAGTGACGTAAGTATATTTTGTTCCTTTAAGATGTTTTTTTTTTCTTATTGTTTTTTAACTTAATAAATTAAAATTTCCAATGGAACAACCTATTTTTTATTGCAGATTCGGATCCTTCGACTAAAAATAGGTAGATTTTGTCTAAAACATTTTTTCATATTTGTAATAGATGGCGCTGTAATGAAAAAAAATCAATTTTGTTTGATTTTTCTTTTGTATACGAGTCTCCAATAATTTTTGAAAAAAATACTTGGTTTTATTTTTTTTAAATTTTAATTAAAGTAGGTGCTCAAAATAACAATATTAAATATTTGCTCGACGAACTCTTTTTTTCGGTTGAACACTCCTGTTTGTGGTAAACTGCTTGACTTTCCTGAAAACGCTGAGCTATTAACAGCTATTAACGGCATCATCAAGATTCTTGCCTGCTTCTCCATAAATCAAAATCATTTTTTCTTCCACTGTTAAAAAATCCATTATGAATAACTGCTTAACGAAAGGAGGTCTTTTTGTTTGCAAATTAATCTTTGAACTAAATTGATTAAATAATGCTAAACTATGTATAAATAGTTTCTTTATACCTCAGAAATAATTATTATTTATGACTAAATATCATTTTTATACCTCAATTAGGATTAAATGAATTAATTGACAAAACTATGTTTTTTTTACCTTAAATGAGGTATTTTTATTAAAAATAATACAATAATCCTTTAAATTAAAGGATTTAATGCTAGCAGGTAAAAAGTGACCATGGTGCGCAATTGATAATTATCACCGAATGAAATAATGTATAGTAGAAACCACGAATATATGAACGTGACTCATCCGACACATTCGTACGAAGTAATCTATCGAAGGTCACGGTCCAGTGCAGTCCTGTTTGTAAAAAATCTTGATAATTAAATAAAATGTAATTTTCTTAGAAACTAATTAATAAATAAACTTTTCTTTTAACTTTAATGAAATATTCTATCATCTGATGACAGAACGTACACTCGTGGCGACATCTCTGTTTTTAATATCTAACAAATTTTTAGACCGATCCAACCTCACTTTCTTCCAATTAAATTCTTTGTCTATGGTATTTTTTGGAAACGTAGAAAAAGTATAGTCTGAAACACGTTTGGAATTGCATATTCCCCTCTCGTGAAACCGTCAAACTTGTTACAGAATATACTATTCTTTTAACTGTAAACGCAAATATTTCAGAATTGGTGACAAAAAACAAAAATGTTTACGCAGGCCAGGTACAAAGTGAAAGATATTTAAATTGTGTGGATATAAAAACAACTTGCGTTAGTTTCACGAAATTTATTAAATATTGACAATTGTTTCGCTACAAAGTAGCTTCTTCAGAATGTATTAAACTAATACTAGTACAAAATTTATATACCTAATAAAAATATTTTTGTATTCTAGCCTAGAATTTCTAGGTAAGGATTTTTATACGACATCTACCTGTGTTACATAATATAAACCACTGCCACTACAACGTTTAAAACGATTATTAATCCGTAAACACACACCGTTTATTTAAAGTCCAAAAAACGTACAATAACAATTGCAATAAAGTCCAATAAACATGCAATAACAATTGCAAGAAAAACCACTAGCACTGCAACGTTTAAAACGATTATTAATCCGTAAACACACAGCAGAAACACGATATGCAAAAACAAAGATCATATGACATATAAAAACAAATGGCCGACGGTAAAGTTGGTTGCCTTACTATGTAATAAAATAAAATAAATGCCTAAAAAACGAACTCTACTGAATTCCAAAAAAAATAAGTAACAAGCTAGGACACGCGTCATATGTCCATCTTTGTCCAACACCTAGGCAGTTTTACATCACAGATGGCGCATTTTAGACCGGATGCTTAAAAACCTACGTGAGTACATTTACCGCTGCATCGAATGTACAAGACAAGTAAAACATTACTGCTAGCATGTCTGAGATATGTTCGGCACCCGATGAGTCACGTTCATATATTGGTGGTTTCTACTGTATAAAACTTAAACCAAAGGAAACTTAAATATTAGTTAAAAAATCGTGGGTACTTAAAAAAAATCAGATTTAATTTAATAAGATAATTATTACCAAAAAAAGTAATAATTTTATAGAAAAATTATTGCAGAATCGTATAAGATCTATTATATCTATTACAAATATGGAAAAATGTTTTGGACAAAATCTACCTATTTGTATTTGAATGATCCGAATCTGCAATAAAAAATAGGGTGTTCCATTGGAAGGAGGAGAGTATGAGGACCAATTTTAGTACTGATTGATTTCACCCTGTACTTTTGGAGCAAAAAAAACTATTAACCTAATGTTTTTCTAAGAATTTCTTAGAAATAACTTACCCTGGTTTCCTCAGTATGATATCTCTTCGATTTCCCCTTCCTTGATCCTTCCAGCTGATAATCCTCATCCACATGCTTGGTTTTATTCTCAGGTATATCCAATTGAAACCTTTTTTTATCACTACCAAAATATGTCACCTTACACCCAAACTTCTTGCTCTGCTGACTCAAATAATCGCCCAAATCTTTATTAATATCCGCAATTTTTTCCTCTATGTCGTCATAATCGGCATCTAATCCTTTTTTCGGGATTATTTTGCCCTCTTTCTCGGCTTCCGCATGATCGAAACTGTTCCTGAAAAACTTTAACGTTTCGCTTAAATCCAGGAAATGACCTTGAGGTTCGTTGTGGGTTAATTTCCTTAGCAATCGCGATTCGCAGCCGTTAAAGATTTCGGGCAATTCTTGCACTTTTTCGAACGCCCTCAGCGTCTTTAGGAGGTCCTGAATTTTACGTTTGGAATATGTGACGGCTTCGTAGAAAATTGCTCGTCCGTCCGGATGATTTTGAGCGCAGAATCGGTTACCATATGTATGAATTCTATGGAAAAAATACACGTTCAATATGGGAAAAGCCTTCTAACGAAATATTCTTACTTTGCAACTTGCCTCTCCAGGTCGGGCAATTTTTTGAGGATTTCTTGGGCTGATTTTAGCATAGCTGGGTTATTCCAAAGTTCTGAGACAGCTTTTTGACGTTCTTCGATTTTTGGAGCGTCGCAGAGTGGACGGCAAATCCATTGAATTAATAACCTAAATTTCCAAAAATATATACATATTTTTTAACAAAGGGATCAGTTTAATTTTTATTATAAGGATAAATATCAAGTTTAACACCCTGGGGTTTTTCTTCTTAGACCATTCAATTTCCAAAAATTTTATTCAAGCTATTAAGTCAATAATATTTAGTTATATTGTTTTTAGATTGATTTTTGTTCTGTAAATGTGTGTTTTAAAAATGTTTAAGAAAATATAATTATTCTTTTATACAGGGTGTCACCTAATAAATTATCATCCTTTGGGAGGATGATAGTACACAGGGCCGTCTTAAGCACCCGGGCGGGGCGGCCATTTTTTTGGGGCAGCCGTTTAAGGGGCAGCATTTTTTTTAAGCCTTTATTTTTTCTGCGGCCATTAAAAAAATCAAACAAAAATTGCCACTACATTAATATAATTGTATGTTTATAATGAGTTTTTAAATAGAAGTGCGGTTTTCTTAGATGTTGTGTTTTTGGACCTTACAACAACAAAAAAATTCCAAGCAACAAGTATTGCGCAATCCTAATCAATATCGTAAAGAAAAAATTTTAATTTTTTTGTTTTTTATTTTCTGCGTACGGACTTATTTTTTTTAACTAAACAATATGGATCGGATAGGTTGTTTATTCAGCTTTAATTTTTTTTTGTAGGCCTTGATACGAACAATTCGCGCTGAGCTATCGGGCTTTGAATGAAAAATCGTAAAAAAATGAGGTTTGGATGTTTTTGGGAAAATCACACGCGGAATGGAGATTATTAAAACAACGACTAATGTTAAGTGTGCCTTTTATAGTTCAATATACCCACAAAAACACTAGCAAGTAGGGGTATGCGAATAATTCGAACTTACGAATTATTCGTTCCGAATCGAATATTACTATTTGATTCGGAACTCGAATCGAATAATTCGAAAGTTCCCGAATAATTACCTAAAAATAGCTGAGTTTGCAAAACAAAAAACAATTATCAACAAAGTAATCAATGATGACACAAATGTAATTTTTTAATGAATGTAGGTTATTGTCCACTGTGCAAGCATATTTTGCGTCAGTTGTCATAGGTAAAGAACAGAGGCGGCCCAAAAATTTTACTAAACTTATAAAAAGTGTAATGATTTTTTTTATTAAAAAATGATAGAGGAAAAACTTTCTTATTTTGGCGTGTACTATCATTCCCTTAAAGAATAACAACTTATTTGGTGACACCCTGTATTTATCAAAAATTATATGTATTATTATAAATTTAAAAATCATAAATTTTAATAATACATGGTAGACTCTGTATAATACAGGGTCTACCATGTATGTATGTTTTTTATTTGAAAAGCTACAAGATCGGTTAAATTAAAGAAAAGCTTCGTAATTACAAGTCTATTAAAATGGCAATACAATTTTTGAACAAAATTGTGGTTCATAAATATTTTGAAAAAAACTGAAAACCTGTCAAAACCAAAAATCTTTGGTTTTTCTGGGAATTTTGAAGAAAAGTATGTTTTACATGTAACATACACGTTTATCCACAATCCACACAATTGTGCGTTTATCTAGATTTTCAGTCAATTTGTGATTTTTTTTAAAACTAGATTTTAAGTTATCACCACCATCAATTTTTTGGCCGCCATATTGAAATTTTACATGTTTTTGTTGTTTTCAAATGTTTTTCAGTGTTTACATACAATTTTGATTTTGGTAGATTAGGCTTTTAAGAAGGTTCGGGCACGCTATGAGAAAATGTTAAAAAAATTCTAGGTTGTAGTTTTGTGTGGATTGTGGGTTGTAGTTGAGTCAACAAAAAGACTTTTACTAAGTTCTAGAAATATTGACCGTCTAGTTTCCGAGTAAAAAAATTATTATTATTATTATTTTTCTCTCTTTGTTTTCGGCTCTTCTCTTTTTACTTTCTCTGCATTAAACATACTGTTGCTTAATTTATTGTTCCCATACATTTTTTTTAATATTTTTTTTCTTTGTAGTGGACTTTATTCGTTTTTACAACTCATTATTATTATTTAAATAACACTGCATATACAACTGTCACTGCCACTGTCAAAAGCGAAAAGCGTTACCATAGAAACTAACTATCAACAATTCGCAATGTTGTCGCGTTTAAATCCTATTTTTTACGTTTTTTAATTCAAGTTCTTGTATTTCAATTTTTCGAAATTTCTTTTGCTTGTTATATAAATACGATTTGCGTTAAGAAACATCCATTTAGTTATACAGGGTGAGCAAAAATACTGATTTTCAAAATTTTAAAAATTTTAATTATTTTTTTTGAAGCGCTAATATAAAGAGCTGGTAAGGAGAAATCAAAAAGTCAAATAAAGTTTTTTCATATGAGTTTTTGATACCAAGAAATTTGATGACATGTCAGTTGAAAGCAACAACCTTGATTCATAATCACAAAATGAGATAGCAGTCAATTTCTACAAAATAATATGACCACTCAAGTTGGGACCTGAATTGATTTTATTTTTAATAACCAATATCATAGTTACAACAACTCACATGAAAAAACTTTATTTGGCTTTTTGGTTTCTCCTTACAAGCTTTTCATATAACAATTTTTAATTTTACAAAATCTACAATTGTATTTTTTTGCGCACCCTGTATAACAAAATATAAGTTTCTCATCGTGAATGGTATTTATATAACAAGCAGAAGAAATTATGAAAAAAACTTTTCTTTGAAAATTTGAGAATATTTTTACAAGTATAGTTAAGTCCATCTGTGGACACACTGTATATGTATAGTGCCTTTTCTATTAAAATAATTATAAAACCAGTTAAAAATTGTCTGTTTTTTCTAAATCAAATCAAATATAATAAAATGAAAAAATTAATATTGTTTTGCAAGTTGGTATCTATAACCTATACCTAACATTAAATTAAACAAAGAAATTAAAAGAAATATAATAATAAAGTGTAGGTACACTTATAATTCATAATAAATAAAAAAAAATTAAAAACTATTAAAAAAATTAGATAAAAGTCAAAACATATTAAAAAAATAAAATGTAAGAATACAATTTAAAAATCTTATTAAAAAATTATGAAAAATTTTGCATACTGGAAAAATGTAATGAAAAAAATGGAATATCAAACTGAAAACCTCTTTAGGTGTTTTTGACATAAATCAGAGTTTCAAAAAATTGTTGCTTTACTTATTATATGAATTAAAATTTATAGAAAGCAATAAACCAATCAGAACACGGCATTCTCTATCGCAATCTAGTGTGCGGTGAAGAATGCCTTACTGTGATTGTTCTAAATAAATCATTTTTATTTTCTGTTGCAATCTAGTATGCTGTGGAGAATGCCATACTCTAATGAATTGATCATTTCTGATAGAAACCATTTTTTATAGAAAGTCGGAAATTTCAAGAAACACCCCCAGGTACTTGATAATTAACATGACGACTTGGCATCAGGGCACTTTCAACCAATAGAAATTTTAAAGTTTTGATAATTGTAATGTCAGAATTAAAAGCATTGTTTCTATATATTAGGAAATAAATGCAATTAAATTTGTGGTTTGATATTTCTTTTACCTTTTTCCAAACGCAGTCTGACAGTAATCCAAAGTTTTCTGCAGTGTACCCTTGGGGCCCAGCAAATCCAAATTTTTGATGGTAACATGGTCCAAAACCATGTAATCCCTTTTCAAACTCTCGGAATTTTTCGCCCTCAGATCCAAAGCCTCGTAAAACTCGAACTTCCCCATGGAAAAAATTTGAATGTCGATCTCGGAATTTTTCAAGTAATACAAACAAGCGCCGATACTTTTTATAACCAATTCGTAATCGGGATTGGGCATGCAATTGTCGGCCAATTTTTCGAAAACTTTCGGCCAATGAAAATTACCGTCCTTGTCCTTGAAATAGCAGCTTGTCGAGAGCTTCTCAAGGGTTTTTTGAGCCGTGTAAAACTGGGTTTTCGATACCAAACTCTCCTTGCGGATATCTTTGTAAGTTGTGTTTAGAAGGTCTGTGTAGGTTGTTTTGTTTTTGGACCTTTCAGTGAGGATCTAAAATTTGTAAAATCAGGATCCAGAATAAATTTTTATTAACTTCTTTGACTGAAGACTAAATCAGGTTCTTATTTTTTTTTTATTGGAATGAAATTTGGCAATAAGCTATTATACCTAGTATTATAATAATAAGGGAAACATATTTTTTATGTATAAATTCTTACCAATCCAGGTGGATTTTCTGCAAATAAACTTAGCAGTTTTGAGCAGTGCTTATCATCAACAAATTCAGATAAACGAAAAATTCCAATTGTTGTGTCTACAAAACATACCCCAAAACGGCTCTTACCGTTTGAAAGAATCTAAAAAAAATATAATGGTAATATGGTATACCATATAAATATGGACACACTTAGTGCACCCTATATCAAGTAATTTTTAGATTTTTAAAATTGCCTTCTATATTTTATAGAAGTCATTTATCAAAAATCTTCTATCTTCTATGCTCCTAAAATATAGAAGCAAAATCTGCCATGTGTCAGTTTTAGAATCAAAAAAATATAGTTGCAGTGTTCAAACAATAATACATAAAAATGTAAAAAAATCAGGAAGAACATTCAAGAATGTTACTCAAAAAACAAATATTTTAGAAACCCCCCGTATACATCAATACTATTCGCAATTATATCTTTGAACGTCCCTCGTACAAGCACCCACGTGTGAAGTTGGCAACACTCGCTGTCAAAATCAAATAAAACTGACGTGTACGTCAAAATATCGACACAAAAATACAAAAACTTCGAAAAACGCAGCGAAAAAGTCGAGAAAAATGGTTTACATCAACAACGGATCGGTCTCGAGTTCACGAGAATGGAGTTTCCGAAGAATAATCGACATTTTCTACAAGTTTATCGCGTTTTTCGTGTTCTTTTTCAACACTTTATTTGGACTTGACACAAGTAAAGGTTCTAAGGGTTATAAGGGAAGTTCTGGTTACGGTTTCGGTGGTTCTGGGGGAGGAGGAGGGGGAGGAGGTCCCAGAGGCGGCGGTGGAGGAGGAGGAGGAGGCCCTCGAATTAGAACCATGGGAGATATAAATCCTCCCACGGTTAGTGGAGGTGGATGTCCTGGAGGTTCTTGTGGAATGTAAATTTTAGCACTAATTTTATGTAATTTAATGTTTATAATAAATAATTTGATTTAAAATAATTTTTGATCTTTTTTTATTCAAACAAAAAAATATATTTATTAAAAATCTTACCGTTTCTGTAATAGCAAACATGTAACAAGCTTGTGAAGTTCTGGACTCGGGCATTTGAGCAGTTAACACAGTCGTAGCCTTAGTTGAGACCTGGCAAATTTCCCGACTAACAACTTTATCATATTTACTTTTTTTACCAGTTGTTTTTATTCTTTCGTTCATCATATCAGGGGTTTCAGTTTGCTCTACTCTGGCCACTTTAAACCCCTTCTCAATTAGAGTACCTGCCATTTTAGCATAGGCTGTTTCAGGGAATCCTGAATGAGCAAAATCACCCTTAAAAACATTATTTATTGAATGATAAATTAACTTTATTGTTATTATAATTAATAATGAAAGTGTTTAAATTATGTTGATAATTACAAATGTGTTTTTGACATTCTTAAATATGTCTGGACTATTTTTTACATTTTAACCCTTTCAATACTGCGGGGATATATACGTCCCAAAGAAAATTAAAAAATGTCTCTACTTAATTAAGTGCGTTTAAATAAAACAGGGTCGGGACAATTTAGTATTTCTATGTCTTGACTTGGGATATCAGTAATAAAAACTTAATTTATTTAACGTCATGTGAACAATAACCAGCTGTTTTTCGGCCATTGCACGCTCTAAATTGAAAAAGACCAGTCACATAACCTATTTTGTGCACTTTTTGTGTAAATTTTGCTTGAATTTTTGTGATACTTTATGTGCATTGTACGTCACAACTCATTCCTCAAAATATACGTTGGGACAAAAATATCCCTGCAGTAATATGACAAGGGATAGTTTTATCCCATCAGTGTTTTTTGATAATAAACATTTTCAAAAATAGTAGAATTTCTTTAGTGTGGGGATAAATATATCCCAGGGCATATTACTGCAGGGATAAATCTGTCCCAGGCCTTTTTTTCAAATACCACCAAAGTTAAAAATCTGTTATTCAGTCAATTAACTATTTTTAACCTAAATATAGTTTTAACACTAATAAAAAAGTTTTAAATTAATTTCCGAAAAGTCGTATTGAAAGGGTTAAAGTAAGTATTACATTCAGGAGAAGGTTAAAAGTTATGTTTTAAAATGTGTAGGGAATAAAATAAAAATTATCTTGCAAATTTAAAAGACGAATTTCCAAAAATAAAAATGTATAATTGCTGAATTATTTAAATAATAATTTAAAAATGACTTAAAATACTGTTTTTTTAATAAAAAATGCCTTACCTTCATATAAGAAAAACTCAAATGTTGCACCCCCACAACAGCATCCATGTGATACAACTCATAGAACTTGCCAACTTTGAAAAACAGCACAGAATCGTAATGTGTACTCTTTAAAATCCACCACTGCCTCATTGCAGGGGTTTGTTTGTTCAAAAAATCCTCAGGAACATGCAAAGTTGTAGGATCATAATCGGGGTGATCTAGTTTATTTTTTTTTATGTCTCTTATTTTGTTTGGTTTTAAAAAGTCTAGCTGGTTATGTGTCCAATTCGAATGCATATCAACAGTTGTGTTTTCAGGAAGTTTTGTTTGTTTATTTTCCAGGGAATCAAATTTTTCTTGTGATTGTGTTTTATTGGGAGTTTTATCAACTTTTAAAGGCGAGTTTTTGTATTGTGATAAGTCCAGTTTAGTTTTTTTATTAGTTTGCTTATTTGGGACTTCATTTTCGCTGTCTGACTCATTGTCAGACAAAATTCTGGTGCGCTTTTTAGGCGCAATGGTAATTTCTCCCTCACTATCACTACTTTCTGTAAAAAACACATTCAAATCCAAAAAACACGAATAAAATTGCATTTCTTACCATCATTTTTAGGAACATATTCGGGGTCTTTCGTAACACTCAATTTCCCCTTCTTTTCGGGAGTTGGTTTACCTTTGGGCGACGAAAAATAATTAAACAATGTATTACTCTGTCGTTTTGACATTATTTAATTGTTGTTAACAACAAATAACGCTAAAAAACGCCTCGAAAAACCAACGCGCGAAAATTTGACGTTTATCTTTTACGGCGCTACCAACTGCTAAGTAGTGCCAACAGTTCAAAATTAAATAGCGCTGATTTAAATTGCTGCCAACTAAATTAGCGCGAATTTTAAGTTTTTTTTGTGTGGATTGTGAGTTTTTCTAAGATTTTTTGCCTGAAGGGGTATAAAAACGGTGAATTTTTTCAAAACCGTTATTTTATGTCCAGTTTTTGAACGTTTAACACAGTAAAAGGTAAGAATGCTCTAAGTTAGATTTATTATATTAGATTTATTGCATTTTATAAAAGTTGAATGTAGGTATTATTATTGTTTTTAGTTTTTATCCATTATAATGCCTAGTTGTCGTTCTTCTTGTGCACCCTGCAAACCACGTGGAAAAACCGCGGCAAAAAAACCTGCAGCTAAGAAAAGCACAACTAGAAAAAGTACCGCTTGTTCTAGAAAATCAACGTCATGTTGCAAAGTAAGTTTTACACTTCTGTAAAGTAAAAATCAAAGAAAAAACGCACCACATGTTTTTTTATAATGTTTAGCAGTGCTTTGACTTTGGAGCCAATTACAATCATCCATTTAAAGACTTAAGAATGATTCTGATTGGTCAGTTTCATTAAAAACGGTTTTCTCGTGTTTTTTAGCCAACCAGCAAAAGAAATTCTTGCAGATATGACGATTCATCTTCAAGCGATTATTCCGATAGTTCAGATTCCTACGATTCCTATACTAGTAGCAGTGATGACTGCTGTGCACCAAGGAGAAGTTCCAGAGGAGGCAAAGGTGGAAAATGTTGCAGATAAGTCGAAAAAAATATACTCCTGCTGGACAGGGAGCTTTTAAAGTGTTTAATTTGTGTTTTTATAAAAAAATGATTTTACCATGATTTATATGATTTTAAATAAATATTTTACTTAATAACTTACGTTTTTTTGTTTCTTATGACGTTTGAAATGTCATTCTATGTAGTAGATTTAAGTACAGCTTGCTTAGTTTTAGGGGTTTTTAAACTAAAAAACTTGATTTTGTGAGGAATGTAAATTATATTTTAATAAAATTACATTAAGTAATGAATATTTACACAGTCATTTCTTAATTAATAAATAAAATAATGGTGAAATACGTTTATGTAACAGAAAAATTAACAAGTATTTTACAATATACACTAAAAATAAATCTAAACATTTTTTACCACAGTTAAAACACAATTTGTGATTTATGCTAAGAAACTACAGTTTTAATTAAAGCATTTTTAGAAGACTCACTGTAATAATATGACAAAAAATGTAATAATTTTACAAAAAACCACCTAAAAACTGAAATACTGAAATTTAGTTGTCTTTCTTCATTCTTGTGCTGGTCATTCTATAAATAATAGAATCTCTTCCAGGATCCATATTGGCAATGGCCAAACAAATGGCCAAAAGGGAAAAAATCATCACTACAGTGAACCAAAGCATCATGTTGAAAATCACTGGGTAATCTTCACTGTAGTTTTTGGCCAAGTTATGATCAATTGTTGGTGCCTTAGGATCAATTGTTTTTGGTGCCTATCAATAAAAATAATGTCAAATTGTTAATTATATGTTTTATGTTAGTAATAAGAACTGTAGAAGTCCAGCGATGTTTTTTTACATTAAATAGAATCTAGGTATAAGTATTGAAAAACTAATGTCAAAAGACGCACGAGGAAAAATCGAATTATAAATCCTATTTGCGTATCTTATTGTGCTTATTATGATAAAAAAGGCCATTTTTACACAATACTATGGGACAAGAAAGACTGTCTGCATTGGCCATGTTATGCCTAGAAAAACCGTTTTTAAACAGTATTGTTAATTATAATAATTGTGTTAAAAATCATGTTTCAAATGTTAAAGACCAAAGGATTAATCTAAAATTTAAAACAGTTTAAAAATTTCTGTTGATTAAATAAATTTTTATTAAGTTTTTACCTTGTTTTAAAAAGGCGTTTCTTTCATTTTCTTTATTTAAAAAACCATGTAAAAGATTATACAGGTTGCACCAAGTATCCTTCTATGTATGGGTATCTTTTTTATTTGAAGATTTACAAGGTTGGTTAAATTAGAGAAAAGTTGGGTAAATACAAGTCTAATAAAATGACATTTAAGAATTGTAAAATAATTGCATATTAAATTTTGAGTTAGCACCATCTTTTGTTTTTCTATGGCCACCATATTGAAATTTTACATGGTTAGATAGGAAAAAAATGTTGGTTCTGAAAGGTTTTTTTCACATACAAAATTAACACATAATAAGTAAAAAAAAATTAACTCTAAAACGCCCAATCTTTATGAAATTTTGTATAAAATTACCTCAACTTATATCTCAGTTTTCGTGTTCGAGGGTTTTCCGAAAAAATATTTTTAAAGCCCTTTTATTTAATAATAAAGAAACGTTCGAAAAATAACTTTTAGGGATTTTTTTTAAGTAAATAAAAAATATGCTGAAAATGTTGTACAAATCAAACAAATGGTAACAAAGTCGGTAAAAATGACCCCTTTTTAATTATTTTGCTGAAAAGTGGTTATTTTTGACGACTTTGAAGCGCTGTATTTTCGTTACTGTTGGTTTGATTTTTACAACATTTTCAGGGTATTCTAACAAAAATACGGTCTTTCACAGCATATTTTTTATTTACTTAAAAAAAATTCCCTGTACAAGTTTTTTTAAGCGTTTTTTATTATTAAATAAAAGGGCTTTAAGGATATTTTGAAAATATTATTTTCTCGAAAAACCCTTTAACACAAAAACTGAGATATAAGTTAAAGTTTATAAAGATTTGTAAAGGCGTTTTAGATTTAGATTTTTTTACGATCAGAGTATTTAGAAAAAAAAATTTCCATTTTAAAAATTTAATTTTAATAGTCTTGTAATTATGCCACCTCAAATAAAGAAATACCCATAGAAGTATACACATAGAGATCCTGTAGACAGTCAAAGAAACTGACTTTACTTTTACTCTAAAAGCTTAAAGTGAATTATTTTATGTAGTTATTTTTAAAATTGGGCAAAAATTAAGGATTTTATAAACTGTCAAAGTTTGTCTTAATTTTAAGAAAAAAAATCAACGTGACTTTATCTGGATTATCTCAAAAAATTAGTGAATAAGTCAAAAATACTTTTATTTCCACTTACATCTGCAGCAAGGACATCTCTAGCTCGTCTGGTGTGAATGGCATCGCTAGTGATAACATTTACAAAAACAGCCCCTTTGTATGCCTTATGGGCAGCAGCATTTAAATGTAAAATAGCCTCATTCAACAATTGCTTGGCTTCTTTGACAACAGTGCTATTGTCACCATATAAACTGGTAAGGGCGTTTAGGGCAGTAAATTTGAACCAAAAAACATCTGGGATGCTGTCAACCTCAATGGCACCTTCTTCAATTTTATCGGCGATTATTTTTAATAAGTTTAATTCGGTTAAGAACTGTCTGTCCTCATCTACAGACCATTTAAGGTAGTTGTGATGAGTTTTTTTGGGTTTATCGGACTTGATGTCTTGGAAAATGGTGTATTTGTTGAGCTAAAATGATTTTATTCATGAAAAGACGGAAGACAGTAAAAGATTGTATTAATTTTAAGAAAACTGAAATTTCGTTCTTAAAAAATTGTCTAAAAAAATTATTATGGAAACTCACCTCCTCCAAGCCATTGGAAAGATCAACACTGACCAAATTTGTGTCAGATTCTGGGTTTCTCTCCAAAACCCTTTTTTCAAGAACCCTGAAAACTCTAGCGTCATCATCGTTAGTTTTTAAGGGAAAATGATGCCCTTTTTGCTGCCCAATATCGCTCACACCATCCACAACCACTGTAAATACAGCCTGGGCCAAGTGAAACGGGTCATCAATGTAAAGACCTTGCCAGTTAGTATTATGTTCTGTGGAGTAACCTAAAACTGCCGAGTAGACCTCTGGCAACGCTGTTTCCTTTAAATGATCATGTCCTTTAAGGATTACACTGGAAGGGTGGTGAAGGACTGTGAATTCGCCCTTTGCGTAAACTAAATATAAAGAAAAGAACGTTATAACCTATAAAACCTTATAGAAATCTCTACAAATCACAAACATATTTACTTATTTAACTATAATTACCTGTAGCAATAAGTACAGAACAAAAAATCACAATTTTATTCATCTTCTAGCAGATCTGACAGACACAACCCCAAAAATCATATGACAGAAGTTTTACCAACATAAAAACGTGACCACACACCACCAATCAGCTTTCTTCATCTACCAAGGCAAACTTGATATTCAACCAATCCAACTTTCATTGCTTTAACGCGGCAAATTTAAATTTTCGTTAAGTAAACATGTCTCAGGACAACTTTGAGGCTTTGTTAGGGTTTACGCCGTTAAAAGCCCAATTATTACGCGATTTGGGTATCGATAGAAGTAATTGTCTGGATGATTCTCCCGTGAATAAACCAAGAGAAACAAACAGTGATTTTTACAATGAATATGATGTTATAGAAAATAAAGACTTTTTAACATACACACAAACAGCTGCCGTTATTTACAAGGATATCTACAAGTTGATACCCAATAGAAAAATTAGGTTTATAGAGGAAATTATAGCACAAGAATTGAAGAATTTGGATGGCAAGTTTAAGTTTACAATATGTGGCGAATATAGAAGGCAATTAAAGTGGTGTAAAGATATTAATATCGTTATTACTCATGAAGATGAAACTAATTTTACTGATAGACCATTAAGATTGGAATGTGTAGCAAAACAACTAATGAAAATTGGTTTTATTGTTGAAATTATTGAAGGCGTCAACAAAAAAGGGACATGTTCGGCCATTTGCCAATTGGGCATTTCTTCAAACTTTAATTTAATCAATTTTTTATATGTGCCACCTTTTAAATATTACATGGCAGTTTTTATGGAAACAGGACCGAAATTATTTGTGGATAAAGTGATAAAACATGCAGGAAATCTAGGAATGAAAATTGAAAAAAATGAAATACAAAAAGTGTTTTGCAGGGATTTAATAAGGGAACCCCCTTTAAAAATTGCAAATGAAGAAGATGTTTTTGATGTACTATGTTTACCATACAAAAATCCTCAGGATAGACATTAAATGATTTTTTTTTAAATTCGTTTTATTTTAATTTTGGCGTTTAAAAAAGCAACGTTACCAAACAAGTTTAAAAAAAAATTCAATAGATAAAGGTTCTTTATTAAGTTTGAAAGTAAAATATGTTGTTTCACAATAAAAATAAATTTTTAGCGATGTGCACTTTTTGCGATCTGTTCTTTAAGCACCAAAATACTGTTTCTCTGTTCAGGTGGCAACATCGCAATTTGCTCGTCGGATAATTGGAGGACTTGCATGATGAGGGCAGCCTAAAAAATAAAATTTAATTAAGAAAAATTTTCACAGAATAAATTGTATTTTTTGCATGGTTTTAAGAAAAAACAAACATTTTTAGTACCTTTTCTTGGTCTGACGCCCCAGCAGGCCCAATATTTGGACTGTTGGCAGCATGGGAAATTTGTGCCCTTGATGGGACTGGAGGCGGAGCTGGCACTGCCTGTGGAGGCGGTCTGATTGGTTGGGGTGGTATTTGTGGGGGTGCTAAAAACAACGTTTTTAGGAAAAAAAATAATTTTTGTTTGGTTGGTAACTTATTAATAAAAATAGAGATTATGTTAAAATAATTTTAAATAATATGTAAAACAATTCAAATAAGCCAACTAAAATGGTTGACATAGCTTTGCTATTATTGATAAATTTTAACTTCATATTGTTGAGCATGTACCTATGAAAATTGTTTAAAAAAAATGTTTAATGTTACTATCGCTAACAAAAAAAACTCATACAGCCTAAAAATCTAGTGTTCCTGATTTTCTATAATTTCGTTGAAGTAATTATGGCTTTTAACATGATACGTCACATTTGAAAGGTCTAAAATTAAATACAAAGTTAGGTTGAAGTTTGAAAAAAAAAATAATATTTCGTCATCCCTCTGTTTTTGTCAATTACTGCCCGCAAACGGCAAAGCATGGAAGTCGCCGTCTTGCATGCTGTATCTCGTTCCAAATGGCTTCAATGGCTTGCCAGAGTTCGTCTGCATTGTTTGGTTGAAAATGTTGTTAAAAAAGTCATAATGGATGTGACAAAGCTCGATGTCAGCTTGACATTGACGGAAAAGTTTTATTCACACAGCCACAATACAGCTGTATAAGTTTTTTTTGTTAGCGATAGTACAATTGTCTGTCACAACCTGTCAAAAAATACATCTATCAACAATGTTAACTTTAGATTACAGCAGATAATATATTATATTGAATATTTTGATTCCATAACAACCATTTATATAATACATAATTTAATCCACAATCCACACAGCAAGGTCTGTTCTATCTCATGCTAAAAATATTAAAAATCACTGCAACACTGCACAGAGTTTAACGGCGGCCATTTTTGTTGTTTACAATTCTTGTGCTTTGGGTTTTTGCTGTTTAACAATTGATTTAAACGTTGGGTTTCTTACAGAGGCACTTGTAAGCCTCAAATAAGGCCTTTAAGTGCTAAGGACAACCATTTTACTCCTCTTTTATAATAAATATACCTTATTCTATCAGGGCTGTCAAATGACAATTTGAAGGTTAATTTGTGGGTTATAATTTAACCTTAAAATTGACATTTGACAGTTTTATGACAACCCTGATAGAATAAAGTTTATTTTTTACAATAGAGGAGTAAAATGGTTGTTCTTAGAACTTTAAGGCCTCTTTAAGGCTTACTATGAGAAACACAACGTTTAAAACGATTATTAATCTGTATAAACAGAGCACAAACCCAAAGCACAAAAATTGTAAACAACAAAAATGGCCGCAGTTAAACGGTGCAGTGTTGCAGTGATTTTTTGTATTTTTAGAACGAGAAAGAACAGACCTTGTTGTGTGGATTCAATCCACTGGATTGTGATATAATCATTGATTCTTCATTCAACGATATTTTGTTTCTTAAATATGCAGTGTTGCTGAATAATTAAAACTTAAATGCTTAAAATATGAAATATTTTTTTTATATGTACCTAGAATGGATATTTGACGGTTCAAAAAAAAATGTCAAAATAGTATATTACACTACAAGGGCAGAAAGATTCCTGCACTGCGCGCCATGATGCCCGAGGCGAAGCCGAGGGCATCATGGCGCGCAGTTCAGGGCTCTCACACTTTCTGCCCGTGTAGTGTATACTATTTTTCTTACTACCTCGGCCGAAAATAAAACCCGGCCGAAAATACGGGAAAAAATTAAATGTGTATTTATGTACCTATCTCCATTTGAAGAGCTTGATAAATAAATAACAGTAGGCCGTGAATTCAGCGGTGCCAATACAGTAAAAATAAAACGTTGTATTTTAATTAACAAATTACTACTTTATAACAAATAAAAGTACCATTAAACACTTAAAACAACATAAAAAGTAAAAAAGTAAAAACATAAATTGTTTATTTGTTGTTATAATTGCAAAATTATGGTTTAAAACTGTCATATTTTTGTGTTTTTCATGTTGGCAGTACGAAATTTGAATGTTAAGCACACGACTAAAAAATTTTTACTCCCGCTATTAGAGTGTGCGCTTATGTTCTGTGAGTGTGCGCGTATAGCTTGACCAATGCATAAAACGTAAACTTTCTGCCGTGGAATCGGGGACGAAACAACGCAGGAATCTCACACTTTCTGCCCTTGTAGTGTAATATACTGTTTCTTTTTATTTGACTTCAGGTTTCGTGGAAATACCCTAGGGGATTACTACAAAATTCAACTTATTATGCTAGCATAACTTATTTACCATTAATGATATAATAAATAAGTTTATAACTATTTTATAAGGAACTAATATAAAAATTTAATTTAACTTCTTGACCTATAAATAGTTTAGTTTCTAGATCTAAATGACGCGTAATTTTAACAAAAAAAATCATAAAAATAGGACTGAGAATAAATAAAACTTTTTTACTATTAATGGTCCAATAAATATACACAGGACAATTTAAAAAAAAAGTTTTTCCGTTTTTCCCCGAGGCCTTGGAAAAATTGTCTTCTTTGGGAAAAATTTTAATTTAAAATTTTTAAGTTATTTATAACAATTAATTGCTTTATTTTTACTTGTTAAGGTCGTTTATAGCTTCTTTTTAATCCAATTTTTTTGCACCTTGTAGAAAAAGAACGACAAAAATCGTTTTATTAGATTATTTACGTTTTTAAACTTTTGCATTTTCCATAGTATCCGTAGTAGGTTTATGGCAAGCCGTTTTAGTTTTTATTACACATGGCTATCAAGTCTCATTTTAATTCGACTTGATTTCTATGAGACATTAGATAATTGAAATTATATGTATTTTCCTTAAGGGAAATTACATTTTTATTATAATTTCAAAATTGAATGCATATTTTCTTTACAAATAGTAAAAATAATGCATTTGTTGTATTTATTTCCATTGGATTTTTAAATATTGTCCTTAACGTGAAAGCAATTTTCGTTAACAGAAATTTTATTAAATTTACTAATTATAATTTTAATGCAAATTATTTTTACTGTTTTAGTTTTTTGGAGCAATTTTATGACACATTAAAAGGATTTTATTTTAATTCAATTTTATTAAAGTAGCTTCTGACTTGGATACAATGTTATATTTTATTTATGTTAGACCAGGCTAAGTATTAAAATAAAACGAATTAAAATTACTATTACGAATATAAATGCATTTGTCCTTAAAGATATAGTTTTATACTTTCCTAAATGACATAAAAATTAAAAACATTTTAATTTAAAATACTGATTGAAATGTTGTTCCCGAATAAAATTTAGAACCGCAATATATAGAGTCTAACAATATTTAGAGAATCAGAAAATAACATCGAATTAAAATGAGACTTAATGATCATGTGTACAAAAAATAGCTCGAATTACTTTTATTTTTAACTAAACAAAAATAAACTTCTATTTCCGTTAAGGGAAATTACAATTCCCTTAACGAAAATGGTATTTCCCTTAACGGAAATGCTATTTCCCTTAACAGAAATTACATTTTCCTTAAGAGAAATTAGTGGCGCTATCTGTGGTGAAGATGCCGAAGGTTCCACCGCTTACAGAGTTCTGCCAACTTTGGTTGGGATGCCAGAATCTTTCATTTTGTTTAAATGCAACAAATATGACACAATTAACAATAATGAATAATATTAGTACTACAGTTTGCTATTTACTACTTCTTTTCGTTTTAATAACCTTTATTGGAAACGTTAAAACACACCTTACACATGCGGCGTTGCCACACAACATTCGATTCGAATGATGCGATTCCAAAGTAGATCGGTGTCATCGCGATTCGGTTCGGAGAGTTTGGTTTTCTCGAGTAGTACCCATAATTATTAATATTACTATTATTATAGCATTATCAATACAAATTTTGTGACAATTTTCTGAAAATTCGATAATTTTGTCAATAATTTGTCGATGATTTGTCGATAATTTCACTTTTTACATCTGGCAACACTGGTGGGTGATATTTTGTGGGTGGATGTGAACAGGTGTAACGGTTGGTTTTTAAATTAAAAAGGTAACAATCAAAAAAATTCTTTTTACTAATAAATCTTTTGTAAAATCACAGTGCAATAATTTCATTTTATAGAACTTTGATAAATTAACTATTTGAACTTCAGCCGTCCTCTCATAGATGGCGCCAATTTCCCTTAACGGAAATGCTATTTCCCTTAACAGAAATTACATTTTCCTTAAGAGAAATTAGTGGCGCTATCTGTGGTGAAGATGCCGAAGGTTCCACCGCTTACAGAGTTCTGCCAACTTTGGTTGGGATGCCAGAATCTTTCATTTTGTTTAAATGCAACAAATATGACACAATTAACAATAATGAATAATATTAGTACTACAGTTTGCTATTTACTACTTCTTTTCGTTTTAATAACCTTTATTGGAAACGTTAAAACACACCTTACACATGCGGCGTTGCCACACAACATTCGATTCGAATGATGCGATTCCAAAGTAGATCGGTGTCATCGCGATTCGGTTCGGAGAGTTTGGTTTTCTCGAGTAGTACCCATAATTATTAATATTACTATTATTATAGCATTATCAATACAAATTTTGTGACAATTTTCTGAAAATTCGATAATTTTGTCAATAATTTGTCGATGATTTGTCGATAATTTCACTTTTTACATCTGGCAACACTGGTGGGTGATATTTTGTGGGTGGATGTGAACAGGTGTAACGGTTGGTTTTTAAATTAAAAAGGTAACAATCAAAAAAATTCTTTTTACTAATAAATCTTTTGTAAAATCACAGTGCAATAATTTCATTTTATAGAACTTTGATAAATTAACTATTTGAACTTCAGCCGTCCTCTCATAGATGGCGCCAATTTCCCTTAACGGAAATGCTATTTCCCTTAAGGGAAATACAATTTCTCTTAACAGAAATGATATTACCCTTAAGGGAAATTGCATTTCCGTTAACGGAAATGCTTTTAAATTCTTAATTATAATAAAAACTACTTTCCTTAACGAAATTTGCATTAAAATTACTATTTGTCATAAAAATAATTTTTATTATTATTTCAAATAAAAATGAAATGTTTTAGTATTTTTATTACAATTTCGAATGTAAATCATCCTCTACATCTAATCTTTTCAATTTAATGTACCCAAAATTTCAATGCTTATTAAAAAAGGATTTTTATTTATAATTTGTAATTAAAATGTAATTTCCCTTAAGGAAAATACATATAATTTCAATTATCTAATGTCTCATGGAAATCAAGTCGAATTAAAATGGGACTTGATAGCCATGTGTAATAAAAACTAAAACGGCTTGCCATATAGGTCCGGATAATACGAGAATATCTGCAAGTCAATTTGTCTGAAAAAATTTCTCATTTTTCCCGTTTTTTGTTTTAATTTAAGAAAAAAATGATAATGTAAAAATACACCCACTTAAATAAAACAAGCATTTTTATGTTATTCATAAATAAATGCTTTATTTTTACTTTTTAAGCATTTTTAAATCCAATTTTCCCGAAAAACTACATTTTTCCGCACCTTGCAAAAAAAAGAAAAAAAATACTACATTTTAACCGGAAAAATTGGGTAATCTTTAAAATTTACTTGCATTTATTCACGTTTTTTTTTTCGCAGGCTAAATTTTTATTTAAATTAAAAAATATTTTTAAGGGAGTACTACAACATTAAATTTTTTAGTTTCTAGATCTGAAAGTAATTTTAACAAAATAATCATAAAAACGCGTAATAAAATATTATCGATAGAAACTTCAGATAATTGAATGCTCAAGAATTATTTGTAATTTAAATTAAAAAATGGCTACAAAGAATAAAGGAAGAAAAAAGAAAAAAAGACTTTTTTGTGTTATTCCTATGGAATTTTTATAAATTAATGATGGAGCTCTTAAAATTGATATTAAGAGTTTTTTATTTTGACAGAATCTAAGTGTTCCGCAGTGCGCCATTTTTGGACACCCTGTATAATTAAATAATTTCAACATATTAAAATTTAAATTATTAGAAACACCAAACACTAAAAAATATTAACAAGATACCAACATAATCAAATGTGTCAAAGTCCAAATAAAAAATAAATGAAAAATAAATACTTACGTATATTTTTTTGCCTCGGGTCGACCCTTTGAGATTGCTGCCTGGGGTCGTTCGGAAAACTGGCTGTGGACCCCCTGGGATCCCTGTTAAATCTATAAAATATGGTTAAAAACCGAATGTTTGATTCCATATTTTTTAAATTTACTTACCCTTCGCCCACTGGAGGCAATGGATTGGCCAATGGAGCAGGCAAAGTCCTCATGTCTTGATCCCCCATCCCTCTCGTTAGTCTTGGATCTGAACCGCCCCTTGGATCCAGCGATCTCAAGTCCACATCTTGACCTAAATAAGTAAGATGTCAAATCTGACGTTTAAAATAACACATTTGACATTTACATAACCTCAAACGTCAAACTGACTATAGCTATAATGATTAGGTCTTCTATCTGTCAAATTAGCACACTTACCTGTAAAGACAGGTTGATTGTTTTGATGCATAATCGGAGGTGGTACAGGTTGAAAATCCTGCCTGGGAGCCTGTACAGGGGTCGGTAAAGGCGTCGCGTAACTTTGGTTTATGGGAATGTGCGGTATCTTATCTCCAGGCATCAAAGTTTGCGGTACTTGGTTTGAAGGGTGCAGTAGAGTCTTAAATTTTGGTTAAATATTGATTTAACAATTTGTATCTACATGTGGATTTTTTTTTTTGCTTACCACTGCTGAGTGGGGGTCGATTATTTTCATTACCACTTGAGCTTGGAGTAGAGCGTAAGCTAATTGAGGGTTTTGTAGAAGCATTTGTCTGGCTTCAGTTGGATTGTTCTAGGAAAAATTATAAAAATAGTAAAAAAAATAACTTTACTTACAAGTCGTTTTACAAAAAATAAACATAAATATTTTGCGTTAAAATTTACGGGAAAATAATTGTGTTGAATGTTATGAAGTTATTTATTTATATAAAAGGATATATATAACAAACATTTTTGGAGGTATATTTTGTTTTTCATCCATCTACAACTTCAAAAGTACACATCAGATTTTTTTATACTTAAAAAACTAATGTTTTTGAAAAATTGTATGCTTAAAAATAATATACATTTCACATTATTGCCATTAAAAATTTAATTATGCGTTTAAAACGTAATTTTTTCATTATTTATTTCATTTTTGACAACTCTTGTCAGATTTGTCAAAGTAGGCAATATTTAACGTTTTTGACATTTGGAATATCGGATTTAACTTTTATGGTGTTATTTAAAACGTAAAATTGTATTTATTGGTTTCTTGATTTATTATAATCTTGTCATTTCAGAAGCTAGATTATGTTTATAAATAATACATATCACATTCAGGCCAATTCACTAACATGAGTCGTTAACATTAACCACTAGAATCAGTGGTTATCAGGCAATCCGGCCAATCGGGCAGTTTAAATCGAGGGGTAAACCACTTTAAAATCTTAAAGACAACTGTTCAACGTTAATGGACGTTGTGTTGAGATTTTTTTCCTTATCAGTCGTTATCAATAAGGAAAACTTGCTTAATCGGTGATTAATCGGTGCTTAATCAGTGCTTAGCGACGCGTTGTACATGACTACCCTTGTTATTGTTATCCTTAGCCGTTAATTCGTAAGCGATTTTTAATTTAAAAAAACCAGTGGTTTACCCCTCGGTTTAAATATAACGATAACCACTGATTCTAGTGGCTAACGAACGTTTTAAACGTCAAATCTGACATTAACTGTCGAAATTGAATGAAATAATGAAAAAATTACGTTTTAAACGCATAATTTAATTTTTAAAAACAATATTCAGGCCAATTCACTAACATAAGTTGTTAACGTTAACAACTTATGTTAGTGAATTGGCCTGAATATTGTTTTTAAAAATTAAATTATGCGTTTTAAAACGTAATTTTTTCATTATTTCATTCAATTTCGACAGTTTATGTCAGATTTGACGTTTAAAACGTCAAAGTAGGCAAAACTGAACGTTTTTGACATTTGGAATGTCAGATTTAACTTTTAGGGTATGATTTAAAACATGACATTTTATTTATTGGTTTCTTGATTTATTTTAATCTTGTCAATTCAAAAGGTTATTTAGATTTAATGTAAATTATAAACTAATATTTTTGAAAAATTTTGGACATTTTACTTTAAGTTTGAAAGCTAGATTTTATGTTTAAAAATAATACATTTCACATGTTATTAAAAATTTAATTATGCTTTTAAAACGTAATTTGTTCATTATTTAGTTCAATTTTAACAGTTCTTGTCAGATTTGCCGTTTAAAACGTCAAAGTAGGCAAAATTTAACGTTTTTGACAGTTGAAATGTCAGATTTAACTTTTAGGATGTCATTTAAAACGTGAAATGTTATTTATAGGTTTCTTGATTTATTTTAATCTTGTCATTTCAAAATTTATTTTAGGCATTTTAAAAATTTTAAAGCTAGATTTTATATTTAGAAATAATTCATTTCACATTATTGTTATTAAAAATTATGCTTGGATTGAAAAGTAATTTTTTAATTATTTATTTTAATTTTGACAGTTCTTGTCAGATTTGACGTTTAAAGTAGGCAAAATTGAACCTTTTTGACATTTTGAATGTGATTTATTTATTCTTGAATTATTTTTCATTTTCATTTCAAAAGCTAGATTTGATTTTTTTAAATTATAAACTAATGTTTTTGAAAAATTTTGGACATTTAACTTTAAATTTTATTTTATTTTATGTTTAAAAATACACAGTGACTAGAGGCACGCTAACGTACCGCGATTGAAAATATTAAAGGCACGTTAGTTACGTCATAATTATAATCCGTTTTTGTTCCCCGAGCGTTTAATATTTGTCATCAAGCTAGATAGCTTATATGGTAGGGCGTTTGCTTGGCATGCGAGAGGTCCCGGGTTCGATACTAAGAAGTTGGCGAACTTTTTTTATTTCATAAATTTGTTGTTTCTTTGTTAAACAGTGTTCTAGAAGTTGTCGAACTTTTTTTATTTCATAAATTTGTTGTTCCTTTGTTAAAAAGTGTTCTATTTTTATCGTAACATAAATTTGCCCATTTTAGTTGGGTTTTTTGTTCAATGGGGCGGGGTCGGTTGGGTTGTGTTGTTGAGTTTGGGATGGTTTGGGTTTATGACGTAACTAACGTGCCTTTAACATTTCAAATCGCGGCACGTTAGCGTGCCTCTAGTCACAGCGTTAAATATAATACATGTGTATAATAGTATATTATGTATAAACACCATTTAAGTTACGAGTTTTATTAGGCACGAGCGAAGCTTGGGAGCGAGTGTTTAATAAAAACGAGTGTCTAGAGAAGTTTATAAAACGAGTTGCATACTATACTTTATCTACGACGAATAGAAAGAATAATTTAAAGCCAATTTCATTTGTTAAACATTTGACATCTGTCAACTTTAAACGGATTTAACCTCACTTTTCCCTAATTTATAATAAAGCTAACTTCAGCCCGTGACTAAAATGCCCAAAAGCCACTATTGCAAACTTCAGCCCGTGACTAAAACGTCATAAAGTCACAGCTTGTCAATTTAGGAGTAGATAAAATGTATTTTTTTATTATTTATTTTAATTTTGACAGTTCAGGTTAGATTTGAAGTTTAAAACATCAAAGTAGGCAAAATATAACGTTTTTGACAGTTTGAATGTCAGATTTAACTTCAGGATGTCATTTAAAACTTGAAATTTTATTTCTGGTTTTCTTGATTTATTTTAATCTTGTCATTACAAAAGCTAGATTTGATGTTTAAAAATTAAAATTGTGATGGATTAAATGTTTGCAATGTAATAACATTAGAATTATTCTATCATTGTTTAATTCACTTTTAACAGTTCATATGTCAGATTTGACGTTTAAAACGTCAAAGTTGTCAATTTAAGTTTTTGTCAGTTAGAAAGTTCAGATTCAGCATATCGATGACTTTTTGCCAAAGTATCGCAAGTAACATAACCCAAATTTCGGAAATTGAAAACATTTTGCTGGTCTATTTTAAATTAAATATAGCCTAAAGGTTTTATAATAAGTAATTACTTAGCTTATAATTATAGCTATTTACTTGTTATAAAACCTGTAGGTTATATTTGGTTTAAAACAGACAAAAATGTTTTCAATTCCCGAAATTTGAGTTATGTTGCTTGCGATACTTTGGCAGAAAGTCATTAATATGGGCATAATTAAAAATACATTTTTGGGCAATTTAAAATGGAAATTGTTACTTACTTGTATGGTTTGTTTCATTTGCTTCATCAACTCAAACATCTGTTCTGGAGGTAAACTGGCAACAGCTTTACTTATAGCCTCAGGGGCTTTTTCAGCTTGAATCGGTTCTCCATAAGGATTCTCAACAGGAGGTTGATTCAACAAGTTCTGCATTTCCATTCTGGATTTTTCTGTACAGGCATTATCGACCCTGAGATTTCTACCGCCGATTTCATATCCATTCAGATTTCTCATTGCACTCAAGGCGGTTTCTTGGTCTCTGTATTCACAGAAACCATATCCCTTGGGTTTGCCTGTTTCACGATCAAATACAAGTCTAAAAAATACCCTGTATTAAGAACTATGTTTTTTAATGTTGTAAATACTTACTTAAATGATAAAACTTGACCCACTTCCCCGAATATATCCTTTAGTTTTTCTTCTGTGGCCTCATAAGGAATATTCCCCACTAAAAACACAATTAATTATCCTAAACTTTTTAAATAATACTACTAAATATACCAAACACTGATCTCATGGACTTATCCATAATATTTGCTTCTAAATTATCCATGGTTACGGTATTTTATTCAATTTTTTACTATAAAACAAAATACTACACAAACCTCACAATTTTGCAATGCCGGCGAGCACCAACATAACAAATAAAATCCAAATCCCCTAGCTTTTTCAACTAATCAAACTCCGCCGTTTGAGTCACATGATCAAAAATTTAGGGATATTTTTTGTTGTTATTAAACATAACCAAACTTTTTTAAAATCTGACAGTTTCATTAAAATTGGTTATAATGTCCAATGTTATTAAACAACTTGAAGAAAAGAACGTTAAAAATGAAATTACGCATATGGTGTGGAGTAGCCGAATGGATCTTGTTGCCTTGGCGAATAATAGAGGTATTTTTTACACAATTAATTAGTGTTTTGCGATAAATAATGTAATTTTAGGAGAGGTTGCTTTACATCGTCTAACATGGACTAGGGCTTGGATTTTGAATCCCCCCAAAGAAGGGGTATTAGTTAAGGGGATTTGTTGGCGGCCTGATGGAAAAATATTGGCAATAGCTTACAGTACAGGTAGAACAGTAAAAACACAATTTTTATAAATTTTTATTCAAAAAACTTAATCTTAAAGGTGAAGTCCATTTGGTTGGCATTGAAAATAAGAATATACTGAACGTTTCTAACGTTAACGGTGATATAACTTATATTTCTTGGGTACAGGAAAAATTAGAGAATAAAGTACAAAAAACCAGTAATTTACTTGATCAGGATATTAATGAAGATAATGATTATATGAAGAATGTGGTAAGTCCACAAAATTCTAGTCTGTCTTTTGTTTAAAACGTCAAAGTTGTTAAATTTGTCAGATTTTATTATTAAATGTCAAAATTTAACGTTTTTGACGGTTGGAAAACTTCATAGTGGCATTTAAAATGCCTAATTTGACATTTAAAACACATGTTTTTATTACAAAAAAATTATAAACCTGTTAATTTTTTCAATTTTTTAAGGACTTTTCTTCAATATTCTTGCCTCAGCCCACACCTCTTCCGACTTCTAATGGAGAAGAATCAAAAAACTTTCTGCACATACAGTCAGCCCTAAATATGATTTTAATAGGAACAAAAGATGGTTTTGTGCATATTCAAATATTTGGCTGCTTTACGTGTGCAGTGTTAAATATCTCGGAAAAAGTGTTATATGCCTGCAGCATAAAAAATATCCATATCACTGAGGACTTGGATAAACTTTTTGTAACTGTAAGAAATAATGAAAACAATACCATAAGCATTGTTATATATGATTCTCAAATATTCCAAACACATACAAAAGAGTTGTATACGATTTCGATGAAAAGTGTATATTTGCTGGACTTAATAACATACTTAAACAATGCTATAACCAGCATAGCTGAATCGTGGGAAAGCATACTTATAGAAATTGATAACAAACTATCGAAATATGCTTCCTTGGTACCCCAAGGCGGAGTAACAGCTGACTTCTTGGACTTATTAATGTTTGGTATTTGCTCACAAGAAATGGAAATGTTTCTACTGTACGACATCACGAAAAAAGGCCTGGAAAAATTCGGCCAAACCATAGAAATGAGCTACGTAAACATACAAAAGTTGCTGTTGAAAAATGTCACCAAGTTCGGCCAAAGCATCACATATCATCTGGCAGAACTGAGAGGAATGGCCAGATTCGAGCACAGATACAAGGTGAGTCAAACGTCAGGTTATGTGACACAAATTGAGGTTATGCAAACGTCATAAATGTCAAAAGTTTGACGTTTTTCTACTAAAGCGCGGAAAAAGTTTAATATTTTTTAGGAGATATTTTATAGTATATTATGTATCAAGTTTTATAAACGCCATTTTAGTTACGAGTTTTATTAGGCACGAGCGAAGCTTGCGAGCGAGTGTTTAATAAAAACGGGTATTTAGAGAAGTTTATAAAACGAGTTGCACAGAGTACTGTGTTCAGGGGTAATGGCCTTTAGCTTAATTAAAAGCAAGTTCATTATGTTTTAATTTAAATTTCAATATGATCAAGGCAGAGATATCTCCATATCTCTGGATCAAGGGTCTCAATCAAGAGAATCTGAGTTCAACTCTTCCCTTGAATCATTTATATAATATTTTCCCATTAATTTTATATTTTTTTTTTCAATATTAATAACTATTTTCTCTCACTGTCACTTGTTTACACTTATTATTATTATTATTTACACTTATTTTCTTTTTTAATTAGTTTTTTTCTTAATTTATTCATTCACCATCTTTGCACATAGATTTTGTTACAATTGTATTAATACACTGTTAAAATATCCACATAATTCTGCTTAAAAATCAATTTGTTTCTTCTTTAATTCATATTTTATATACATATATCTTCCACTTAACCATTTATTCTTTACATACATTAAAAAAAATTCATCCATATACAGTGTGACCCATTTGTTTGCGACTCTATGCGACCCTATAAAATCTTTATTTATTGTGCGATTTTAACCGGATTTGTTTTAAAGTGTAGATCTTGATAAACTGAATTTTTGAAGCAAAAAAACGCCATATTTTTACAAAATACAAGACCTACTATGTCAGTTTTCAAGAGTAATTTTTTAAGAATTCATATTAGCGATTTTTTTAAACAAAATCTAAGCATGGCACTGGATTCACCACCCCTCAAAACGATCCTATACTAAATTTTATTGAAAAATTTTAAGTAGAATAATGCACAATAATAACTACAAACATTTATTTTGTTAAGTTATCCATGAAAAATGCATTGAAATAAAATCAAACTAATATATTGTTTAATTTTATTTCAACTTTCAACTTATAGTAATAGTACCCTGTTACTATAGTAACATGGTACTATTAGAGTGCTATTAATATGTCATGGCGGATGACCTTGGGTGCGCAAAAGTCTCAAATCCGTCAAATCGCGCTATTACTCACCGACCTAAAAACATACTACATAGGGTAGACAATGCTGATATTTATTGACATATTTAGAAAAATTTCTGGGCTAGAAATTCTATTATATTTGTTATAATATTATAGCGTCTCTCAAGGTCAACCGCCATGAGATATTAATATCACTCTACTATAAGTTTAATTTTATTTCATGGATAACTTGACAGCTTAAATTTTTGTAGTTATTATTGTGCATTTTTCTACTTAAAATTTTTTAATAAAATTTAGTAAAGGGTAGTTTTAAGGGTTGGTAAATCCAGTGCCGTGCTTGAATTTTGTTTAAAAAAATCGCTAATATGAATTCTTAAAAATTTACTTTTAAAAACTGACATAGTAGGCCTTGTATTTTCTACTAATATGGCGTCTTTTCCTCCAAAAATACAGTTTATCAAGATCTATTAGTACTTTAAAACAAATCCGGTTAAAATCGCACAATAAATAAAGATTTTACAGGGGTGAGTCGCAAGCAAAGGGGTCACACTTTATTTCTTTAGTTCGTTTTTCATAATCACAGATAATAAATAATATAATATGTTTTTCATTGATCAAATTCAATTTAGTTCGTTCAATTCCAACCATGCACCGTGTGGCAGATGGCTGTATGCACTGATATTTCTTTAAATATTTCACTCATCCATCGTGGAAATCATTATGCCAATTTTAATTCATAAATATTTTTTCCCCTTGATAATATGAATAACTTGGATGTTGTTTATTTTTTATATTTTCTGAATAACGAGTTTTATATAGGTTTTAGGGCTTGATGAATTAAGCATAAATAAAGCGATACAAGATAACGGATCGTTTTTAATAAAAACTGGAGAAATGCAGCAGATAATCAACCATTCGCTGTCGAATTATAGAGCTTTCTTTCGATGGATTTATACCGCTATAATGCATTTAATAGACGAACCGATTCCTACGGATATACACAAAATGACGCAACAAGATTTGGCTTACATAACGGAGTTTCTGCAGAATTTTGATCACATCGGATATTTGCCGAAAGACGAGGTTCAGAAAGGGTTCATAATGGAAAGAATCGGACAATATTTGCATGATAATAATTTAACTATACCACCCTGTATGGAAGGTAATGATTGGACGGTGTTTTTGAGGCAAAACGAATGTCTGCAAAGGCATCCCGGTATGTTGAAGCACTACGAAAATTTGTCGTTGATGCAACAGTTTAAGATGCTCAAAACTAGTCTGGAGGAGGTTTTGAATTCTCCCAAGGAAACTATAAAGAATAATTTCGGGTTTTTAAGATCTTTAGATGGGTTTAATTTCGGCGAAAGTCAATTGAAAATGTCCACAGTCAATATGACCAAAGATAGCTATTTATTTTCGTTCGTAAAGCCAAAAAATTACATTTACTTGCTGCAGATTTTCGATTTGGGGTGCTACGCGCAGTGCGGAAAGTTCTATTTTACCACACTGGAATCGGAAGACCCCGATTGCGATAATTTTTATGAGATTGTGGACAACGCGTTTTTCAGCCACAATATTCTTTCGCTATTGTTGCAAAACAATTCTAACAACAAATCCGGGGTTTTATATCAATTCAACGTGGAAGAGGCGTTGGAAAAATTAACGGAAATCGATGTGAATAGCGAGGAAATCGAAGATGCCCATTATTTTCCCGAAGTGAATGGGACTTTCTTGGCGCCGAAATCCTTCAAAAACATCGATAATTTCGTATGTTGCCAGTTCGCTATTTCCGGCACCAGAAAAGTCGGCATCGTTTTATCGGAAAATCGCAAGAAAATTCGACTTTTTGAGTTGAGCAACGAGGATGATGATGATGACGATGAAGCAGAAATTACCAATAGTACTTTAAAGGAAAGTGATGTTAGTATGCAGGATGCCAGTTTTGTGTGATAATAATAAATATATAAGTATATTTTTTGCTTTTTTTGTCAAAAAATGTTAAAAGAAATGTTTTAACTTTAATATGTCTAAACTCATTGGGTATGTTTTCACAAAATTGGTGACATTCTCAGAAAGAATCAAGAAAATGCAGGGCTCTCACAACTCCTAAAACTGATAAAATTCCTAAAATTTGGCTTAAATTTTAAAAACTACTAAAATTCTCCTAAAATTGCCATCAATATAAATAAAAAGTAATTAAAAAAAATAGTATATTATGTATCAAGTTTGATAAACGTCATTTTATACACGAAATTAATGAGTGTATAGAAAAGTTTATAAACGAGGTGCATGCTATACTTTTTCTACGACAAATACTTATTATTATCTTAAAATGATTTAAATCAAAAATTTGTATAGAGCGCCATCTATGAAACAATAGGGGAATCTGTGTGTCACCGTCAAATGTCAAATTTTTATATTTTATAAACACGGATTATAAAGGTTATACATCGCAATGTATTTCTTGAAAATTGACAGTTTTTCACAGTGAATGTAAAAAATGCATTATGAGCACTTTACAGTGGAGTCCGTGCCCGAATTTAAGTTATAGTTAACTGCCGGTGAAATTAAAAGGTCAGTGCAATGTTCGTATAAACCTTTCAAATATTGGCGTTAAGAAACTATTTAATACTTCTGTATTTTTGAATTGAGATAATAAAATAATTTTCACATTTAGTAGTATTTTACAAGAAAGGCACTTTATTTTAAAGCTCCATAAAGCCACAACTTGTCAATGTGTATTTAAAAGGTCACTTAGTGTCATGGAAACATGTACGATAAAGGGCGTTTTAAAGGTGGGAGTGAAAAAATATATTTTTAGGTTCTAGTTTATTAAATGCTTTTTAGAATGATATATACCAACCTACATTTTTCTTAAAAAACAACAAAATATACCCTAAAAACAAAATCCATGTAGTGGTTTCTGGACTTCTACAAAATTGTCATGTTTAGCTATACACTGCGCGTCAAAATTAACTCATAATAAGTAAAAAACTAAGACGCCTTTACCAATCTTTATGAAAAATACTTCAACTTATATCTCAGTTTACGTGTTTGATTGTTTTTCGAGAAAATATTTTTAAATCCCTTTTATTTAATAATAAAAAAACGTTCGAAAAATAACTTTTAGGGAAATATGCTGTTAAAGACCGTATTTTTGTTAGTATACCCTGAAAATGTTGTACAAATCAACCGAACAGTAACAAAGATACAGAGCTTCTAAGTCGGTAAAAATGATCCCTTTTTGATTATTTTGCTGCGCTGTATTTTCGTTACTGTTCGTTTGATTTGTAGAACATTTTCAGGGTATAAGATACAGAGCTTCAAAGTCGGTAAAAATGATCCCTTTTTGATTATTTTGCTGCGCTGTATTTTCGTTACTGTTCGTTTGATTTTTAGAACATTTTCAGGGTATACTAACAAAAATACGGTTTTTCACAGCATATTTATTATTATTTGGTAAAGGCGTTTTGGAGTTAGATTTTTTTACTTGTTATGGGTTAATTTTGACGCGCAGTGTATTTCGTTTGTTTTTGACAAAAATATACCGTGTTACAGGTATATCACACAGAAGGATTTTTAATTTTCTTTTAAATGATATCTTAAATAGTAAACAATCTAAAGAATGTTTTGCTGTATTATGCAAACTTCATATTTTTTCTATTATGATTTTTGAGTATCAAGACATTACAATTATTGTTAGTTATTAACTAAACGGTTAACATTTTTTTTCTCAAAATATAACATCATTTGACTTTGGCCTATTTTTTTTTAGCCAAATCTCTCGACGCGTTTTTTTAAATAAAATTAAAAGTGTGGTGAAATTTCTATTTGTGTATATACCTCAGATATCCAAAAGTAGTAATTTTACCTGAATTTTAATTTTATTCAAAAAAACTCATCGAGCGTTTTGGCTAAAGTTAATGTAAATTTTATGCAAAATAAGTGATATTTATATATTTTTTTAAAATAATTATTTTTTTCTTATTTGTTTTTATTAAATTACATAAATTCATTTGCATACTTTATTTCTACTAAAATTTTCCATCCTAAATCCCTAAATAAAATTTGTAATTTATCCGTGGGAGCACTGAAAATGTCCAAAAATTAATCAACAAATAATGGTAAAAACTATCTGTATTAAAGAAAAATATCTAAAATGAACAATAATTAAAATGGTATAATAAAGTAGCTTCAATTTTACCAATATTTTAAACATCCCTAAAAAATTAATTTAATAAAAAGTATTTTAAGACTCCAAAACTAATGTTTCAAACTCATGGAAAGATTTTTCTTCACAATTAAATGGGATATAGAGGCAACCATGGCTTGGATGAACCTAAAATTATTATGTACAGCTTATACATCGTGCTGTTCTGAGACTTAATTTTCAGACTTTCAGTGAAACCTTACCTACTATATTCTTGTTAATAAAGTCATAAATAAAAATTTAAGAGCAAAATAAAAAAATCTGACGGTTCTTTTAATTAGCTGTTTATTAAAAATATTATGCACTCTTTCAATTATTCAAATAAAACTTTATTTAAATATTTGCATAACTTTTTAAATCAAATTAAATATTAATTATTTTCGTAAAAAAGCTTTATATAATTTTTTTATATCTTTTACTGTTTTGTTGCAATAGAATATAATATAAGACCGTGTTTTTAATAGATCTAAGATTCATGGCACCCTTAGATATATTAATTAAGGGAACATAAATGTATACGTCAAAGGTTCTATTCTATTGCAACAAAACAGTAAAAGATATAAAAAAATTATATAAAGCTTTTTTACGAAAATAATTAATATTTATATATTATATAAGACGGTGATTAAAAATATATTTGAGGTTTGAATTGTCATTTTCAGTATACGTAATATATAATTGTTTAGTTTTTTAAAGTATTTTTTATAAACAAAAAGAAAAATTGTAGTTAAAGTTACAAAGAAATTTATGAAAAAAATCGAAATTTGTTGTGTTGTTTGTTTTAAAAAAAATTCAAGTCTAATATCAATCCCAGCGACGCTTTATTAGGTTTTAAAGGAAGAAATTATTGACTATAATCCAAATGATAGAAAATTTCCAAAATCACTTTGTGCCAAGTGTAAAAATATTTTATATAAGAAAAAAAAGGAGGGGATGTAAATATACACTACACGAATTAAGACATAATAATATTGACCATGCAAATGTTTATTTTGTTCCACTGGCAGTGGATATGTTTTAAAAGTAGAAAAGCTTAAACATTTAAAACAGTATAACAATGCTAATTTTAAAATAATAAAAAATATTAAGAGACAATAGTATTCAAAAAAATTTTTCGTTGTATAAACCATTTATCGGCCCTAAATAAAAAAAAAAGATTTAAGTATAAATTAAAACTTCAAGACACCCTTAGAATTATTGTTTAATAAATTTAACCTTAAATTAAAACTTTAAACGTGTATTGCAACAAAACAGTAAAAACTATAAAAAAATGTATAAACTTTTTTTTAGAAAATAATTAATCTTTAATGTAATTTAAAAAGTTATGACAATATTGAAATAAAACCGCAAGTTTTACTTGGATAATTGAAAGAGTGCATAATATTTTTAATAAACGGCCAACTAAATCAAAACCGTTATTTTTTGTTCTTAACAAGAATATCAAAAAAAAAATTGGATTCACAGAAAGTCACAAATGTAAAAATAATTTCCTAAAAAAATTCTTTACCTTTCCTACAGTGAAGGATTCGCTGTAATATACTCTTCCTATGTAAAGTGGCTCCCCGTCACTAGTGTGCCCCCCCTGTACGGCGCCTGGAGGAATTTCGCCCCCCCTTGTAAACACCCACTTGAACCTTTGTTCACAAAGAACCTACAAAAATAAAAAACAATTGTTTTTATTTTTTATGCATATATAGATGTTTTTCATGATATTTTTAATAAATATATTATATATGAAGGGGTAAGTGCAAAAAAAGAGAAGTTGAGTTATTTACTTTTAAAGTTTTTGCTACCTAGTTTTTTCGTAGATTCGAATTTTAAAAAAATTACATTAACATCCCCATTAAAAATCCAAAGTTACTCCACGCCCCTCAAAATAGTTTACCAAAATTTCACAAAAAAATTTGAAACCGTGTTCGAAATATCCACTGTAACACGTGTTAGTATTAATATTGATAAACTCATAAAATATTGTATACCGGGTAAGTTTTTTAAAGTACTTAAAAAAAACTCACCTGGTATATATATAGTAGACTGGTCCAAAAAAATCAACTAATTTTTTTTTTTGAAAATTATATCAAAAATATTGTTTGGGGTGACAAAAAAAAATTATGGTGAAAGTTTAAGTCCATAATATTATAATTAAGAGGTATATCATCGCAATTTAAGATTTTTTTCCTGAGCGGGTTTTTGTCTCAGAACTACCAAACCATTGAGTTTTATAAAATTGTCTTAAGATTATTTTTTGAAGAAAATTGAATGCTCTTCAAAAAAGGTTTGATTGGAATTTCCCGTCAGATTAACCGTTTTCTTACAATCATGCCTTAAAAATTGGTATAGTTTTACAATTTGATCTTTTAACTTTGGAATTTTGTAATTCATGTAAAAATCAGTGCCCGAAAAAAACCGATAGATATTCTTATGGGAAATCAAATGCTCTACAAAAAAAGTCTCCTAACATGTTTGGCTAAATTCACTCCATCAAAAGTTATTCAAGGTTAAATTTGAAGTCAAAACGAAATTCTTGTTTTTTCCGCTTTAAGAAGCTATTTTCTTTAGAGAATATTATTTTCACTGTTACCTATTTAATCGTTTAAATAATAACAATCATGTTTTTTTATTGGAAATTGTTAATTAGTTATATAATACACATTTATAAAGAAAAAAATTATCATTCAAAAATTATCATCCATATAAAATAAATCTGCAGAAAAAACAAGAATTTCGTTTTGACTTCAACTTTAACCTTGAATAACTTGATTGAGTGAATTTAACCCAAAATGTTAAGAGGCTTTTTTGATTTCCCATAAAAATATTCATCGGTTTTTTTCTGGGTACTGATTTTTACCTGAATTACAAAATTCCAAAGTTAAAAGATCAAAATGTAAAACTATACCAATTTTTAAGGCATGATTTTAAGGAAACGGTTCATCTGACGGAAAATTTCATTTTAACCTTTTTGGCAGAGCATTTAATTTTCTTAAAAACATAATTCTATGTCAATTTTGTTAATCTCAATGGTTTGGGAGTTCTGAGACAAAAACTTGCTGAGGAAAAAAATAAAATTGCGATGATAGACCTCTTAATATTAATATTATGGACTGAAACTTTCACAATATTTTTTTGTCACCCAAACCATATTTTCAATATACTTTAAAAAAAATAGTTCATTTTTTTGGCCCAGTCTAATATATAGGTATACAATAGTTTATCAATATTAATAGGTATAGAAACATGCATTATTACCTGAAAACAATCTTTGGCAACTTCCTGTCCTCCGTAAGCCACATAAGCGACGTTTTTGGCAGGAATAACTTTGGCAGGAATCAAATCGCCTTCGTGGAACGCCCGGCCTACGTAGATTTCATCTCCGTCAACATCGGTACCTCCCTTAAGCGCAGTGGAAGGTACTCCACCATATACAGAAGTGTCCACCCAATAATAAGCTAAAAAAAAATAAACATAACTTTTTAAGGATTTTTTTATTAATTATTCTGGTATACTTTCTAACGTACCAAATTTTAGCTTATAAGCCATTTTAAATTTACTTATAGTAAATTCCTTTTAAAAACACACTGAGATTAAAAAACTGGTCGATTTTTTGGATTATTTTTAGGACGGAATTACAAAGTTTTATTTTTTTATCTTAAAAGATTTCTTTACAAAATTTCCTTAAAAGGCCTTATTTTTCGACATGGCAAAATAGAGATCCCTCTTAAGCTAAACCACTAATTTTTAAATGCACTTTGTTGGAATCACCTTACCTTTGTTATTTTCACTGGCAGTGCAGGTTTCTGGCCTGCGACATTCTTGTGGCAAAGGGGGGTACATTGGGGTTAAAGTATTTACAGGCATAGGCATAGGAAATGCAGGGTAAGGATTTTCAGAACAATCTGAAGAACTGTCTGAAGGTGCACTGGGAAGGAAATCAGGGTTAAAACCATAAGCTATAAAATGATGATACGTCACTGGACAAATAATATAGACATAAAGTTATCTTTTGGACTTTGAAATATTTCGTATTGGGCAAATTTACTTTTAAATGTTTAATGCCTTTATTTAATGAAAGTAGACAAAATACACTAATCTGATTTCCCTATTAAAAATGCCATATAGAAACACAAAATAAAAATATATCTGGTTCAATATAGGAATTTGAAACAGGCATTGCACTATTGAACCAGATAGAATTCCATACCTGGAAAACCATATAGAAAAGTGATTTCTATATGGATTGCCATATAGGTTCATATTGCTCTATCTGGCCCAATATGGTTTGGGTGTGAAAAAATTATTACCATATAGATCCATATTTAACCATATAGGGGAATCTATATGGTTTAATATGCAATTTTTGTTTAAATATATATACATTTTAAAATGGAATTCCATATTCAACCATATAGGGAAACCTATATGGAAAGACACATAAAACAGAAACCATATAAATCCATATAAAAATCCCTAAGTTGTACATTTTAAAATGAAATTCCATATTAAACCATATAGATTCCAAAGTGTAAACCAGGTCGTTCCATATAGGACATATAGAACCATATAAATCCATATTAGTTTCCTTATCTGGATCAATATGGGTTCTATAGGGCATTTTTAATAGGGTTTGATATATTATTTTAAATGTAGGTTAACTCTTCAGTAACAATATCATGGTGGACATTTTTCTTCTGATTTTTGTTTTAGCATATTTGTGACGCGGATGTTATATGTATATGCTCAAATTAATATCTGAATAATTTTTTTTACCATAGGATCGTTACTAAATACTCGACCTACAATTAAAAAATAAAATTACATTAAAATTCTGGCCAATTTATGTTGTCCAGTTTTTTTTATGGTGATTGTATTATTGTTAAATAATAGTTATTTATGTATCAAGGCAGTAAAGTCGTATTTTTTATCACGAATGTGGAAATTATTTGCCGAGGCGAAAGCCGAGGCAAATAACCACGTGAGTGATAAAAAATGACTTTAATGCCGAGGTGAATATTAAATTTTATCCGAAATCACATTTAATAATACTAATAATTAATATTGATGATCAAATCAAATGTCATTTGAATGTAGGAAGTGTCTACGTATACTGTTTGTTGCGACAGTTATTATATATTTGCCCGCCGCGGCGTTTTTTAATCTAATTAATAAAATTAACTTTTTATTTGTATTAAACAACATTTTATGAAAGGGTCCAATCGACCTATGCGACGGTGCTTTTTTAAAATATTATTTAGTTGCTGCTGAGGAGCAGTAGACACATCTTAAAATGTATAATGGGTTTCATACAATACTATTAAATCGACAGTAAAGTTCTACTTTACTGCCGATTGTTGACTACTTTACTGCCGATTTCGGATAAAATAATTTTACACTATTTTTTTACATACAGAAATACTTATAAAGTCCATATAAAAAAATATTTAAAATCTTACCTGCCATTTCAAAACCACTTCTTAAAAGTGATTTGTGTTTTGATGTACACTAGGTTGAAAATTGTTATCTTATCAAACAGTCAGACATTAAATATGTACTTAAAATTAATGATTTATTAAGCTTGCAAACGTCTTTTGTAAACAAGAAAACAAACATCATTTCATATAGTAATAATATATTTATTTGGATACATAAAGCTGTTATACTTATAGCTATTATTGACTTAAAACTAGGTAAATATGATGAGTCAGAATTCGTGAAATGTATTAATAAAATGAAATAGTCTTAGATTTGAATGTAAAAACAAAAAAATTGTGGCTTTTATTAAAAACAACAACTAACAAATAATTTTCTCCACTTATGGACACATATTTTGGTCATTTTTAATTTATTTAAAAATTTTAATATCTCATAATTTAATCATTTCGAATATCTACAAATATTTCTTATAAACTATGCCTAAGGCAAAATGGTTCTAAAACTTTTATTGAATTTAATACATGAGATCAAGAACACAGAATTCTTGCGTGAAATGCTGAGATAAATTTAAATAAAATTAAAATAACCCAAAATAACAGGAGAAAAAAAATTGTCATGGTGTATTAAAATGCCACAATTTTTTTGTATTTACTTCCAAACCTAAAACTAATCTATTTTTAGTGATCAGTTTCACGAATTCTGACTTGATACAAATATTATTTGTTTTATTATTTTTTGGAATCCAATTGCATCACCATAGCATTAATTTTTTCTGATAATCTAGATTGTGCAATGGTTTTGCTTTGAACATACAACAAACTTTGCTTGTCTCTCTGTTGAAATGCTATGTCCGCTGCTTCCTCCAGAAGACTAAAATTTTTTTCAAGTTTAGAATATGGCAAAATATATATTTTTAAAATCCAACTGTTATATACATTTTAGGAGGTTCCTTGGCAAATTCAAGAAATTTCCATTTGAATAGATAATAATACAGAAAAGTGATCCATACTTTGATTTTGTGAAACCATTTTTTATATGGGTCTTTTAAAGTCAAAGTTTAAATTTTGTAAATAGATTAAGTTATAATTATTAGGGTGATTCAAGAATATATTTTTTTACTTTCGACACTGCAAAATTGGTTCTTAGGAACCCTTTTAAAAAGGAACATATTTGATTATTAATCAATCGTTTTATCAAATTTTTATACATATTTTTGTGGGAATTTGAAGGCTCTACAAAAAATGACTAATGTGTTTAAGCGATTACTCCAACCATTTAAAAGATATTCAAGATCAAAGTTATTTATTAAAAAAAAATTATTGTCAAATGATTATAACATATTTTTGTAGAAAATGTAACGCTCTACAAAAAAGGTCTAATGTGTTTAATTGATTACTCTAACCGTTGAGAAGATATTCGTATCCAAATCCCAATTCGTACTGATACGAATATCTTCTCAACTGTTGGAGTAACCTTTTTTATAGAGCGTTAAATTTTCTACAAAAATATGTCATACTTTTTTGACAATATTTATTTTTCAATAAGTTACAAAATTATAAAAAAAAATTAATAAATTCTTCAAACTTTGATCTTGAATATCTTTTAAATGGTTAGAGTAATCACTTAAAGACATCATTCCTTTTTTGTAGAGCATTACATTTTCTACAAAAATATGTATAAAGATTTGATAAAACGATTGATTAATAATGAAATATGGTCTCAAATTTGGTAAGCACTTTTAGAGGTGCCTAAGAACCAATTTTTAGTGTCGGAAGTAAAAAAAATATTCGATTTTTTTTTAATCACCCTATACTCTTATACCACTATACCATATAGGATTTTTTTCTGTATTTTCTTTCAAAATCTAGATTCTGAAGAAAGAAAAATTATGACGCCATCATAAGTTATGGGTATATGCTATATATGGGTGATTCTACAAAAGTTGGACAACTTGATGTCATCAGTCAATAGAGTAGGAATTTTAATATTTTTTGTAAATATTTTAGTATATTACAAAAGATCCAGGTTTTTTTAACTTGTCCACCCAATTTAAATGTATTTTTTCAAAAGCACGTTTATACACAAACATCCCAGTGAACCAAACCGTGACTTATGACCTAAAATTTACGTAACACGTAGATCATATCTAGGTAATACAATTTTTACGTCATAGTGACATAATACTGACCCAAAACGTGACTTTTATATGATGTAATTAAATGACTTACATATTACGTACATCTTATGTAATATTAAAGTCATATCGTGACGTAACATTAAAGTCACTTTTCTTACGTAAGACTGACATAAGAAATCTGTCATAATATTACATAAGTTTTAGGTCACTGTCTTACGTAAGACTGACGTAATAAATCTGTCATAATATTACCTAAGTTTAAGGTCACTTTCTTACGTAAGGCTGACGTAAGAAATACGTCATATTATTACATACATTTTAGGTCACTTTCTTACGTAAGACTGACGTAAGAAATATGTCATACCATTACATAAGTTTAAGGTCACTTTGTAAGGTAAGACTGACATAAGAAATCTGTCATGCATATTATTTAGACGAACTAGATGCAAAAGTAATTTCAAAGTATGAAATTCACTGTATTTTAATGTTTGAATTAAACTAATTTCAATGAATGGACTTTTATTTTCAATTAATGAAATAGGCAAACATAATTTTTATTTTTTATTGATTGAAATGGTTAATTTCAATCCTTGAGTAAAATAACGTAAGTAAATTCTATTAATTGAAATTGACGCCGATCATTTTAAACAATAAAATCAGTGGATACTTTTCCTTACCAATCAGTTTAATTCAAACATTAAAATACAGCAAATTTCATATTTTGAAATTACTTTTGCATCTAGCATGATGAAAGAAATAACGCGAAGTTCTTTGAATTTTTTGGCTACTTAGTACTTGGTCGATTAAATGAAAATATGGTTTAAAGTTAATCAAAAAATTATGTATCTTAATTTAATATGTAATAAACATCATATAAATTTTTATGATTCCGGTTCCTACTGCTTTATGACGTAAAATATTTTGAAAATAGCGTCGTACTTTCAAAAGTACACATTTTATTCAATGGTCATGTGAAAAATCATGTAGGTACTCATAATCATGGTTGCATACTTGCAAGTACCAACTTATTTTTTAAATTGTAAAAAATTATTAACAAAAGATTTACGTGTTATCACGTGTTATTTTGTATTGTATGTTACTGTTATTATTTTTTGAAAATTTTTGAAAATGGCGCTTTTGGTGAAAGTGGAATTTTTTTGTTCCACCCTGTACAATCGAAAAAATAAGTAGTTATTCTTTAAAAGACCTGAAATGATATTTCACTCACTCACAATTTTTTTTAAATGTGTCCTTGGCAGTACGACGTCATTTATTTTTTTTTTAATCCATGCATGTCAAAAAATGTTACCTACCTATTAAAATACTAAAATTTTAAATTTCTAAAATAAAAATAATTTTTAAATGTTCAATATTGTCCCTAGCTATAGCTACTCATAAAAAGCGATTTTTTTTTGTTCTTATTTCTGACATACCCTGTAAAGAATCTGACAAATTAGTAGTTGGTTCAAAATCCATTGTGAGTTGGTTTTAATCAGCTTCATAAATTAGATAAAGTATCAGCTTGCAATAAATACCTTTTCGATAATGATTCCATTTCCCATTGAAAAAAATGTGGCCTTTTGACAGTACGACGCCATTTTAGAAAATTTTCAAAATTGGTTTAAGTCAAAAAGTAGTACCCTTGTCTCTGGTATACCAGAGACTATAGTACCTATATATTTAATGCCTTGTTTAACATACTAAAATTTCAATTTCCAAATACAGAGGTTCAAAAAATAAAACTATAATAAATAATACAACCAAATTTAAAGAATTTAGTATTATAATATAATATGGTATAATTATATATTAATATAATACCTATAATAATAGATAGGTATTTGCACAATATTGTGGGTATTAGTATATTTTTTAAATTTAAAAAAATGATAAATAAAAGAAATGAAATTGACAAACGAAATTAATTAAGTACACTGAGAATATTTAGTATTAAGAAACCAAGAGATTTTTAAAAATATATGTAAACTATTAAAGAATTTTTCATTGATAAACAAATTTTATAATAATATTATAATATGGTCCGGTTATTGTGTTTCAGACAAATAAGGGTAATGTTGTCAAATAAAATTGATATATTAATTGTTAACAGTTACAATATGCAGTAAAGGTTGCCTATGATAAGTAGGCATCTACTATAATATAATAGAAATCTACTTATCATGGGCAACCCTTATTGCATAATACATCTCGCTTATGTGGCACTATTCGTTAAGTATATAAGTTGACACTGGCTGCATTGCAATTTGAGATTTAGGAATCCGAACCTCGGCAAATAAACGAATCACGAATTGTAGCCCACGATTAAATTTAGCTTTTACACTGGAATTCTTTGTTGTGGCCCTCTGCTTAAACAGTGCCTGCTTTGCAAGGCCAAAGCCGCGAACCCACAATTTTTGTCATTTGGAAGAGGGAACTGATTTCAGCCAAGTGAGCTGTTTCAGTATTCACTTATTTTGCCCCATGATAAAAAATAAGGAAGGGGGCTTCGTCATTCTGAGGTCATATTTATGTCACATTTATTACGTAAATATTATGTAATGGTATGATGTCAGTGTTACATCAAGATGTTTACGTCATATTTATGTCATATTTATTACGTCAGAGTCTGACGTAAGGAAGTGTGAAATAATGACTCTTGGATGACTCAAGTGTGACCTATATCTTACGTAAGCGTGACTTGACATGACGTCATATTTACGTCATATTTACGTAATTGTGTTTACTGGGATAATAAATATTCAAAACATCAGTACCTTGGCGTGTCACAACTCCTGAATCAAATATTTGAGTGATTTTATTTTAAAATATATTCAATTTATCTTAAATTTTTCAATTTCACTACAATCTATAAAACATTAAATAATGTATTTTTCATATTTTATCATAGATTCGTATAATAGCAATTTTTAAAAAATTGATAATCTTTGTACTCACTTTTACCTGTCAGTTCTGTGTCCAATGTTAAAATTCAAAATTCCTGCGAAATATTGAAGTTTAAACGTCAAGTCCTCCTTTTAACTCAAGTGTTGGTAAAAAATTACCTACAGAGCCCGCCCTTTGCACGACAGTCATCTTGAAAACAATGCAAGCGGCGAAGTTGTGGTGAATGCACGTATAGTTCCAGTCAAAATTTCAGTACTGTGGTGAGTATTTATTTTCTTACGTATATATATTTCATTGTAATTTATAAAAGGCTATATGTGATTTGTTGAGAAATTGCATCCACTAATAAAAAATATCAGTAAAATACTTAATTCCGAATTATAATCTCAAATTTGTATCCCATTCATCAGAACCGTGACGTCAGTTCCATGTTAGATATTTCGTTTATCTTTTTTTCGCATACTTCAATTTAAATTCTGCTTGCGCAGAACTTATTTATTTAATGTCATTATAAAGTTATATAAATTTTTGTGGGTCCCATATCTAATAATTGAGATATCGGTATACCCAAAATCCACCAGCTGCCACTGATGTGTGGTATTATTTGATTTTAAGATATTTAATGTATAATATGCTCAAAGTTGCAATAAATCTTATATTTTCCAATAAATTATGTATTTAATTAGTACTCTGGTACACTCGTCACTTCCCTTGCGTTCAAATTTAGAAAACACAGATATTTCAGAAACAGTTTGAAAAAGTGACTTGCCTGGTCTGGAATTATTATTATTGTATTATTATATTATCTATGTTCTAATAACAAAATATTGTTTAATTTTCTCCGAAAACTATATAAACAAAATGAGGTCAAAAGTTGCTCAACTTTTGTAGAATCACCCATATAGTTTTATTTCTGTTGTGTGATTACAATTTAAATTTTTTTTAAAAATTTGCACTTTTAATTATAAATGGAATATAATAAATAATAATAATAAATAAAGTTTTTATTGCATATTCAGTACAATACAGAACATATAATACAAAATATACAAAAGGCCATCGACCGGGGTCCTTCAGCCTTGGAATATAATATTTTGCTGCTTTTTTTAAATTATGGCATTTATGAGGAAATTAAATAGGAAAGTTGTAAATTCTATTGAGAACCTATTAAAATTGAAATTAACAACCTTAATAAATACTGTAACTTACCCAGCCTTAATGTAATATTTAACTTTGACGTCATCATTAACTCTTGCCAAATATTTGATAGCCTCATCTTTTTTGTCGTTTTGCAGGCAAACGTCCACAAATGGATGATACCCAATTGGAGATTTTTTAGACTTTGAAAATCTTTCCAACTCCAGCCAATCCTTATTTTTGACCAACCTGTCGATTTTTAGCCAACAAAACCTTAAAATCAAATTTTTTTTCCCAATAAACGAAAAAATCTAAATTTGTACCTTTTCTCTGGTATTTTATAGTCGCTTCTGAATTTTTCGGCCAATTTATCATTCTTTTCGAGTAATAGTTTGCAGGTTTCGTGAACGGATTTCCCCACGAAAACATTCTTGACCCCCAATTTGTCCTCCAGCTCTCTTTGGTATTTCAGTAGTTTCAAAGATTCCTCGCAGAGGTTGGCGTACAGATCCTTGCGGCCCTTCTTGTACGCATCCATTGCAGATGTGAGGAGGGAATCTTTCATTAATTCTTTCTAAAATTCAACAATTACAGAAGGGGTACTGTAAAAGTTTCAGGATTTAATTGTATATTTTCTGTAATATGTAAATTTAATTTATTTATGATTGAAACAATTTGAACTCAATTGAACTCAATTTTTGTGAAAAGAAACATTTATGGATTTACAAAATCTTCTTGCCTTCAAAGATTGTTCCATTAATTATTCTTTTAAATAATTTTTATTCACATCCTATTGCTAGGCACGGTGTGCCTGAACGAAGTTTAGGTCACATAAAAATGCCGCCAAAAACTGATTGCAGTTTCTTGTTCGGGACCCTTTGGTGACTTAAAAATGATATTTACCAAAATTCTAGCTGCTCCTTTTTTCGAAATTTTTTGAAAATTCATGATTTTTTTTTAAATTTTTGTATATCTTAAAGTATACCTTTGACAGTATACACATTTGTACACCGATTTTTATAGTATTAGAGTATATTGTTAAGGAGATTTGGAGATTACTTTTTCATACTATGCACATCATTTAATATATACAGGGTTGGCCAAAAATCGCTTCTTTTAATAAAGCAAAAGCGTAAATTCATGATTTTGGCATAACACGCAAAAAAGATATATACCCACCCATGTTTTTTTAGATATTTTTATGTTTATCAGGCTAAAAAATGGGATTCTTATGAAGACTTTATAAGAAAAATTGATTTTGAATAAAATTAAATAAAATAACATTTTTTGGAGATAATTCTTTTTTGTGCATTATGCTTTTTACTATATAAAAAAGTGATTTTTGGCTAACTCTGTATAAATCTAATGATGTGTTCAGTCTGAAAACAGTATTCTCCAAGTCTCGTTAACAATATACTCCAATATTATAAAAATCGGTGTACAAATGTGTACTCTGTCAAAGGTAACATAAACAAAAATTTAAAAGAAAATAAGAATTTTCAAAAAATTTCGAAAAGAGGAGCAGCTAGGATTTTGGTAAATATCATTTTAATGTTACCAAAGGGTCCCGAACAAGAAACTGCAATCAATAAAAAACGTTGTACAAATGTGTACTCTGGCAAAGGTAGACTTTGGGATAAACAAATTAAAAAAAAATGATTTTTTAACAAATTTTAAAAAAGCAGTTAAAATGTTGGTAAATATCGTTTTTAAATCTCCAAAGAGTGCTGATCAAAAAACTTTAACCAGTTTTTCGTTCAAAATTGAAAACTACTAAAAAGCCTAAATTAAACAACATTTTAAATAGGTATTCTCTCAGTTATTTTATTTAATTTTATTAAAAATTTATTTTTTTATAAAAGGTTAATAAGAATGCCATTTTGTAACATGATAAACCTAGAATTATATAAAAAAAAATACTGATAAATCTTTTTTGCGTGTTATTCCAAAATCATGAATTTACGCTTTTGCTTTATTAAAAATATGCGATTTTTGGCTCACCCTGTTAAAGCAAAGTTTCAATTTTTAATTCTTTATAACGTAAATGTATATTTTTAAGTATAATTTAAGCAGGCTTATATTGCCACTCCCACTGTAGAGGCAAGCCAATCATATGTCTAGGCGAGGGGGGTAAAAACTACCCGAACTGTAGGACGACAATCGCAACACTCATTTCGAATACATTCACTCAATTACGCAGCATTGCAACACATGGGCAGTATCGACTACCCAAATTGATCGCCAATGATCTAGTTTTTATTTCACTTGTTTAAATAGTTTTAGTTTAAGTTATGTGTAAATAAATATCTACTTAAAAACCATACACTATTGTGGTTTTAATCAACAATACAACAATACAACAACATCAAACAAACACAAGCATCGTTTTATGGTCCTTCGAGCAACAATTTAACAACAATACCAAACAATAAACATTTTTTGGTCACTTCGAACCGGATACAGGAGAGTTTGATCTATGGATATCAAATTTATCGCATCCTAGACGACAACACAATCAGCATTTCTACAAGAACTGGACATCTATAGGAAGACCATCCAAGCCACCGTCTTCAGGCCTACACAGCTCCCTATAGTCTTCAGATTGGGACAATACCTGGTCGCCCATTACGACAAAGCAGTAAGTCTCATTCCATTTACCATCCTTTCTATTCATATCAGAGTGTTTTCTACATGTACTACGATTTATTTTATTATTTCATATAATACGGTGCTTTGCATTTTCCAAATCAATAAGCTAGTTACACATTTCAATTATAATGGAACTAGAAAATCTACAATTTACTCGTGACATTGCAATAAATCGTTTAAAAGATATCAAAAAGATAGCAGTTAAGGCCGAAAAAGATGAAGATCAAAAGGGCGCATTCCAAGTTCGATATGAACAAGTACACATTTTATTCAATGAATTTCAAGCCTTGCATGGGCAAATTATTTCCAAATCATTGGAACTTAAAACATTAGACTTTGCAGCTCAAGAAAAAATAAGATCAGACTTTGACAATACATTTTATGCCATTAAAACGTCATATCAAAGCTTATTTCCTCCAGAAACAAGTGAGTGTAATTTGCCATCAATACATAGCAACAGTAACAATTTCGTTGATAAACAAAATGTGCGATTACCAAAACTTCAATTACCAAGGTTTGAAGGCAGTTTTCAAACGTGGCTCAATTTTCGCGATTTGTACAATAGCCTCATTCACAACAATCTTTCGTTGTCAAATATTGACAAATTTCAATATTTACTCACGTCGTTAGGCCCTAAACCAAGGGCATTTATAAAATCTATACCAGTAGCTGATGATCATTACATAATTGCATATAATAAGTTAATGGACGAGTACAACAATAAAAGACAGCTCGCAACTGCCTATTGGGAGGAGGTTGCTACGTTTACAAAATTACCGTTTGCTACAAATCAAAATCTAAAAACATTAGTCAATACATTTGATGAAAATATTGAAGCCCTTAAATTGTTAAAGTTTCCGACAGATCAATGGGATTTTCCTTTATTCAATATTTTGTTGCAAAAACTCGATGTCGAGACTCGTAAAGCATTTGAAATACAATATAAGTCAGTCGAATTACCGTCATATTTGCAATTAAAAGAATTTATAGTAGAGTATAGCAAGGTATTAAACAATTCCGCTGCAAGAACCGATAAAAGGTTATTCACTAATAATATTAGCAACAATCAATCCAAATTTACAAAACCGTTTCAGAAACGAACGGAACATTCATTTGCAGTAAATAATAGTTCACCCGTGTGCTATTTTTGTAAACAATCGCATGCAATCTATCATTGTCAACAATTTTTAAACCTCTTACCCGAAGATCGTTTTAAAGAAGTCAAAAAACTTAAATTGTGCATTAATTGCTTAAGGCCAGGTCATATCACAAACGAGTGTACATCAAGCAACTGCAGAAAGTGTCAAAATAAACACAATTCGATTTTACACTTTTCTACCGATAAATCTAATAACGTAAATTCGCAAAACGATTTAATTACCATTTTACCATCTACATCTAAAATTGATAATATGCCAAACGCAACACAAAGCAGTCATCAATCTTTAAGTATCATGCCAATAAAAGGTACAAAAGCCAATTGTTATCATACCGCTATTAATGATAACTTAGTTTTATTATCCACCGTCATTGTGGACATTTATGATTCTTACGGTCAACCGCAGCGCTGTCGAGCGCTTTTGGACTCAGGTAGTCAAAGTAACTTTATTACGGCAGATTTGGTAAAAAGGTTAGGTATTCAATTACAAGATTTCAAATTATCAATTACAGGCATTAATCAGAAATTAACACAGGTTCACGCATCTGCTGAAATTCATATCAAATCTAAATATAATGATTTTAACACTAAATTACGATGTTTAGTACTACCGACTATTACAAACAAAATTCCGACAATTCCATTTAACACAGACAATTTAAATATAGGTCAAGACATTCAATTAGCTGACCCAACTTTCAATAAACCTGGACAGATTGATCTTTTATTAGGTGCAGGTATATATTATAATCTATTAGAGTCACAAACTATACAATTAGGTGATTAAACTTTAATCAAAGCAACAATATTTGCGGTATAAGTCTAAATGAACAATTAGCGAAATTTTGGGAATTAGAAGAAATTAACATAAAGAAACCCTTATCATTTGAAGAACAATATTGCGAAGATTATTTTAAATCGACCACAACCCGTGATGTCAATGGGAGATTTATTGTTAAATTGCCCTTTAAAAACTCCGTCATAAATCTTGGTGACTCAAAAACCATTGCTATTAAACGTTTTAAGTCATTAGAGACAAAATTTGTAAACGACGACAAGTTAAAAGCCTCTTATATTGAATTTATGGACGAATATATTTCACTCCAACATATGGGCATTGATAATGCCATTACACCTGTTTCATATCTTCCACACCATGCAGTTTACAAAGACAACAAAATTCGAGTTGTTTTTGACGGATCTGCAAAATTAACCGACGGTCTAAACATTAACGATTGTTTATGTGTAGGGCCAACTATTCAGAACGATCTCTTTGATATCGTTGTTCGATTTAGAAGTCATAAGTATGTTATGACTGCTGACATCAAAAAAATGTATCGACAGATCCTTGTTGATCAGTCAGACAGAAAATATCAAAACATTTTTTGGCGAGACAATCAAAACGAGACTATTCAAATTTACAATTTAAATACAGTTACGTACGGCACATCTTGTGCACCATTTTTAGCAATTCGGTGTCTACACGAAATTGCATATCAAAATATCCATTTTAAAAAATTTGCCTGTGAAACCATATTACGGGATTTTTATGTTGACGATTTGCTAACCGGGACTAACAGCATTGAAGACGCAATACAATTAAAAGACGAACTAAATACTTTATTACGGTCATATGGTTTTGAATTGAGCAAATGGTCATCAAACAACAATAATATTACAGACTCGTGCACGGACAATACAGCTGATTTATTTAAAAGTCAATTTAGTGAAAACAAAGTAATAAAAACGTTAGGTTTGATATGGAATTCACGATCAGATACAATTCACTTTTCATTTCATTCTAATTCAACATTAAATGTAAAATCACAATATACAAAACGGCAAGTCTTATCCTTAATTTCAAAAATTTTTGATCCTTTGGGTTTAGTCGGCCCAATAATCATTAAAGCAAAAATTTTTATGCAAAAACTCTGGCTATTAAAAATTGATTGGGATGACATTATTCCTGAAGAATTAAATAGCGAATGGCTGAATTATATCAGTCAGCTTCCAGTAATTAATTCAATAATTACAAACAGGTCCTTACTTTGTGAAAATCCTATTTCGATAGAATTACACGCCTTTTGCGATGCCAGCGAGTCTGCATATGGCTGCTGCATATATGCGCGATCGACAAATGATCAAATTAACTATAGTACCAACTTAATTTGCGCGAAATCAAAGGTGGCTCCTTTAAAAACAGTATCAATTCCTCAATTGGAGTTATGTGGAGCGCTATTGCTTACAAAACTATTAAAAAAGGTGCAACTAGCACTGGCTATTAAAATCGACAAAATTTATTGTTGGTCAGATTCAGAAATCGTTTTATCTTGGCTCCGAATACAACCTTGTTATTTAAAAACTTTTGTGGCCAACCGTGTCACACAAATTACAGAAATAACGCAATGCACTGATTGGTATCATATACGAGGGGAAAACAACCCAGCAGATATCATTTCGCGTGGAGTCAATCCAAATGTTTTAATTAATTCCAACTTGTGGTGGTACGGACCTGAAATATTGCATACAAGGTGCGATATACCGGTTTACAATCAAGAAAATAGGACAATAGCCATTCCGGAAATTAAACGTACAGCCATTGCTACAATTTCAACAGAAAAATTCTCGATATTTAATAATTATTCAACATTTTCGAAATTAAGAAATGTAACAGCATATATCTTAAGATTCATAAATAATTGTAAAAAACAATCAAAACTTACGAAAAATCTATCAGTAAATGAGCTAGACAACGCCACAAAGGCATTAATTAGACTTTGTCAAAATGAACAATTTACTGAGGAGATTTCGCAGTTAACGAAAAAACAACCGATCAAACCATCATCGCAATTATCAAATTTAAGTCCGTTTTTAGATAATGACAGTATATTGCGAGTTGGGGGTAGATTGAGAAACGCAGAAATTAATTACAATCAAAAGCATCCTATAATCGTTCCCACCAAACACAAACTTACAGAACTATTAATCTCACATATTCATGAAAGAAATTTGCATAGCGGTTGTCAATTAACGTTATCAAATGTGAGGCTGCAATATTGGCCACTGTCCGGCAATAGAGCAGTAAAAAGAGTTGTACAAAAGTGCGTTAAGTGTTTTAAAAACAAGCCTCGGTCAATAAATCAAAAGATGGGTGATTTACCCATCGAACGCGTAACAATAAGTAGACCCTTTCTAAAATCCGGTCTAGATTTTGCTGGCCCATTTATAATTAAAGATGGGACAACAAGGAAGGCAAAATTTGTAAAAGCATATTTGTGTATTTTTGTGTGCTTTGTAACAAAGGCGGTTCATTTGGAACTTGTCAAAGATTTGTCAACCGATGCATTTATGAATGCACTTAAACGATTTATTGCAAGGCGAGGAAAACCCTCAGACATTTTTTCAGATAACGGCACCAACTTTACTGGTGCCAATAACGAACTTAAAGCAATATATAAGTGTCTAGCGTCTAGTGACACGCAGAGTAAAATAATAAAATTTTTACATAACGATCAAATTTCATGGCACTTTAACCCTGCCCAGGCGCCACACATGGGTGGCCTCTGGGAAGCCACGGTTAAAGCAGCAAAAGGTTTTTTGTTTAAAATTTTGGGAAATGCAAAAATGACCTATGAAGAATTATATACCGTCATAGTACAGGTAGAAGCATGTTTAAACTCCCGTCCTCTAACCCCTTTGTCCAATGACCCTAACGATTATGCTCCCCTTACTCCCGGTCATTTCCTCATCGGAGACTCTTTGATGGCGTTACCTCAACATGACGTCACCAACATTCACGAAAATCGACTGGATCGTTATCAAAGGACCCAACATTGCCTACAACAGTTTTGGCAACGGTGGTCCAAGGAATACCTGTCGAATCTCCAGGTACGGACAAAATGGAGGTTTGAAAAGGCCGACAATGTCAATGTCGGTGAACTTGTCCTAATCAAGGAGGACAAAACACCACCGCAAAAATGGTCAATGAGCAGGATTATCGAACTTCATCCCGGTCCTGATAATTTAGTTCGCGTAGTGTCTCTCAAGTTACCTAACGGTGCAATAGTGAAACGTGCAATTAATAAAATCTGCCTTTTCCCCAAAAGTGAAGAGGACAATAACAGTGAATGAACTGAATAATTTAAGTAATAGTTTCTATTTTTAGTTTTTTTGTCATACATACTATTATAACTTTAAGTAGGTTATAAGTAATTAGTGTACCGTCAACAATTTGACATATTTAGTGTTGTACACTCTTTGTTTATGTTTACCAGTAATTACGATTAGATATATTTTAGTTGAATCTTTCATATTTTGAAAGGTACACCTTTCAAGGTGGCCGGCTTATGTTAAAGCAAAGTTTCAATTTTTAATTCTTTATAACGTAAATGTATATTTTTAAGTATAATTTAAGCAGGCTTATATTGCCACTCCCACTGTAGAGGCAAGCCAATCATATGTCTAGGCGAGGGGGGTAAAAACTACCCGAACTGTAGGACGACAATCGCAACACTCATTTCGAATACATTCACTCAATTACGCAGCATTGCAACACATGGGCAGTATCGACTACCCAAATTGATCGCCAATGATCTAGTTTTTATTTCACTTGTTTAAATAGTTTTAGTTTAAGTTATGTGTAAATAAATATCTACTTAAAAACCATACACTATTGTGGTTTTAATCAACAATACAACAATACAACAACATCAAACAAACACAAGCATCGTTTTATGGTCCTTCGAGCAACAATTTAACAACAATACCAAACAATAAACACACCCTGTATATATCAAATGATGTGAACAGTATTAAAAAGTATTCTATAAGTCTCCTCAATAATATACTATAATTTTATAAAAATCGGTGTACAAATGTGTATTCTGTCAAAGGTAGACTTTGAAATAAACAAAAATTTAAAAAAAAATCATGAATTTTCAAAAAATTTTGAAAAGAGGAGCAGTTGGGATTTTGGTAAATATCATTTTTAAATCACCAAAGGGTTCCAAACAAAAAACTGCAATCAGTTTTTGGCGGCATTTTTATGTGACTTAAACTTCGTTCAGGCACACCGTGAGTATGAGAGGTAATGTATAACAAATTAACCAGTGATTTAATTCGTAAATTAAATTAAATGGATGTTTTAAGACAAGAATTAATTAAAACATTAAATTAGTTTTAATTAAAGAGCTTTGGAAAACGGTTCGTCACCATTAATGTATGGAATTAACAAATATTCAATAAATTTGAAGTGAAATAACCCAAGCAATAACTAGCAGTAAAAACCAAAATCTAACTAAAATAACGTTTTTTTAAACTTGTTTCTTAACCAATTAGTTGTATTCAACCATTAAAATTTTTTAAGGTAACTACATATTAACAAAAAACAACCCTTTAAATTTACCAACTGGTTGCTATAACCATAAGGTAAATTTAAAGGTTATTGATGATTTTGCAGTTTTTGTTGTTACCTGCATAGAAAAATTAGTCCTATAGGTTGTGAGTTTTTTTTTCGAAACAGAAAAATTGGGAAATTTTTAGAAAAATTTACTATTGCATTATTTTCATTTTATTCAATGTATTTAAAAACAATCCCAATTCAATTATTTCTGGAGACGCGTCTAGACGTATAATTAAAAACTACATTACCTTGGGATCTAAACTTTCCATGATAAAAGTTTCAGCTTGGGCACAAAAATCGTCTTCTTGAATATAAATTTCGTTTAGAGCTTGTGTGTTGTGTTCTTTGCAGTATTTTATGTATAAACTTTGAGCTACAGGGTAGTTTCTTATTGTCATCTACAAAAAAAAATTCATCCACTCTTGACAAGTAAAAAAAAACCGTTTTTGTACCTTGAAATCTCCCAGAGCCATTTTTTCCCTTAACTTTAATATCACCATGTACACCAAGTCAGTGTCGCCACTTTCGATGGACTTTACCAGTGCTGGTGTATTTTCCCCTAGTTTTAATAATAGCTCCACTTGTTTGCTAGCATTGGATTCGTAGTCCAATAACTATAAATAAATAGTAATAAAATTTTATTAATATAATATTTTTGAGCAGACATTGATAAAATTTTAAATTTCAAAATTGCGCTTTTTAATAATAATACACTCACAGGCAAAATAATCGATCCACACAAATTTTCGATGAATTTCAATCGCAAATAACCTTTTTATTTGATTTCGGATTTAAACAAATAATAAAGAATATTGTAGATACATTAATGGAGAATCGCTCACATTTTAAAACTTACCAAAAAATACACGTACGTTTATAATATACAGATATACAAAAAGATGTTTTTTACCATAAGTTTAAGACACTCTGTAGAGTGGCTAAACCGTATATTGTTCTAAATTAAGTTTTAATTATCAAGTCACATCTATTTTTAACAGTTTTGTTTTTGGTTCACCTTGATATATTTAATTTTGTGGAAAATATGGATTTTTTTAAAAAAACATTGCAATTTCCAATATTTTTCCTGTATGAAGAACTAAGGTTGCTATGGTCCATAGCCTCCATAGCCTATGGGGGATGACAGTGACAGTTTTGTTGAATCATCCCATACTTGGACATGTCATATACAGCTTTCAAAAGCTATCAAATTGTTTTTTGTAAATTAATGTATTAATTTTGAGGTGTCTTCTTACTTTTAAAAATGTCTCCGATTGATGTTGCCCTTTGTACTTTACTTCTTGTGGCGTTTAAAACACTTGCCACGTAATACTGTGACCGTCCACCTGGATTAAATTAATGGCTCTGGCAACATCAGTCGGAGACATCCATTTCTTAAAGTAAGAAGACACCTTTCAATTTAAACATTAATTTGCAAAAAACAATTTGATAGCTTTTGAAAGCCGTGTATGACATGTCCAAGTATGGGATGATTCAACAAAACTGTCACTGTTATTCTCCATAGCCTATGCATGGACCATAGCAACCTTAGTTCTTCATACAGAAAAATATTGGAAATTGCAATGTTTTTTTTTAAATCCATATTTTTCACAAAAATAAATATATCAAGGTGAACCAAAAACAAAACTCTGCAAGCATTTCTCTTATCACCGCTTTTGTTTAATTTCGTTCGGATCTCATGCCAGCATCGACAGACGCGTTTCGTTCTTGTGGAACTCATCAGTGCCGAGTTGCTATAGGCTCGAGACCCGAACGAAAACTTTAGTTCCTTTCCTTATATTGGAAAGGAATAGTTCAAAAGCGGCGAGAAGAGAATTTGCCTGCACAATGGTGCCATCTATCGTTTTTCAACGCGGTCTTCTATATGTCATGACATTATCTGTACGGGACATATAGCGTGTTTTACGCCATCTATGACCTGAAAGATGTATTAGCCCTCCCGGCTAGGTAATTTATTATAGTTATTGTATTAAAAGTATTAAAACTTTGCGACAAACTCGCTAGATATATATATTAATTAAATATTCTGCAAGCATTTCTCTTATCACCGCTTTTGTTTAATTTCGTTCGGATCTCATGCCGAACGAAATTAAACAAAAGCGGTGATAAGAGAAATGCTTGCAGAATATTTAATTAATATATATATCTAGCGAGTTTGTCGCAAAGTTTTAATACTTTTAATACAATAACTATAAAAACAAAACTGTTACGAATAGATGTGACTTAATAAATAAAACCTAATTTAGAACAAATACGGTTTTGCCACTCTACAGAGGGTCTTAAAATTATGGTAAAAAACTTTTTTTGTTTAAACCTGTATATTATAAACGTGCGTCTATTTTTTAGTAATTTTTTAAAATGTGAGCGATTGTCCATTAATTTATCTACAATATTCTTTAATATTTGTTTAAATCCGACATCAAATAAAAAAGTTATTTGCGATTGAAATTCATCGAAAATTTGTGTGGATCGATTATTTTGCCTGTGAGTGTATTTATAAACAAAAAATGACAACGAAAATGTCTAAAAATATTTTTTCAGTTAGTTTACCTTAATCGCCAATTTTTTTCTCCCATGGTCTGCCGCTGTACTCGCAATTTCGCTGTAAGAAATTCCAGTGGTGTACCCCAATTTTTCCGCTATCTCCCTTGCAACTGTCTCCTCCTCCAACTGGGACTGACTTACCTGAATTATTATACAAACTTTTTTTTATAGTCGACCTTAGACCAATGTCTATATAGTACTTACCTTGTATTTAGCCCAATGTACCAAAATATGATTCGTCCCATCGTTTTCAGGCATATTCAAATACTTGGCTATTAATATTGCAAGATAATATTGATTTCTTGTTATTAAACGATTTAACAGGACTTTATACGTTAAATATTGTAATCTAACAAACATTTAGAAAAATATATATATTTTGTTTTGTTAATGTTCTTAATAAAAAAGGATACTGTGTTATAGTTAAGGGTATGCCAATTTTCGGATCTCTTACAGCATTTAACACCCTTAATAATCTGCACATATTAACATATTTATCTGACGAATATCCGGCATCGGAAATAAAACATTTTCCGAATTGTGCGGCCTAAAACAAAATATTTTAGGAGGAAAACAAAAAAATAAAAATTGTTTGATTTTATTTATACAGGGTGTCCCAGAGAAAACGGGGGCGTGCTAATAGCAATGGAAATGGCAAATTTAAAAATAAATTTAAAATATCGAACAATATTTTTAATTCAACGAATTATTCCAGTACATACATACTTATACATTTTTTATTTAATTAAAAATATCGAATAAGATTTTTAGTTCCGAATTTTAAATATGCCCATGAATTAAAAAAAATATTTTTAATTTTCACTTAATGAAAAATGTCATTCCATATTTAAAGTTAAATTAAAAATATCGAAAAATATTCCAATATGATGTAAATAAAAAATAACACTCTTTTCTATGCGCTAAAGAAGTATCGGTTTTTTGCAACGCGGACTACGATAGCATTGCGTGAATTTAAGAATTGTCAACAATAAATTTAAAGCACCGATTATACATCATTTTTAAATAAATAGGTAGTTTTTTTTACAAAAGAGAGGAAGGTAGAAGTCTTACTCGACAAATTTTGTTCAATTGCACAGCTAAATCGCGCACGTTATTTGTGTTTTACATTGCAAGGAAAAAATTAAAAAACTTTTTTAGTACTCGATTTCGATTGATTATTCCTTATATCATTGATTAAGAAACTCAACGCTTAAATGCTTATATAGTAACGTAACTCACAGGTGGCTGGAAAGAAAAAAAAGTTTTCCCACGATGCCTAAACAACTCATTAGCATCCGGTGTTTCCTTAGCTCCCCATGAGATGATAAAACTTCATCCTTAAATCGTAGCTGTTCATTTGAGGAAAAACCACCCCATTTTATGGGTGATGATTAGAAAGTTAAAAGAAAAACAAAATTAAATGATCCAAAGTGATTTTAAATTGGCAGTATACATATCCTTTAATTTCACAGCATAATTCTGGTCCATGAGGTTATTTAATTTTCGCCGGTTCCAGTACTTCAAAAATTCGCGATGGATTGATTCTCCTGCTTGCTCCGACCAAATGCCAAATCCTTCCTCTCGCTCCAAAAACTCTAGGGATTGCTCAAGATGATTTAGGCATATGTGAATCTTTAATGTTTCAGTTACGTCTGTGGCCGCAAGAGATTTTTTTAACTCAGTTATGTACATATGCAAGTTTCCGCCAAGCCTCATATTCGAAAAACAATCATGAACTATTTTATCGAGTGCTTTAAAAGCTGACACATACGGGACTAGGGCTAGCGGACCACCAATATGATCACACAATTTATGACTTAATAAAAAATCAGGTTCTTTCAACATCTTTCTACATGCATTTCCTTCAAAAGAATCACCGTGGTAGTTTTTAGATTTTAATTTTAGATGCTGCGGCCAGATTAAGGCTTTTTCTTTTCCCAAAAGAGGCACTAGGCCTTTCCAAAAAATGTGGTTAACAAGACCTTGCAATATATGCAATTCCGGCATTACGCATTTTTCAATAACAGGCATGTCATCGGGCTCGGAAAATAACGGAGGGTTGATGGTGCTGTGGCTTGATTTGGCCGATTTTTTATTGCCACCAAAAGATATAAATTCCTTGTAATCTTGTCTCAAATTTCCGTATGTTTTTACCACAAGATCCTGTTCATCATTCTCGAGTTCGATCCGAGTTTTGAACTTTTGTAAAGTTACGAAGCAATATGGACAAGGGAAGGTTGCGGTGGCAGTTTGTTGTCCATTAATGATCAGAAGCAATTTAAAATCCGCAACGAACTTAAACGGAATATCATTGATCTTTATTAAGTCGAACAGCTTTTTGACATTTTCATAACTTTCTTTGATGTGGGGCACAATACACAGCATGATTAATTTATGTACACTGGTTAATTTTTCAACCTTTAGTCTCTTTACCCGAGTAGTATCTGTAGCAAGATCTAGATCAGACACATAATATTCCGGCAGTATAGTCATACACACTTTAAAAAATCCCTGGCCACCATCTGCCATTATTTTGATGTCATAGTTACCAACTTAACTTCTCCTCTGAATAAACTCCTCCAGTATTTCTTCTGAATTACACCACACTACAGGTCTTTTCTGTTGAACTTCACTTTTTTCAATATCAAAATCTAATATCTTATATCTGTAAAAATCTTCCAAAACTCTAGCCCTTTCTGCAACTTGCTTGGAATAATGAGCAGGTATTGATTTTCGACCAGCATTTGCTCGAATAAATGTAGCCAGTTTTTTCATTTGTTCTGAAGAATCCGAATGAACCTGGTAGGTATGTAAACTTTCAAAAGAAAGCACGATAGGTTCAGCCGATTTTTTGAAATACAGTTTTCTTTCCGCCCCCCTGTACTTACAGTCAATGAATCAACTTTATGTCGTGTCGATAATAATACACTTTTCTTTTTGATGTATAAGCTCACTACAAACCTGCTCTTTTTGCTTCTGTGGGAGATTATTAGTTAAATGTAATATATTTTCTGCCAGCTTTCTTTTTGAACGAGTATGTTTTGTACAGGTGTGAGATATGTCCCTTCCAATTTCTTGAAAACATTGGTTGCATAAAGTTTTGGCATTTTTTTCCTGTTCTTTCGGTGTTACGGGTGCTAACTTGGTCACTTTTTAGTCTCGATTTTTAGAGATAAATTCAGGCTGTTACCTACTTTATTTTTTTTCATATTGACTGATCCTTTGTGACGCCCTGTCAAACAAATATAACACTGGCAAATTGCATCTTCATCACTTGCTCTAGTTTTTTTTCGGCAGAAAAATGTCTTCATAATTCGGCATTGTCTTAAAAGGCCTTTGAAAATTATTTTTAGAATGTTCTTCAAGTATCTTGCGACAATTACAACAAATGCTAAGAGGATATTTAAGATTAGAGATAGAAAAATTGGTATTTATGAATTGCTGCATAAGCTTTTCGCCATTTTCTGTAATACGGAAATATTCCATTTTTAGATTTCCGAGACTAATTTTTCTCCCGCACGGTGCACAAAGCTTCCTTCTATTTTCTTCATGGTCACAACGGTGGTCACAAGGATGGGGCATTTTGATTTTGAAAAGTTCACAAATATATATATATATTAATTTACTAGTTTATACTAATTATATAACTCACTTCTCAAGAAAACAAATTATCTATTAATTTGTTGGGTTGTCATATCATGACATATGTCAAACCCCCTTCCCTCTTTTTGTAAAGCTATCGTATCGCTTTTTGCAGTTTAACTGTTTGATATATAGATTGTGAATCTTTCGTATAGGTGATTCGATTTCGAGTTTTTTTTTATTGAGAATATGTTTTTGACAGCTTGTATCTAAATAGAGAACCCCTATAAGAATATACATATGCTAGAATTAAATAGATATTGTCAAAATTATTTTAAAAACATTTTTGATCATTCGAAAAAAAATTGGTAACCCCTGAAACACAGAAAGGGGTGATTGTTCCCTAAATGAACAGCTACAATTTAGGAAGGAAGTTTTCTTGTCTCAGGGGATGCTAAGGAATCACAAGGTACCAATGATTTTTTTTGGCATCGTGGGAAAACTTTTTTTTCTTTCCAGCCACCTGTGAACTGTGTGTGCATTTTATCTAAGGGATCATGGTAAATTATTGTGTTTTTAATTGTAAATAAAATTCAAGAACTAAATCGTTGCATTTTCATGTTTTGCCAGGATCCAATTCGGTAAGTACATTTGTTGGTGCAGAATTAACTAATGATAACTTTACCAACTATAATTTACGTATATTTAAGTTTAGACATTTTTAAGAAATTAGTAAAAAATTATGTTTGCACAAACATATCCATTTTTATATTTGAGCCGACAACTTCATTTTAAACAACAAAATATACCTACGAATTCATGGCAACATAATATTATATATAATACATAATATAATGGTATTTTACCGTTGAGTGGAGACTTTCGTAATCAACGTAAATTATTGTGTTTTTAATTGTAAATAAAATTCAAGAACTAAATCGTTGCATTTTCATGTTTTGCCAGGATCCAATTCGGTAAGTACATTTGTTGGTGCAGAATTAACTAATGATAACTTTACCAACTATAATTTACGTATATTTAAGTTTAGACATTTTTAAGAAATTAGTAAAAAATTATGTTTGCACAAACATATCCATTTTTATATTTGAGCCGACAACTTCATTTTAAACAACAAAATATACCTACGAATTCATGGCAACATAATATTATATATAATACATAATATAATGGTATTTTACCGTTGAGTGGAGACTTTCGTAATCAACGCTTTTAATAATGCTAAATGCTGTTTAAATTTAGACGACTTATATGTTTGACGATTTTTACTGAATTGAAATGTTTACACTTTTCACATTAATCACGTGATAAATTGTACCTATAAGATACAATAAATACACATTTTAGCAGTACTGCTAAAATGTGTATTTATTGTATCTTATAGGTACAATTTATATTTACAGAGACAGTATGCAATTTATTTCTTCATTCAGATTAACACTGTTTATTGGAAAACCGGTAAAAAACAAAAACAAATCGTGCCACGGTTTTTTTCCGATATTTTTTAACATTTTCCGGCTTTATTCTCAAAAATACTCGTTTGTAACATAAGCGTTTGACAGCTGATTATTAAAAGTTCTACTTTTGTTACGATGATAACAGCCGAGTGGTGGGGCTACTAGCGATACTTCTTTAGCGTATATTTTTAAATAATTTAAATATATTATTGTTTATTATATATATTATATATTATTGTTTGATATTAAAAATTACGGAATAAAGTTGTAAAGTTGTATTAAAAAAGCAGTGGCTTGACCATACTTTTTTTAATAACTGGATCTCGAAAACAAAGCTTAAAAGCGTACGAGTTCATATAAACTTTTCTTCTTTTTTTTCTATTGACTTTTGAATTTTCCCTATTAAAATCTGGACACCTTGTTTGAATGGTATATTGGCAGGTAAAATGGGCGTGTCAAGTCTCACGAATAAAGTACCACATGCAAAAATAAAAAACCCGAACATAACCAAATTTGTTGACAGTTAAAATTGTTTTACTTTTTATTATTATTGTTATTATTTTTATTATTATTATTTTAGGAAAAAGTTATAGAAAAATTTGTACTTTTGTTCGATTTTCAAACGATTTAAATACTTATTAAATATTATTTTAGGAAAAAGTTATACAAAAATACTTTTCTTCGATTTTTAAACGATTTAAATAGGTAGGTACCTAAAGAATAATGAAAATGACCTAGAAAACATCCTAGAAACAGATTCATTCGTAATTCTTGACAAATCTGTTATAATATCGTGACGTCATGATCTCTCTTCAAGGTTACCGAAGCGTTTTGAATCTTGCAATTTTCAAAACGCTACAGCGCGCTGTAGCGTTTTCAAAAAAATTTATGAGAAACGTAGGAATAAAATTTTCTCAACCCCATTGTGCCAGCTTTGGAACCAGTGTGATCACTAATTACTTAAAGCCTCTAAGTTAGAGGCAATATTTCCCCAAAGAATAATAGAGCTGCAATTCGCAGGATCAAGTATTTTTATCTTAAAAATGTAATTAAAATTTAATACAATAATAAATATAAAAGACCTGTACAGGATTTGTAGATTATTCTCATAAACAAAATAGTGATAAAAAAAATGACGCACCGAGAGAAATAAATTTGTTAAATCAAAAGTTTTAGAAATGCTATGACTTTTGATATTCAAACAATAAACATTTTGTTGACATTTTACTTTTAATTAATATTTACTTTTAATTAATATTTTGAGAATTTTAAATTAAAAATGTTATTTTAATGTATAAATATTGTTAAGAAATTTGATTAAATCATTTTTCTATTAGTTAAATGGGTGTTCTTTTGTATTTTACTTTTACAAAATTAGAATATTGAGTCAACATATCTTAGTAATTATTCTAAAATTGCAATATATTTTGTTAACATTTTTTTCTTTTTACTTTAATATAAAGATAATTCAACCGAGAGTAATTTCCTCATACGGAGAGTTAAATAAATTGCCTAAATGTTGTAGTAATGTAACATTACGTCGTTATATAGCGCAGCATGTTCTGCCCTTACTTTCTCTATCTCTGCCACCACGCCATTGTTCGTTCTAGTGTCGTTTGGGTGCAATTTTACATTGAAAAAATTTGGTGTGATTTTTTAATATATTTTTTATTTTACAATACCTCTAATATGCCTCTAATATGTTTAATTTTATTGTTTTGTAATAATTGAATACGAAGTTTATAGTATTATTTTCTCGCGTTACCATGCTTGTGACAAGATTATTACCTACCTACAAGTAGGTACATGTTTAAATATAGCATTCATAATAAAAAACTAAGGGCCGCACATAGGGGTATTTTCTTTAAAAATGAAAGGAAAGCAATGTTTTAAAGTTTTTTGCACTCCTGCACTACCAGGAAGCTTCTTGCTTAGGCGGAATTCGGGTTCCTCGAAGTGATATTTATTAAATTCAAGAACTCTTTGAAATAACAATTTTTTGGACTTGTTTAATAATGATTTTACTAATCAGTCTAAAGTGGTGCAATATGGATGATGCTATGCCAGGTATAAACAACGTATTTTATTACTTTTACCTATGGTTTTATTATAAAAAACGCTTTTAATAGATATGAAATATTATTGTTTTTTTCCATTAAAATATAAAATATTTGGAGTTTTTATAATACTTCCCGGTTTTTATTTAATTATTATTTCACAAAGAAAGAAATATTAATAAAATAATTGGTTCCGGATTTGTCCGGATTACTGTGTTAAGCTGTTTTTAAGATATAGGAACGTACAATGTTAAGGGAGGATTTAATTACTCAATGCTTACTCGTAACTCAGAAATTACAAAAAAATTGTAGAGAACAAAATTTCATAAAATAATAATAAATAAATTTTCACTTATACATGGTATTTGACATATTTGGGAATATTCTCAAAAGCTTCCTAGAAGCTCCATAAGAAACCTTCTAAGAACATTCCAAAAACGTATTCTTAAAATGTTCTTGGGATACTTTTTAAGAAGGTTTTAAGAAGCTTTTAAGAATCGAATTGCATCATTAAAAGGGTATCTATTGAATGTTTTAAAAGTCCCTAAGATCATTCTTAGCAATAAGGGAAGCTTCTAAGAATATTCCATTATTCCGGGTCATATCTTCTTAGAAGATTCTTAAAATCAAATTTTGCTATCAGGGAAGTAAACATTGTTTGTATTGAATATGCAAAAAATGTTGATTTAATCATTTATCATGTTGATTTTATCATTTTAAATTACGAGAATTGATAATGAGAGAGCATTTGTGCGAATTATTTACGTAAATTAAAGTAAACTTACCCTTATAAGCATTTTTTGAACTTTGGTATCAAACTCATACCCCACAGCGTCTATGCACTGCTCAACAGCCCTAACCAAATCGTGTTTAACCAAACTGATGTACTCGTTGGCTTTATGACTTCCCTTTTGGAATTGCTTGGAGGCTTCGAGCAAAAAACTTCCCGGATCTGTGCTGTTGATCCGGAATATTTTCTCGACCACGTCCGGAACTTTTTGTAGCAATTCGTGCTGACTGTTCGATATTATCCTTACCCCGTCTATTTCCGGGACGAGGCTTATGGAGCTGTCGTATGTGTACGACATTTTTTGACCGTGTTTGCCCACAATTAGTAGGGTGTTGAATCTTTCCCAATATAGTACCACAGACTCGTTCCCACACCTTAAACAGTTATATCTAGCTCAAGTAAACATTCCTTAAATAGTTTAGTTAGTTTAGTTTTTTTTATATATTTTATTAGTATTGGAAATCAAACCCTTCATTGAATTTTAAAAATTTGGCCTCAATATTAGTTTTGCCTCAACTTTAACCAATAGAAAGCTTTATTGTTTAAAATGTTAAAGAATCAAGATACTTGAATCTATTTACATTTTGATGAGTTGTTTTTTAAGCTATTTTAATGTGTAAAAAATGTCTACCTGCCAAGTGAAAATCTGTAAAAACAATGCAAAGAAAAAACCTGGAAATCCAATGGCTTCAAAAAATTGATGTTAAGGATAGTAAGTAGATTTATTTTAAAAAGAATTAAATAGCAGTAGTTTTTTAGAGGTACTTTCCTTTTGTATTACATATTATCTGTGACAGATATATAAATAAAAATAATAATTTAGCTTAATGTTTAGGTTTACTAATTTGTTTGTTTTGTATACAAGTTTTTTGTATACAAGCTATAGGTTGTATTTATTTTATTTATTTTGAAGATAGTTGCTATAAGAAAATTGGATTGAAACAACATACAAACTACATTTCCATAGAAAAGTCTTTAAAAGTGGATACGGTTTTAACTTTACACTTAACAGCTGATCTATCAAAAGAGAAATCAAGTACTTTGTAAGAAATTAAAATAAAATTGAAAAAAACAATATAAATCATCTTTTTACAGTGTACAAGAAATGGGACAAAATCAGGAAGCATAATATGATCTTTAAAACCCAAGTAAGAAATCAAGTACTGCATTGTAAGAAGTTAAAATAAAATTGAAAAACAAAATTAAATTGTGCAGGAAATGTGCCGTGGCAAGGAAGCTAATAATCTTTAAGGACAGTTTATAACAAAAACTGCAGCACGCTGCTGATAATGAAATGGCCCTGGTTTAAAACATCCCAAAAGCAATAAAAAATCAGCTTAATAATATAACGTTTTTCACAATTTTAGTTTGTTTTATTTAATGTTGTCTTGGCCAATTTAGGTTTTTTATTTGGCAACTAAACCTAAATTGCAATTATTTGTGAATAAAATTTTGTAATAAATAAATTTAGAAAAAATATGTTGTTTACAAATTTTGCCTTGCAATAGTAATGTTTTAACTTGATACTTTTCATTTTATTCTTTATATTTGGTTTAAAACTGGATATTTTATTTTATTGAAAACATTTGACTTATAATAGAGGGCTTTAAAGCAAGATATTTTATTTGAAAACCCATTATTTAAAACATTTAACCTAAAAACTAAAATTAATTTTACTTAATTTTATTTGGTATTTAGTAAATATTATTTACTTTAAAACAATATATTTTATTTGATTGAAAAACCATATAAAATAGTTTTTTTTATTAATAAAATTTCCTTGAAATGTTAATTTTGTGACTAAGATCCTTTTTTACGTGTGATCTTCAAATTATTCGACAATTTAATCTAAAATAATTTTATAGAAATTTGGATGAATTTCATAAGAGAATAATATTTAAATTTAGAGGCGAGAATGAACTAAGATGGCGGTAACTGGGTGGTCCTACTGAAGAACATACCTTGTTTTCTTGTACCATAAGCATACCTACAGTTTGTTTTTTTATTCGGTTTTCTTGTACCATAAGCATACCTACAGTTTGTTTTTTTATTCGGAATTTGACGTCAAAAATTTTAGGGACCCTAAATATGTAAAAAGTAGTGGACTTGTATTATTTAATAACTTACCTGTAATAATAAAAAATGAATCTAATTATTGTAAATTTAAAAGTTCTTTGTCTTTTTATGTTTATACAAATGTTTAAATATTTAATTGATGATATAAATTATATATTATATGATATGATATAAATTGATGGTATAAATATAGTATATGTAAAGTATGTAATAGCTTTTGCTAATAAACGATTTATTTATTAATTTATTAAAAAAAACAAAATTATTTAGTAGATTTATGCACCACAAATTTATTTTTTCATAAAATAAAAATCATTGTTAATTATAATTCTAACATTTAAATAAAATGGTTAAAGTTAAATTAAAGCATTCAACAGGAGTACCAATTTTAAATATTAAAAATACCAAAGTAAATTTTTCTATAGTACCTATCAACATAATCAAATTTGTCAAATTTCAAATAAAAAAAACTTGAGTAGTTTTTTAATATAATACAATAAATAAATTAAAAGGTTATATAATAAAAACTGCCTTTACTCACCACATTATCTGTGTAGGTTTATAAACTGTACTGGTATCAACTTCAAAATATTTTACAGTTAAATTTGTAGATCCCATCCATAAATACCCTGAATCAGTAAATAATGCAATATGTCTTGCATTAAAAGATACAGCCATATCCAGAATGGAAGAGTAACTATTTTCAAATTCAGCTTGTAACTATAAAATATTAGGTCAATACAAATTAAACAATAAATGTATCCCTTATTAAAAAATATTTACCACTGCACTGGTGTGGTGTTCATCCTGTTTTAACCTGTACAGTTCCATTCCCCTTGCTATTAAAACTTCTGTGCAAGAAGATTCAGAAACAACAGCCCAACATGTAGGAGCCATATTTGATCCTAAGGAACACAATTTTACATTTAAAAAATTCCATTTAACAAAAACATAAAAACACAATTTTGCCATGAACTATTTCATATGGTTTTTGTAAAAAACAAACAATTTTTAGATTTTTTCTTACTTGGGAGTTCTGACAGTTGCCTAGTCTTAATCTCAAGAATATTGTTGACCAAAAACACCTTATAGTTGGCCGTCATCACAGCAATCCCCGTAAAATTTTGAGGACTCGTAAAAATCTTGGCATCCACGATTTTGGCGTCTGTTAACTTCGGGCTTATGCTGAAAGTATGATCAAACTTTCCAAAAAGATCATAAATAACCACTGAGGCATCTTCCTGGATACAAATAAGTTTTTCGTCGTTTGACCATCCCATTGCCACTACAGGTTTCTTTGTCCATTTAAAAGACGTAATTTGCTTTCCGTACCCGGAAAAAATAGATATGATGGGCTGTCCACTTCCCTGGACTTTAACAATCTTACGATCATCTCTACGAATAGCTATGGGCCCTCCGTAAGGGGCGCAGGACACGATAAATTTATCCAAATTTATTTCCTGCTGCCATGCCATAGAATAAATCTCAAATTTTCTACAAAATATGAAACATAATAAAAAACAAATTGATGAAATCTCATAGATAACTAACCTAAAATACAAATCTCTCCCCAATAAAAACCAATCGGCAGTTAACATAGCCGTAGACATCTTGAAGAATGTTTAATTATCGTTCAAAAGTAGCAAATATACCATAAAAGTTATTTTTGTGCATAAACTACAAAAAACATTAAGAAACGTCAAAAATATTATAAACGTCAATTTTTGTTATTGGGACGATTGAACTACTAACCGCAACCGGGATTACTCTTGTGTGATGAAAGGCTGCATATTTACGAATGTTAATTTAAAAAAAATTAATCTTGATATTTTTATTTAAAAATTACATGTCAATTTTATATATCTCTGATTTTATGTAAAAAAATTTTGGTTTTGTAAATATTAAATATCGTGATACTTAAGGGTGATTCTACAAAAGTTGGACAACTCGATGTCATCAGTCAATAGAGTAGGTATTTTAATATTTTTTGTAAATATTTTAGTAGGTATTACAAAAGATCCAGGATTTTTTAACTTGTCCACCCAATTTTTTCAAAAGCACGTTTGTAGAAAAACATAATAAATATTCAAAACATCAGTACCTTGGCGTGTCACAACCACAAAACCAGTTTTTTGGTCACAACTCCTGAATCAAATATTTGAGTGATTGTGTTTTATAAAATATATTCAATTAATCTTAAATTTTTCAATTTCACTAAAAACTATAAAACATTAAATAATGAATTTTTCATATTTTATCATAGATTCGAATAAAAAATTGTTAATCTTTGTACTCACTTTTACCCGTCTGTTCTGTTTCCAATGCAATTTATTATCTATGTTCCAATGTTAAAATTCAAAATTCCTGCAAAATATTGAAGTTTAAACGTCAAGTCCTCGTTTTAACTCAAGTGTTGGTAAAAAATTACCTACAGAGCCCGCCCTTTGCACGACAGTCATCTTGAAAACAATGCAAGCGGCGAAGTTGTGGTGAATTCACGTATAGTTCCAGACAAAATTTCAGTACTGTGGTGAGTATAACTATAGTTATTTTCTTACGTATATATATTTCATTGTAATTTATATAAGGCTACATGTGATTTGTTGATAAGTAGCATCCACTAATAAAAAACATATCAGTAAAATACTTAATTCCGAATTATAATCTCAAATTTGTATCCGTTTCGTCAGTTCCATGTCGTCAGTAACTGACGGTCAGTTCCATGTTCGATGTTTCGGTTATTTTTTTTCTCAAACTTGCGTAGAAGTTGTTTATTTAATGTCATCAAAAGCTCATATAAATTTGGTGTGGGTTCCATATCTAATAATTGAGATATCGGTATACCCATGGGTTGCAAAATCCACCAGCCGCCACTGTTGTGTTGAATTATTTGATTTTATGATATTTAATGTATAATATGCTCAAAGTTGCAATAAATCTTATATTTTTCAATAAATTATGTATTTAATTAGTAGCCTGGTATACTCGTCACTTCCCTTGCATTCAAATTTAGAAAACACAGATATTTCAGAAATTGTTTGAAAAAGTGAATGGCCCGGTCTGGAACAGTATATTTATTATATTATCTACTTATGTTCTCATAAAAAAATACTGTTTAATTTTCTCCGAAAACTATATAAACAAAATGAGGTCAAAAGTTGCCCAACTTTTGTAGAATCACCCAACAATCATGCATGATTGTTGTTTTAGTCAAAATATCATTAAAAATGTTAAAATTATGAGAAAAATCATTTTTTGTCATAGAATGACATTGACATATCTATGGAGATTGATATATATCATATGATATTGATATGAATGATATATCACATTATCCCTTGCGGCCTTGAGTTCACGGTTTATTCACCGTGAATTCACAGTGAATTCACCGTAAACTCACCGTGAATAAACCGTCTGTTTGTGACATTTGTAAACGGTAGTTAGACGGTGAATTCACGCACTTTTCACAGTATTTTAATTGTGAATCCACCGTATTTTGGCGGTATATTTACGGTGAATTCACGGTGAATAAACCGTGAACTAAAAGGCCGCAAGGGTAGGTATATCCTATAGGTTTAACACGCGTGTTAAACCTATAGGATATACCTACCCTAGTCGCGACTTTAGCTAGCCATTATTCGTTACAGAGCAGATGAGGATTAATGTTCAGCTATGCCATTACAGACGCACACTTCCAACTAAATATTGCAACCCAACGCTATTTATAGTTAGCTCGCTTGCGTAAGCAGCCGTGAGATGTATTGAGTTCACCGTGAATTTACCGTGAATTAACCGTGAAATCACCGTGAATTTATCGCAAAAACATCGTGAGTTCACTGTTTAATTACCGTCTACAAATGTCACAAATGGACGGTATATTCACTGCACATAAACGGTGAATTCACGCAAACGGTGAATTCACGTTGAATTCACCGTAAACTCAAGGCCGCAAGGGATTATATTAGGGAAATGTGAGAAACAGTTGAGATTTTTTTAGAAATCCCTTTTTAGTTTCATTTTACACTTATCTTACCTATTTTACAAAAACTTGTTGTTCATTGTTATTACAATAATAATTAAAAAACTTTTACAATAATAATTAAAAAATTTTTGATAATTAAGTTGATAAAGTATATTTTTTGAAACAAATATACAAAAATTACACACATACCTAAAAAAGTATTACCTACATTGTTTTAAAGAGATAATTTTAAAGGCAATTTTCGTACATTTGTTGTATACGGTTTAATTGCACTTTTTGTAAATTTTGCGCTAAATTTAAATATGTTGGCGTTTCTAGTCACAAATACGTAAAATAAATATATGGATGGAGCATTATAGAAGTAATTTATTGGGTTTAGACCGTTTGAAAACGAATTATTTCGCTTTTTTTCTAATGGTAGCGGTACCTCCACATTCGAGCAGGTTCTTGAGAGAAAGGTCGAACTTTTACCGCACCTATCAAAGACATTCGCGCTGCACCGTGCGTACGTCGAGTCGCTGGCCGCAGGAAACCAAAAGATCAGCGGCAGAGCAGGAGCAAGAAAATAAGAATTTCTTGTGTCAGTTTTGCGAAAGGTGTGCTGTGGGAGAGTGACAGCGCGTCCGATGGTGTTTTGTTGAGGTATTTTTGGGTGCAAATACGATCAAGGTTGGCAGGGATATGCCGGATCAAGTGTGACATTTTTAATTAGTTGTCTTTAAAAAGAGGATTTTTGAGTGGGAAGTGTACAATTTTGTGTTTTTAGTGGTTTTAACAATTAATTCGTGTATTATGATAAATTAAGATTATTTTGAAAAAGTTTGGATATATTTTAAAGGTAAGTTAATTTATTTTAAATCTTAACTTTCGCAAAAAAAAAACAATAATAATTTTACATGTCATGTAAAAATGTCTCGATGAAAAAACAATAAAGTTTAATTCAGAGACTTATTGAAAATAAAAAGTAGAAATAGGTATCACAATATCAGAAATTAGTAGAAATATTTTTCTTTAAAATCTTTTTAAAATTTTTCTTTTATATTTTAAAAGGGGTTTTAAAGGACGTGAAAAAACGTTGTTTTATTATGTAATTTAATGTTGAAATGTTATATGATAGTTTAGTCTTGGATATTAAAAAACACGTTGAAAAACGTTGTAAAACGTTAAGTTGTAACATTTAAATCTATAAATAAATGTATCTAAACGTGGACAAATTTTGTTAAAAACCTTTTTTAATCCAGTAACAAATCTATGTCAAAAGAAAATTTCCTAAAGTGATGGATCGGGTAAACTTTTTACCTCCTAGGCTGTAAAACTGTCAGATCTACTTAACCTCACTTTCTAGTAGAAAGTTTCTACTTGTAATAATATTGTACGTTTTATATATTATCGTTTAGCAAATAAAATTGTGCCTTAAAGATAAAATGTTGTATATATACCATTCGGCTGAGAAATGTCTTTTTGTGCTTCGCTCAGAACAAACAGACTCACATCTCAGCCTTATGACATAGTAATAGGTATATTATTAAATAAGCAAATTATTAATTAAAAAGTTTCGTAAACTCGATGTAAATTTATTCGATTATGCTAAACTAAAAAAAATATATGGATTTAGAAAATGATTACCTAGGCATATAAAAAAAATTATAATTATAGGTTAATAAAAATCGTGAGAAAATTTTAAATTTGCAGTTTCTAAGATACAGCTGTACACATTGGTGTTACATTATTTTAATTTACATGTGTAATGAAAATGCAGGGTGTACAAAATGTTCCCATACATTTATTTTTAATTTTTGTAAATTTTTATTTATCGAGTTTTAATAAAATTCATACTTGATTATTTTTTTAAATTAATACAGTTACCTACCTAATTTTGAAGGTCAAGAATCCGGATTTCTTCGATTTTGGAAAAATTTATAATTTCTTGGTTTTCAAGTTTTTTTTTTAATTATGTAGTTTCAAATATTTTCGACTCGTTCTTTAAGACAGTTAGTCAAAACCAGTTTAACAAGAAACCACGCTGAATCATTGGCAAATTTATTATTTATTTTAATAAAAACGAAAAATCAATAACATCGATTTTGAACGGTTTGTTTGGACCTTACCGTGACAACTCATGCGTTGCTATGGCAATAAAATCATCGTCATAACAACGGCATTGTCATTGGTGGGAAAAGCTAAGCCTTCTAGAACTAAATAGGAAATATTATTGTTATTTAACTGATTAAGTTAATTATGTTACAGTTCACAATATTCTTTGTATTATGTTACACATTTATTGAGAATTGCATAAATAAAATTAAAATTAATAAAAATGCCGATATGTGAATATTACGTGTTTAATGTGATTTTAATGATTTAATTGCATTGTTCGTGTTAACAACTTTCCAGATTTTAGTAAAATCAAAGGAGACACCAATGCTTGTAAAACAACGAACCTTTTTTTTGTTTATAGCTTATTTAAAGCATCCAACTTTACTATTTTAGTAAAACAAAACCTTTTTTATTTAAATTAAAATTTAATTAGGGAAATAAGTTAGGAAGGTATATTATTTTTATTTTTAAAGCGAAAATCTTAATCTATTCGTCTGTAAAGAAACATAAACTATGTCCTATTTCACATGACAGTAAAACACTTTTTTATTGACAAAATGATACCTACTTCCTTGTAATTTAATTATGTTTATTTTGATTTATTATTATTAAATCCAGCAACGTTAATATGTTTGGATTACGAAAGAAAACAAAGGAAAAATAAAAACCAAACAATAAATTGTTGTTATTTTGTTTTTAATTTGTGGGACGATTCGCAAGCAACTGGTTTAATTTTTTTGTGTTACATTTACCTACATTTCTATGCACAAAATTAAAGGTATAGTATGCTGAAATGAATAGGCATTATAAATTTAGAAAACGTAGTCAACATGTGGGTAATTTATAAAGTTTTTAAGGTTTTTCAGTATGGAAAGTCTCTTTTTTTAAATAAATTTTTTGGTTAATACCTACACATTAAAAAATATTTGTTAATTTTAACGAAATATTATCAAGATTTTATGTTAACCCATATCATATAATTATAAAGAAATTTGGTACAATATAATTATCAGTACTACTACAACACTTACCTACTGATGTATTTCGTAACTTTAACCCACTTTCAGGGGCGGATCTAGAATGTGTCATTGGGGGGGGGCGGAGTTGAAAATTTTTGTAAATAATAAGAAAGTTGAAATTAAAGTTATTCCATTTTTTTATTATTTTATATATTAATTTAAAAAGTTATGTTCAATTTCAACTTGATAACTTACTACCGGGGGGGGCGATCGCCCCCATCGCCCCCCCCTTGGATCCGCCAATGCCCACTTTACTGAATCCCCTAATTTCAGTTTAAAAACCAGTGATGGCATCTTTTTTCAGATACTTTGCACTTCGCACACCAGTTAAATTGGTATAAGGAATTCGAATAACAATAATAACAGATTTCTGGTAATATATTATAAACACTGGACAACAACGAACACGTTACGAATTGGAATAAAGTAAGCAGAAACATAAGTTTCATACGCTGAAGTCAGTTAAACTTGTTGATGCCTATTGTCCGTAGGAAATATTTTGATTGACTTCCTGAAATTACGTGTACTTTTTCAACGAAATATTTTGTTAAACATTAACAGAATAATCTGTAACCTTTAAAATTAACAAAATGCTTACAACATTGCATATTAAATTTACAAAACTTTCGGTAAAATATTTCCTTTGTTAAAATAATTACAAACCCTGGTCTTCTACAAAAAATTGTGTTAAAATTTTACAAAATAAAATTAACAAACTACAAGCTCAAGTTAACAAATCTCATTTTTATAACAGTGTAGCATTTTAAACGGTAAAAAATTTTTTAAACTAAATATATAAAATATCCAGCAAAATTGCTTTTATATTTTACATTATTATTTATATAGGTATTACATGTTAACATATATTAAAATTACTAGATATGTTTTAAATTGTAACAGTAACTAAGTATAACTAAGTACGTGTCAATTCTAAATTGAGTTATTGGATAAATAAATAATTTTTTTAACATTGTCCGTTATCCAATCAAAGTTGCTTACTCTAGTTGCGCTCGTACATTAAACCAATCTGTTTTTTTGCTATTGCCATGTTTAGATTATTAACTATTTAAAATACAATAAAAAACAATTCTAACCTCAGGCTGCAGATACCGCTACAAGAAAATATTGCAAAAACGAGGAGTACCTATTAAGTTTACTACCTACTACTGTTAGTTTATAAGATTTTGTTTTTTTCGTCAACCTATCCATTCAAAAGATATATATGTGTGATTCTACAAAAGTTGGACAACTTGATGTCATCAGTCAATAGAGTAGGTATTTTAATATATTTTTTAAATATTTTAGTATATTACAAAAGATCCAGATTTTTTTAACTTGTCCACCCAATTTTAATGTATTTTTTCAAAAGCACGTTGTAGCAAAACATAATAAATATTCAAAACATCAGTACCTTGGCGTGTCACAACTCCTGAATCAAATATTTGAGTGATTTTATTTTAAAACATATTCAATTTATCTTAAATTTTTCAATTTCACTACAAACTATAAAACATTAAATAATGTATTCTTCATATTTTATCAAAGATTCGAATTATAGCAATTTTTTAAAAATTGATAATCTTTGTACTCACTTTTACACGTCAGTTCTGTGTCCAATGTTAAAATTCAAAATTCCTGCGAAATATTGAAATTTAAACTACAAGCCCTCGTTTTAACTCAAGTGTTGGTAAAAATTACCTACAGAGCCCGCCCTTTGTACGACAGTCATCTTGAAAACAATGTAAGCGGCGAAGTTGTAGTGAATGCACGTATAGTTCCAGTCAAAATTTCAGTACTGTGGTAAGTAGTTATTTTCTTACGTAGGTATATATATATCATTGTAATTTATATAAGGCTATATGTGATTTGTTAATAAGTACCATCCAGTAATAAAATATATCAGTAAAATACTTAATTCCGAATTATAATCTCAAATTTGTATCCAATTCATCAGTACTGTGTCGTCAGTTCCTTGTTCGATGTTTCGGTTATCTTTTTTTTCAATTTAAATTGTGCTTGCGGAGAACTTGTTTATTTAATGTCATTATAAACTCATATAAATTTGGTGTGGGTCCCATATCTAATAATTGAGATATCGGTATACCCAAAATCCACCAGATTTTAAGATATTTAATGTATAATATGCAATAAATCTTATATTTTCCAATAAAGTATGTATTTAATTAGTAGCCTGGTATACTCGTCACTTTCCTGGCATTCAAATTTAGAAAACACAGATATTTCAAAAACTGTTTGAAAAAGTGACTGACCCGGTCTTATTATATTATCTATGTTCTCATAACAAAATACTGTTTAATTTTCTCCGAAAAATATATAAACAAAATGGGGTCAAAAGTTGCCCAACTTTTGTAGAATCACCCATATCTAAGTTTAAAGTTTTAAAAGTTGTGAAAAATAGTAAAAATTATGAAATATTAAAACCTTATTTTAATCAAATTTATAAAGATGTTACAAAAATCGGCATGTAAAATTAATATTTTTTCCTGTAATCATCAAAAAAATTTTAAAATAGGTACTTTAGTTGAAATTATATTCGAAACGCTTACTTTTATCAAAAAAAACTAAAGAAATTTTATATACATGTATACATGTATATAAAATTTTGAAAAATTTGTTTTTTAATAATTTTTAAATTTTGACGAAAATCTATAGATATAATTGTAGAGAATTTTTGAAATTCTCTATTTTTTGTTTCATTTTT